GAGAAACTTTTAAAGTTCAACCCATTAGGTAACCACACTCCGCTTCATGGAGAAAGTACAAGAATAAATAATTCTAATTTTTATTTAGCAATTTGGTTCTAGGCCGCATTCCCCTATATCTGTACCCATTCACCACGCAATGGATCATAAATAAAGACTCAATCATCCTCGCCTTCAAAAGAAGTATCACTCTTCAAAAGAAAATCTCCATGAAACACCGTTCAATTTTGAAATCATTTAGGACCCACACTTAACGTCCTTACCCTTGTCCTCACCTTTTATACGAGAAATATTCCTCATGACTCTCGTCTTTAATCTCAAAATTCATGTTAAATACACGCTTTTAGGACGACACTATTCTATATAGACAAACTTTCATGCCTGTTGTCTCTAAGGGGTATCAGCCGACTCTGCCATTACATTTGCAAAAGAAAAATAGACCAAAATAAAAGAGAAGCACTACACTTTATACTTAACACGCTAGAATAAATAGTGAACGATATGGCATTTAGAATTCTGTGCTTCGACGGTTCGACTCAGATGATATCCTTCCATTCTACCTCCTCCATCATGTAATGCCAATGACACCATATAAACTATTCTAAATTTTTCCACCATCGTAAAGAAATATTGTACCCGGATAGAATGTATTTAATTAAAAAGAAAGTTGTCTTTAATTAGCCATTTCGCTATTTGCAGGTCAAGGGGCAGAAAATTGGTCACTAGACCATTCAACAAATCTCATCTACATACGTTCACTTATTTTTGCGAGCAATCTTTTGTTTTATATATAATAAAAGCTTTAGAGATGACGAAAGCTTAAGTCAATATATTTACCATACACGTGCGATTAACACGTTGAACCACATCAAATTGATTACAGGATATCCATCAGTAATTTGCTCCGTCTGGCGGACGCCGCTATTATTTACATAAAATTAATAATTTTAACACTCTTTTCTGTCCAATTGACAATTATTTAACTCAATCAAACCAGCAGTAATATGTAATATATGTATTTCCAATTATTATTACTAGTGGTCGCCCAGTGGTCGAAATTCGATTATAAATAATTATAGATGGTTGTTTGTATAATGTTTTTGTTTATTAATTTGATCTATTCTTACGCATAATTTAAAAGAAATAGCTTCCTTCTCCATAACAACTATAGGTATGGTAAATTTCATACCCCTCCGTCTGCGCAATTTTCGTAAAAAAGGATACAAAGTTTTTGCTTCACGTATTAATTTATAGACGTATGTATGCTTCATATTGAAACATTTTTCTAATGAACTTATAATAATCAATCTTAATTACGGTTCTTATATAATATGTTCTATAGAAACCTAAGAGCGACAGTTGGCAAATCGTCCAGCATAATCATTTCACCACTTTATTGAGCGTGGCAAATGCGTAATAGTATAATTTGATCTTAAGACGTGCGTTTTATTGCAAACATATTTTGAGTATAACGGAACTACGTGGACCTTGAGCAATATTGAACGTTTTCCTAATAGTAGCTGTTTTGTTATTAAAAACTGTTTCCTCCACAAATTCAAATCAATTATTTTAGCATCAGCAAGATAAACGCCCTTTAGCTGTGAAACTCAGCAGCTTATTAATATATGATTTTCTTCAATTGAAGCTATAAAACATTTTTTTCCACATCTTTTATTTTATATATTTTATTATTTTATTAATTTATTATATTATTAACACCTTTATGTAATATGTCTTACTCGTTTCATTGTTGTCTATCACCACCAATACCAATTCGTAAATACAACACAGGGCAGTGGTCGGAATACAACCTCACGTTTAATTCGTGAAGGTATTTCGCGAATTCGTCCTCTTCCTGTTTAAATCAGACCTATTATATAGTATTTAAGGCATGAGTTCAATAATAAAAAATATTAAAAACTGTTACCTTCGTACATTGTTCTAAACAACCTACACATTTCAGTGGAACAATATTGTTGGAAGTGCGTCATGGACAATAAAGGAACGTTAAACATTTAATAGCTGTTGTTAAAGTTGCATAAGTCTGGTTTATATTCACTTCTAAGTTTTCAACAGAATTTCTTGGTTCATGATAATATTGCGCTTAATGCCTCAACGACATTATAATAGCAAAATCAATTCGAAATCGAGACGAAACACCTTAAAATAAAGAAAATAATTCATAACCTACATGTCACTATTTTTTTTCTCTGAACATCATTACTTTGCGGTATGAAATAGCAATACTAGATGATGATCAGCCGTTGCAGATTCTCGTAGCGTTTGCTAAGATGCTACTATTAAATAATTAATTAAATATGTTATTGCAGCAAACGGACCAACTGTAATCGCGCCGCGCCAGATATTGTTTGATGTTTTGTAGCAATAAACAAGCGATTTGTTTTACCGCTCACAGCTGCGCCCCAGATACAGAAATCTAACATACTCCGCTGATATATTAATTACTCGGTTTTGATTTCGAGAAAGAAATGAAGCACAGTTGTTTACATGCGCATAGATCTAATTTTACCGCGGTATAAATCAAGAATCGCCTTGACATTGGCTCGTAACAGCTGCGGACCTAACCTCGTCTCGTCTCTTTCCACCGACGGACGCCAACACGCTAGAGTACCACTGCTTTTTCCATCATACAGGCTATTTATATTCTACATTCGGCAACCTTAAATGTATAGCATGCATAATCATCACAGTAGCCTCATTGATGTTCCTCTATCTAATTATATGTAAAAAAAATTGTTTAGAAAATTGTAATACAAAATATTTACGTTATACTCAAAATGCTTGATGAAATTTTCAGTGAATTAAACACTTTACATATCCGTTTTGCAGTATAGAATTAGGTTCAATGTTATATATTAGTTTCATGCTGATTTCAATGTTAACACTAGTAAGACATCGTGTAGGACAAACTTGTAAATACATCTTGGCCAATACACTTAAGAGACATAAGATCATATAATATTTATTAATTCTACTAAACTGTTCGTTTTACAGTTACATCCCATTACTCTCATTGATAAATTCGTTGGTTTTAAAAAATAATTTCTTGAAAAAGAATAATATATTGAACAAATAAATATGAAAAAAGAGGAAGTAATAATTATATAAACATGCCTCTTAGGAGAGAACGAAAGTCATTTGATAATATAAAACTGCTTATCAAATAAGTGAGTAAAATAGTTTAAATTTACAGAGAATTTACGAAGATTAACAACGCCCCAAAGGAATCACGCCGAGCCTAAGTGTTAATGCAATTTTTGATGCATTTTTCCTATCTAACAAAATGTGCATGCAAATAAATACTATAATTATATCCATAACACCAGTGGGGCTGTAGCCTGTTGGTTATGCTAATCTTTAGAGATGTGCCCTTCGATTATATTACAAGCACTTCCAATTTCAACCATTCTGAGAATATTCAACTGAGATGGTGCATAATTCATTGTATCCTAGCTGTGTCCCGCGACTTCGTCCGCGTGCAATTTAAAATAAATAAAATTTCTAAAATAAAAGTAGCCTAAGTCACTCCTTATGACATCAGCTATAGTCCCGTCAAAATCGGTCCATCCGTTTCAGAGATTAGCCGGAACAAACAGACAGATAAAAATTGTAAAAACTGTTATTTTGGTATGAGTACCGTGTATACATCCATATGTATTTAGTAAAAAGCGGTTATTTTAATATTACAAACAGACACTCCAATTTTATTTATCTGTATTTAAAAAAAGGGTGTAGATAAATAAAATGATGATCGGAATCACGTAGTTTTAATTAGAGCCACATGAAATTTGCCGCGTTAGATAAGGAACATGTTGCTATGGCGTCAGCGTTTTCTCGAGCTCGCCTATTATTCCCGCCAGGGCGGTGACGTAGTAGCGTGCGTGCCCGGTACCCGTTGGCAGACGGCCAGCTCCGCGACGCACTGGACAGCCGAGACCGCCTGTCATTATCATTGTCGTCTCAATCCTCAACTCTAGAGCTGTTTGTTTTGACTACACACGTTATAGTATTTCATATTAAGTAGATTATGTACTCGTTTCCCATACTTTGGGAAACTCGGTTTAGGCCGCCTGCTTTTTCTGTGTCGCTATTTTCTAAAGCAATGTTTTTGTTTCTGAAGTAATGTTTCGTAACTAATCGTACAAGAAAACATTTTCTTCTATGTTTAGTTTAGTTTTTTTTTAATAAGGAGATAATTTTTTTAATAAGCATTAAATATAATTATTCAGTGTAAGTACTTGGTGATACAGAGAATTTGACATATCTTTAAATTAATACTTCTAATATTTTAATAAAGTAAGATAAGACAGTATATTTTTTACTGTTGAGCTATTTAATATTTAGAAAAGTCTGGTTGTAACAATAAGTCATATCAAAAAGTATGTATTATAAAGATCACTTGCTGACCTCATATGAATTAGTATGCATAAAACAAAACTCGCAGTAGCTGCATATTTAATCGATTTCCTTTCCGATCCTACAAACACTTCCTCTTAACTTTTTACTTTAGTAATGATTATTATCAAGGTGCCTTATCTAAGAAATTTTCTTTAATATAAATACTACACATTCTAATTCTGCGTTGCACCTGGTGAGTGAGTTAACCGGAGTGTATTTTTAGGGGGCCTACAACGCATCTGCAACCTTTAGAGTTTTAGATGTCCATAAGCGGTGGTAATCATTTAACATCAAATGAACTGCTTACTTGCTTGCTAAGTTTTCACATGAAATAATGAGAAAAGTTGGTATACTAGCTGGTGACACCGGGTGAGTTAAAATGGCCCCACATTGGCATTTACAATCCCTTTAGGGTTACGGTCGCCTCGCCAAATGTTTTAAAGATTAATCAAACGAAATGCAAAAGTATAAATGATCCTTCCTACTTTACGCTGGTTGCCAATGCATCATCAAACGACTTTAACACAAAACATCATTTACGAAAGCAAGCAATTAATAACTTAATTGTATATTTTTTCCAGACAAACATATTCGCCAATCAACTTTGGACAAGCTTTGGAGCAAGCAGTCTAGTTACATTCAAACGCTGATCACAATCCTAGAAGTAAGTAAGAGACCAAATTGTTCAAAATAACCCCATTCTTAGCAAATGCACTTTTCAACTATTTTTTTGTGGATTTCAGAACACACGAGACACAGCCACATCCACGTATATAACGTCCATCTTAAGAGAAACACTTTGCTTAAAGCAAGGAAGAGGAAGGAAAAACTCTGGTAAGTTAATAATTTACTGGAGTTTGTTGCTCTTTCTTCATGGATTTAACTTTAAAACCAGTTGGGACTTATTCAAATTATTCATTTTCAATCATTCTTATTACATTCGTTATAAAGCTGACGTTTAAAAATAGTTTAAAATAATTGTAAACCATGAAATGAATATAATGTCCAAATGCGTAGACGAAGGGACCTAAAATGATACATGCATAATTATATTAATTTCTTGCCTGAAATAGTTGCAATTGAAATGCAAGGATTAAAGAAGAAAGAAACAAAAAAGAACGGCAAAGAGAACAAAGCGTTATTTATCAAAAAGGGTACGTCGACATGCGATTGATGCAAAATAACCGCTTGACTACTAATCACCACAATTTCGTATTCTAATTTCACAACATGGTTTGAAATTATTACATACGCATTTATTTTATGCACGAGGAATTTTTAGTCGCAATTAACAAACATCCTTAATCCTAATAACTTCACCGTTCAAAAACAAGTGGCATTTGAGAAGCTTGCATCGATTGCTTAACATTGAACCAGTTAACACGTGACCTTCTTTTAGTGATGTATGAGCAACAAATATTTTAAACTGTCACATAGCAAATTAACATTCACACGTACTTGATACGATGGCATGGAAACGTTTGACTAATATTATTTGCTTTGTATCTGTGACTCTGTTCCCACGTACGAAAATAATGATCTTGTATTATTCATGTCTAAAACCATACAAATATACATTCAAGTAATAAACATAATAAAGTAATAAATATGTATAATATATAATTTCCACTATAGCATGCGAAAAAATTCGTTTTGTTGCTTTTGACTAGTTTCTGCCGCTTCTCTAGTTCAATACTACAAATCTAATTCTCCTGAAAATTTAAACTCCTTAGTGAATAACGTCGCAAGGCAGCAATGTGCACAGCAATTCATATCTGTTAACGGAACCCAAGTTATACTTCGGACACTTGTCAACACGCAGTGTAAACGAGACAGCAACGTAGGCACTGAAGTAATGCTCCAGGATCTAGTATGGATTGTAGCTGCACTAGCACCAAAAGGTGAAGCTAATTTTTGTTAAAACTTTCCCCCCACGAGTAAAAATTTTTATTCAGTCAAAGTCAATTACACACTTGCTATTAAATCAATACAAAAAGTCTTTTGTTCCTACAACTTTCCAGTTATGACAAGTGTGAGGCATTAAATATAGCATCTATCATATATAAAGTATTGAAAAGAAAGGCTTTCCCCTATATATTCAGAAAAATATAATGAACTTCTGTGGTTTCTGGAATTTCTTTTAATTCTGAGATAAACCGCTACGGGTATATTACCTGCAATTAAATGTTTATGGTTGAGAATCCTTAAAACTGCCACAGAAAATATTAAAAACAACTATTTAACAACTTTGTTTTTATTTTTTTGCAGATCCCAAATTCGCAATGAAAGTCAGAATGATTGGATGTGTCAGGACCATGCACCTTATATTCAAGGGACATTATACAGATAACAAACTCATATTTCCGCTCCTTGTGATAATAAAACAACTTTCCAAAAATTGTTAGTACCGTACTTCATATAATTTTACAACCTTTAAACCTATGAAGAAGTCATTCTCAATATTGTATGGAATCGTAGATTAATTTGAAAATGCAGTTTTTAACCGACTTCAAAAAAAAAGGTTATCAATTGGGATATTTATATTTTTTATGTATGTTCAGACATAACTCCGTCATATAGGTATAGACGGATTTGCAAAATTATTTTTTAAGACTTAAATAAAGCTGAATTATATATAAGTGGTGATAGCTCACAAGTCCGGGCGCTTGCCTTTAATTCAATATACTCGAGCAACCTGAGTTCGATCCCCGGTGCCGGCACCAATGAAGTTTTTAACTTTAAGTGCTGACTTATCACGTGCTTTGCGGTGAAGGAAAACATCGTGAGGAAACCTGAATATTTTCGAAATAATAAAAAAAAACATAATATTTCGAAGATATGTGAAGTCCGCCAATCCGCAGTGGGGCCGCGTGGTGGACTATGCCCTGATACTCTCTGTATAAATAATGCCTTTGCCCAGCAGTGGGACATGTAAAGGCTATTACTTTACTTTACTTTTATTATAAGTCACAATGAGTTAGAAACACTTTTAATGTATTTAATGTTTCATTTCAGCCGTTACCACTTCTATACTTATCCGCGATGGTATCGTCGCCACATACGAACGGGTGCTGGTGAGTCTTGGTTACATACCCACCGCGAGGCTCCGCCTGTGCCTCGATGCCATCGACTACTTCAGCAAAAACAGTAAATATCTCCCTTATCTATTGTTCTCAGTCTGCCAGTGACGTTATCAGACACAGTGGGTGTGAGAAAGATGGAAATCTGTATAGATTTCCATCTTTCTCACACCCACTCTTCTATCTATCCTCCAAATAATATATAACATGCAAAATAAGTCTAAATAAACAAATCAGTCGCATTATATTTGCGAAGTCGAGTCATATTTACCTTTTTTACTCTTCGCACGAAGGTACATATGTATATATATATTAAGCGCATGTTAACAAAACTTTACCTACCATGCTATTTATTTAATAAATACCGTTATTATAGATTTATAAATATTAGTCACCTATATAAGGTAATTTATTTGTTGTAATGTTATTACTTTTTTCATTCAGAGGTATGCTGCATGCAAATAGTCAAGACTGGATTAGTTGCTGTACTTCTTCGAGTGTTCGATCGGTGGGATCGATACGAAGGTCGCATGAGACTTAAAATTTGCGCCCATATTTTGCAAACCCTTCAACATCTTTGTAATATAAGTAAGTAGAGATCAATTTTGTTTTTTTTATGTGAAAAGTTATCAAACGAGCAGACGGTTCACCTGATGGTAAGTGAATACCGCCGGGTTCCGGTACCGGTGAGGGTTACAGATGCGTTGACAACCTTTTGAAAATTGGGCCCCGGCTACCTCACTGAATATAATATTACAAAGAAACCAAAGGATCAAATGGATTGAGCAAATTGTCTATCCTGAAATCTAAAATACGATAAATCTATCTGAATAAGTTTCTTATTTCCTTACTTCTTTCTAACTTAGCCCCCAAAATTTGTTACGAAATATTACTTTCAATGTATACATTACATACATGCATATATTTATCAATTTCCATATATGTAGGTACATAAATTAGAAGTCATCGTTTTATTTTGCCGATTAGGCGTAAATCAAGCATGTGGTTCTCTTGTGTTAACTAACCAATGGGGTAATCACTTAACACAAGAGGGTGAATGCACCAAGCGACAAATAAAAATATAAATACTGCTATAATAGGTAGTAACAACAGAAGCTGTGATGCTGTCATACAATAAAATATACTTACTTCTAATATTTCAGTTAATTTCGGCGGATAATTTATATTAGGTAATTCAACGTATTTCTTTGATTATCTGATTGACCGTTTTATTTTTAGAGGCTGGTCGTCGAGCGCTGTGTACGAAAAAACACGTGCAAATCCTCCATCGATTCTGCTCACAGTGTCCTGACGAACCGGAATTCGATGGTGTTCTAGCGCGAGTATGTTCTGTGATCACCCTTTGTCTTAAGCATCAAGCATTACCCGTACCGAATTCAAGTCCTGCTATTTTTAACCTGAATCCCATACTAAAAGGTGAGATTAAGCACTACAGACACCATATACTGCACTTTTCCCTCAACAAGCATTTTATTTCTCATTAATATTTTCCTAAATATAAAATCTGATTCACTTACCTAAAAGATGGTTTAAATTTGCTGACAATAATTATACAATATTTTTATAATAGTAATGTGTGAGAGTAGTAATAGTGTTTACATTTCATAACAAAATTTTATAAAAATTATGACCAGGAACAAACACATCATGGCCATGTCATGAAGATGAAGATGACGCCGCAAATTCAGACACAAAAACTGTAAATTCTGATTTGGACGATGACGAGCCGGATTTAGATATCGTAGGTATAGAAGATTTTCCAGATATTGATAGCGATGGCCAAGAAATAAATTCGGAAAGAAATAATGATAGCGAAAAAGGAAATAAAACTAGTGAAAGTATACAAAGTTCACTTTGGATCAGTCCTAATGAGAGAGATACAGAAGACTTAAAGAAGTATACTGAAAATTATTTTAACCGTTAATAAATTTTTGAGGAATTACATTTGCACCATTAACATTTTTATTTGTTTTCATTTCAGATACTACATTTATTTTAAAGAATTTGGTTCCTATAATAAACAAATAAGACAAGTAAAAAGCCGTTCCAACTCTAGAGGATCAATACTCGAGGAATTTTTAAATCAATCAAGTGGGAGTAAAAATGTATCTTCTTCGCTAAATCTTTCACTGTGTGCCATTCTAAGCAGCAATGATTACGAACGCGTTTCAGAACCCCATACATCTGTTTTCCAATGTTGTAATAGAATTCAAGAATCTTCGTGTAAGTCATGGTAACCTCAGGTAAATTCTTACTCATGTTTACATTGACTAATTTCTATTCTATGTTTTCCAGCTTTCACTTCAAATTCTTCGTTGAAAATTTACAAAGATATATCAAAATATAGTCTTTTCCAAACAGTTTACTGCGTGATTGCATCCAGAGTTCGAAGTGTTATTCCATTTGTTAAGGTTGCCTATCCTGACATGACAGGAGGCCAGAGCTTAAATCACCCAGAACCGCTTAATAAAATGGAAAGAGCCGCTTGCCGGTACTGCGTATATTTAAAAATAGTAATAATAATCACGTATTAAATGAATAATAAAAAAGCTTACTTTTTTGTAACCAGGAGCAAATTACTGTCGTGTGTGGATAAGGCTATTAACCCTGAATCATATCTGAACGAAGTTGTATACGATTTGGACCAATTGTGTACCGCAACCGCTTCCGACGGCTCGTCTCAGAAAAGGTTGAGTTTTCTCTCGTTTCTGTTAAATAAATTACCAAATATTAATAACATTCACTCATTATTCTAGTACGGACAGTGTTCTGTTGACTAACACGGACGAGCAAGAGATCTCAAAGGCTAATACTTTTCCAACACGCCTGAGCTTCGAGTCGAGATTTGAATCCGGTAATCTTAGAAAAGCAATACAGGTTATGTCAATATTGTATTAGGTGGTTTAGTTTCATTTGAATGAAATATGATAGTAACCATATTGACAATTGCATAATTCCAGGTAGGTCCACGAGAATACGATCTGATTCTGATGCCGGACGTGAATTCGCCCAAAAGGCATCAATGGTTTTATTTCGAGGTGCGCAACATGCAGGAGGGGCGGCCCTATATATTTAATATCGTTAATTGCGAGAAGTCAGACAGTCAGTTCAATTTCGGTATGAAGCCAGTTTTGTATTCTGTGAAAGAAGCTATTTCGGGAAAACCAGGTACCCCTACGTATTCTTTTGTTCGTAGCTAGTTTATGTTCTTCTTACGCACCTTCAAAAAACACTACCGTAATAGTGGAACTACTCAAATTTAATTTTCATTTCTTCAATGAAAATCACAAGAACTAGGTATATATCTAATTAGGCCACGTTATCTTTGATTTTTGCTATGAGCATTGCAATTTTATATACCATTTTTTACTTTGTTGCTATTATTTTTAAGTATGTATTTTTCGTACGTATTTTTGCTTTTTGACGTAATTCTATTAACTTTTGGAAGTAAATAGTTTGGTTTATAAATAGTAGACCAAAAGAATTCGTATTTATTTTCCGCATCATCGATTATACTTGTTAACTTTTATCATAATATATCGCCTATTAATGTGACTAATCTTGCAAACTGTTTTGTTATTCACAGCAAAATTAATATTATATGCTTGTTAAACTTAAAATGACTATGTAAACTAAAATAAATTAAAAAGCTTCCAGGTACAAATTATTAACTCAAAACGTAGCTATTTTAGAGTAATCAAAAATTAATCATACAATGGTTGACAGATACTAATTCTAATGACTAAAAACTTAAGGAAAATTTATATTTCTATCGTCCTACACTTTATTTACATTCATAATCATTTATTTCCAATCAGGATGGGTGAGGGCTGGTTCAGACATCTGCTACTATCGAAACAGCTATCACTACGCAAACCAGAAGAGCCACAACAAATGCTACCTAACAGTCACCTTCAACATCGAGTTCCCTCACACAAACGATGTGTGCTACATCGCCTACCATTTTCCTTTCACCTACTCTATGCTAATGGTAAACTCCTTGAATTGATATTATTTGGTAGATAAGCTGTTCGAAAGAAAGCTATTGTAAATATAAAACACCAACAAATTAGAAAAATGAAGGACAGTAGTAGGGCCACGCAGCAGCCTCGGCTGTTGCACGAATGGGCAGGCTCGTCCGGGTGGGTACCACGACCTCACAGAAGACCGGCGTTAAGTGGAAGTATAATACTTTCGCGTTTCGTCTGGTGAGTGAGGTAGCCGGAGCCCAATTTCCAAAAAGGTTGATAACGCATCTGCATACCCTCGGGTGTAGCAGGCTAGCAGATGTCCATGGGTGGCGGTATTCACTTAACATCAGGTGAACCGTCTGCTCGTTTGTCAACTTTTCACATAAAAAAAGACTGATATTCTCGAGAATATCAGTTTTTTTTTACATAATACGTTTATCGCTAAAGAATATTGTGGTACCAAAATATTTTCAAGTATTTCAGACTCTATAAATGGACTGGCTCGTCCAGAAAGTACCACCTCCTCCTAGAAGACCAGTGTACAATATTTAATCTTTTGCATTTATTCGAGTACGTGTGTAAATATCCCAACCTCTAAAAGCTTGGTAACAGTCAGCAATGGATTTTGTGGATATCCAAGGGCGGCGAAAATTTTTTTACTTCTGGTATACCACCAGATGTTTTACAATATTCTCTATTAAAAGTCCTTAGGAAGGACTTTTAATACGATCTTTCTTTAATTTAGGGTACGAAACTTATGTCTATTTGTTAGACATTGAAACGAGTAAACCATAAAATTGTAATAGTTGTAGTAAACTATAAAAATTTGGTCTGGTAGCGGCGGAATGGCGTCGGATAGTCAATCCGACCATTTAGATATCATGGCTACTGAAAGAGTATTCCTTGTATAAATGCATGAGAAAATTAATTAAAAATACAAGTCAAATAAATGTTTTTAACACTGTCAAAACTTCCGCCTAAATTTCATGAACATAATTTATATCCCACACAAACTTTTTTGTAACTACCTATTATTATAGTTGGCTAAAAAGAAAAGTTTGTTGTAATTTTAAGACCAAATAATTTGCTTTGCAGACACGCATTATGCAATGGAGCCTCCAACTACCCTTAGGAACATATCTACGAGCGGAAGCATTATGCTACTCATTGAATAACAATGAAGTTCCTTTGCTGACAATTACCGCGGAAGACAGCACCTCTAATCCCATTGTGGTAAATTTTGTAAACATTTAGTATAGAAAAGGACTTGATAAGCTTGGCATAAACTTTTATTCAATACGATCTTGTATAACAATAGAAATTTTGAAGAAATCACTTTCTTCTTCTCTCCACGGCGTTTATATGCCATGTGATACCACATCTAGAAGACACGTCCACGTCCATAACCCATCGTGACGTGGTAATACACAACCACAATGTAAGTGTTGCCATTAGGCATTGAATTAATAAGTAATGGCATAAGACCAAACGGCATGACTTTGATTTCTTAAGAGAGTGAGGCAAAGACATCTTTTGCGATACTACTTGTGTCTTCTTTGGTCAGGGCCGGGGGGGGCATTGGAGGTAGCTGAAGTAAGTGGCGCAAATATGAGTCGCTTTGTGCAGATTATTGAAAAATTCATAAATATTTTTTTTATTATAAGTAATTGATTAGATGACATATACATTCAGTGTACGCATTATGTGTATTTTTTGTAGAAACCAATGATGCAATAATTTTTTCTGTAAATAATGCATAAGTCAACAACCCATATTGATAAGACATACTACTCCAAACACCTATTGAAAAATATTCGTGTATCTTACAAAAATAATCATAACTCAAAGTATTACAAACATGTAACGAAGAATAAATTAGACAGTAAGCCCTTGAATGATTTGCATAGTTACAATTTAAACTCAAATTTGTATTTTTAATAAATCCTCTTTCAAAAACCATTGATATATTATGTTTATATTTTAAATAATACATTATAAACCCTATTATACCAAAAGGGTAAGCCAACAGGAAAAAACTAAAAAAAAAGGTACTGAATATGTTGTAAATATTGATGAGAAGTACCAGTAGATACACGCACTCCTTTTCAATTGTTTTTTTATCGTCTTGAATAGATCTTATCACAGTTTGAGTGACATATATTTATTCTGTTTCTTTACTCTCGTCTATAGAATAAGAATTAAACGTACTGAAAATAGGCTTTTAATTCTGTACATTATTATAATTAGTACGATAGAAATCACAAATTATATAATACTAGCTGTTACCCGCGACTACGTCTGCGTAGAATAGGCTGAAGGCGTAACATTCAGATGTAAGGACAAATATACATAAAATATGTATATAAATTATAGCCTATGCATATAATTATCTTATTCTGATGTATAAGCTATATTATTGTAAAGTTTCATTAAAATCCATTCAGAATTATTGGCATGAAAAAGAAATAACAAACATCCATCTATGCATAAAAACTTTCGCCTTTATAATATTAGTAAGGATAGATGTCTGCACCGGTTTGTGTTATCCTGTTTTGGTGCATTAAATCTACGAACAAAGTAAACATTTCTGTAGGCCATTAAAAAACTGTAAATTAAAATGTGGCATATTCAATGTACTTTTTTATTTTCTTTTTACTTTTTATCTCTTCATTGTTTTAGTTTTTTATGGTTATCATGATAAAATAACGTGTATTTAAATAGATTAACGTGCAAAATACGATGAAAATCCTGACGGCTTTGCTCTATTTTAGTATTATCATTTTTTTTAACTGTTATGATCGTCGAATTTTTTTAACGTTCACTGCTAAATTGAGAAATGTAGTGTTAAATTAAGGATAGCAAGTACCTGTTTTGTGGTAACGTACTCTGCTGTGGCCTAAAGGGGCCGACTCGTCAGGGTCATCACAGAACACCGACATAGAGTTGAAAGCTTAAACTTTCGCATTTCATCAGGCGAGTTAAGTAACGTGCCCATACTTTTAAAGGTACACAGACGACGATAATTGCTTAACACCTTTGCAACCTTCTCTAATAAAGAAACTCTCAGTAACATGTAAATAAATGGCCATTTTTACACATTTACATACATAGATTTTTTTCCAACAGGATCGCGACGTAATATTTCTTACGGCTCGAGTGCATCCCGGCGAGAGTAACGCCTCTTGGGTTATGGATGGAACGCTGCGCTGCTTGCTGAGCGACTCGGCCAATGCGGCTGCGATTCGTTCCAAATACGTGTTCAAAATCGTGCCGATGCTCAACGTCGAAGGTGTCATCAACGGCTGGTGAGTGACCGTCGTTTTTTTTCTATTTTCAATAAAATTTCCATTATAATATGACGGATTCAAATTCATCACGGAGCATGGAAAGAAATCCACTTAATTAACCAATCAGGATTTTTTGTACATTTTTAGACTAAACTGACACTCTCTCCGACATATCAAGCAGCTATAATGCCCCATAGGAATGATTTTGGCAACATCTTTAAACCTAACCTATAAAACTATAGAGGTCTACCGTAAAGCGCGCATCACGGAGAACTACTGGATAGATATCAATTAATTTTTCTAAGGTTGAGCCGTGATAGCTCAGTGTCCGGGCGCTCGCCTTTAATTCAATATATGATAATGAAGTTTTTAACTTTAAGTCCTGACTTATCACGTGCTTTGCGGTAAAGGAAAACATCGTGAGAAAACCTGCATATTTTCGAAATAATAACAAAAAAAAATTCGAATTATGAATAAAAAATGTGAAGTCCGCCAATCCGCAGTGAGGCCGCGCGGTGGACTATGCCCTGATACCCTCTGTATAGAGGAGGCCTTTGCCCAACAGTGGGAAATGTATAAGCTGTTACTTTACTTTACTTTTTACCTTTTCTAAGGTTTATTTCCTAGACACTCACGCCTTATCTAAAAAGGATATTTTGATATTTTTATAAGCCGTAATGTGTATTTTCATGCGGTTGGAAGTGGAGCAAACGGTGTTGTTTGTTAACATAATAAGCAACGCAGATGAAGTCCTGGGTATCAGATGGTAAAAAATAATTCATTTCAATCTTCTTTTTATTCCATAGTCTGGTATTTTTGTAAACTAGGTTACTTTAAGTTCACTGTCAACATTTTACATGGCTTTCATCATTTTTATACTCACTATTAAATTCTGTTGATAACATGATGAGTTAATATTATAAATTTCTTAAAAGATAATGTCTGAAATTATTTATTATTTTTTTCTATCTGAGAAGTTGGCAAAGCAAGCCGGCAGTTCATCTGATGTTAATTAATTACCACCGCCCATGGGCATCTTAAAGCGACCAACAAATCTAATGGAATGCTTTCACGATAAAATAACAGCGGAAGCGGCTTCGCGGCTCTGTTTACCTTAAAAATACCTTTCTACTTCTATACCTTCTGAACAATGGAGACCTTTGCCCAGCAGTGAGACATATACAGGATGTTACTTTTTTACTTACTTGTTGTACTGTATTTGTTTCCTCTGTATTCTTTTGTATAAATATATTATATAATTCTTCTGTATAAATTAGTTAACAATAACTATATTAAAGTCGCATCCATGATGGAATTAGATTTAATGAAATAATAAATCACATTTATTTATCTTTAATCGAACAATTTTAAAGTGGGAATAAAACATCACGCTATTTTAAGACTTTATTAACTCCACTACATCACTTATTTCTTAAATTCCTCAGATTTAACTTAATATACTTATCATTTTACGTCACGTATTATAAACATAGTCTTAAATCACTATTCCGAATGATATGTCCAGACCTTTAATCAGTGTCAATTTTCTTAAATACAGCTACATTTTACGGTTAAATGAAAATACCGGAGATCTGACACTAACTTATTATATCAGTGAAGTCTAGGTACGTCTTATTGAATATTCCCTCGCGATGTCCCTAAATTCTGAAGACGTTGGCGAGTCGTATTTAGCAAGTCGCCAGCATCTTCACTACTACCCATAAAACCTTTTAATTTCCCGCCGTTTTATTTTTGGAAATAAAACAAAAAAAACTTAAAGTAATAACCACATTTACATTAACGCAATTCGAATTGAATACCGATGCCTACAATGCACCCACAGAAGCAAGCTACATGTCTTAATGACGCTCCCTCTACAAGCGAGGTGCAGTTTAATAATGAATAATACTTTTGGTAGGGGATACAGCTAATTGTCATGAGTTGTTTACACTAAGACCGTTGAGACGGACGCTAGTAGGCGGGTGGTGCTAGCATGCCGCTAGCGTGGACGGAGTGCTCGGTAGCGTCCGGCTCGGCGGTCGACGGCGATGGCTCAACGGCGTCGCGCCCCTCCTGCCCGAGATAGGCCGACGCGTCGTCGCCAAGCATGCCCTCCTCGCCCTCGTAAGGCCCCTGGGTAGCCTCCTCCTTCTCCTCTTGCTCGTGACTGCGGGCGTCAGCGGCGCGCGAGTAGTGCGAATCGATCTGGGGCGAGGACTTGCTCGCCGCGATGCCGCCCTTCAGGTGAGGCGATCGCAGCCCGTCGAGCGATGACGGCTGCAGCTTGTCGAACAGCACGCTGATGTTGAAGTGGGTGGGCAGGTGCTCGGAGCGAGGCGGCGGCGGCGGCGACGAGGTGAGTGGGTGCGCCGTCGTCGTGGTCGTCAGGGACAGCGGTTTCCTAAAGCACGAACGCACAACCGACCCTCAAGTTACGGTGCGATTCGCATGGTACCCCGTCGTCTTCGCTTAGAAGCCGACGAGCGGATCATTCTTATAATATTGTTTGTTATTAGAAATCTTTTAGAGATACCAAGCAAAGCCCCCTTCACCCACCCACCAAATATATGTGAATGACGAACATGCATTCAATTTTATCTCGAGTGACGTTATTGATCCAAAACCATTTATCCGATAGTCTATTACGAAGCACTATATCTTTGGGTGTAGGGATCTTGTTTGGTGGTTGGGTTTAACAGAGAGGCCTAATCCCGCTGCGCACGCGCTTCGTCACCGTTAAGTATACCGGTAGTAATAATTGTACATCTGAAATGTTAGCACACAAACTACATCGTTTAATAAAGGTCTAGCAACTACGGGACCATGTTAACGGGGAATGTCGTCCTGGTGACACTTTTTATGGGTGCTGTGCAATGATAGTGCGTGGTGTGGTTGGAGAGCGCGCGGCTGGTCGGGGAGAAGGCCTCCGGAGACGGCTGGCATCTCACCTGGCATTACCCCTGCGCCGACGACACGGGGATGGAGCCGTAGTTGTAGTAGTAGCAGCGAGTCTGCTCGCAGATGAAGTCCTTGATCTCGCCGCAGTGTTGGGGCTCCCAGTGGAATTCGGGCTGCCTGAGAGCGACGCAACCATTCGCCATCACGTGCTCTGTCCTGGAATACCTAGAAACGTTTGAATGCCGCTTTATGCATACGAAACAAGTAACGCACGGACTGGAAATAGTTTTTAGCAATCAAAATATTTCATCAAACTGCAGATATTTAAGCGTCATTCCATTTCGTCGAACGGACTTTTATCTAATCACGTGTTCGCTCCCGTGAATAAGCCATTTCAGATACTGACCGTGAAACTGTTACGAATGTAAATATAGCTTTATATTCTTATTTTAATGAAAGAGAAGAAATCCTTGTGTGTTTGTCAATTAGGCAGCCAGTAAACTTACCCGTGCCTAGCAGTACGCTGAGGTGCGGTGCTCCCTTGGGGAAGGTCGACGGGGTCCATGCTGTCGTCGGTGTGCTGATAAGGCGTGACGTTGCTCATACGGCGCATGTAATTGAAGGTGGCATTGAACGGGAGCCCCGTGCTCATCCACAGATACATGTCAGTACCCAAATTGTTGCCCGACGTCCAGAAGTCGTATTTGTTGTATCCTAAAATTAATACCGAGGAAGTTTGACGTGAAATGGCTTGTGATAATTTAAAAGCGGTTCATCTGTACTCATAAAGATTCTGTAATAGTCAATTGATGAAACTTAAATGGATGGAAAAGCACAGGAATATGTATAAGTGTAGAAAGAAGATGATGATGAACGTATATAAGAAAGCATACCTGCGTTCAACAGATAAGTTGTTATGGAGTCCGCCTTTTCCTTTGTTTCAAAAGAAGCCAATTGTAGACCCAAAGATCTGAAACCATTATAAAAAATATTTTTCTCATAATTCATAACATATTGTGTGACGACCAGAGTGTGTGTACTCGTATGTGTACAAAATTACTTATTTTCCATTAAAAGGGCACACTATTAAAAGCATTACCTTGTTCGTCAAGGACAGATGAGAAATTTCCATTGGAATAGACAGCGATAATAAAAACGCAAATGGTCATTATTATTAAATAATTTGATGAACTTAATTTAAATTTAATGTTAAGACGAAAATAACTAGATATATATGCTCATTGACAGATACGAACTCATTACTTAAATATGAAAAATTGAAAACATAACGACGTCCTTATCGAGTATGGGGCGGTGCGAGTGTTACTGGATGCACTTAGAAACTTGTCCCGACGGATCGAGATACGCGATTTAGCTAAAAAGCTATTCCAGCTAATCGCACGCGGGGCTATAAGGACTAGCGGAGGCAGCGCGAAGCCTGTTTATCTTAGAGCAATTTATTCGCTAAATACACGCTACGGCTGCACAGAACTACATTCCGTGCAAGAGTAAGGAACTCTGTGAGATTAAAAACCAACGTCAAACGTCCCATATCAGTTACAGTCGGGCCAAATGATCCCACCGGCATCAGTATAACGTTTATCTTAATGCAATACCAGTTATAGATCTGCTTTTTTCCATAACAACACATTCGCGAGCGGCGCGATCCGTGTTATCCCTTTTCCAGTTTTTACTAAACGTTTATAGCAAAAAGCTTTTGGGAATAGTATAATTGAATGTTTTATCATGGCATAACCCAAGTATTTCAAATTGTTATTGAATTCCTATTCAAATAATTCGTTATTTGTTGTTTTAACATGGTAAATTAATTTCACATTACTGCATAACCGCAGTAGTATCATCATAGCTCTGTCGCTGTGAGTGCATTTGACATTAATGGTGTTGGAAACGGCTTGCACTTATTAAAATTTAATTCACGCACACGAACCACTTGCGAAGTTTCGAAACGTCAATAAATATTCATGACTTGAATTTTTATATCGCGAAAATAATTGCTGTTCCCATTGAAGTGTCCCTCGTATATCGACATATTTTTACGCAGTAACTGTTTCTCTGCTTTTTGTCTTGCCGCATCAGTATTCACTGTCCGTCCAGCAACCGGTCCAGTTTTTAGGAACATGCGTTTCTCTACGAAATTCGCATTGAGGCGTTTTGCATTATGATCATGAGCTTTTGATGCAACCGATTTGATGTTGGTTTCGTTAAAAACTTTTTATGGTTCTAATTATTTCTCAAAAGTTTATAACAAGATGTCAAGTGATAACAAAGTAGGTTGTTCCTAAGGGAATACCGCTAGCCCCTTTTGTTGAAAGTGATAACGGGAGACGATCAATTGGTACATTATTCGCAGCTCGACGCCACTTATTGTGCGATGTATGACGCGTCGTCATTCAGAACTTGTCAGGACCGATTCGTGGCCGCTCGTTACGACTAATACGACGGCATTCGAGACCAGACATTAAAGTAATTCTCTGTAATCCAGTATCGAACGTGTCTGACGCTTCAACTGTAAAAGGGGATGGCATTTGAATGTCACGAACAACGTTACCGGTGCCGTGAAGGCTAACAATCGAAGCTGTAAATAAGTGGGTCGTGACAGTGTTCTAATCGAAGGACATCGTGACCGAGCCGAGGCGATTGACCTTTGCGACTCCATTTGCGTAGCACACGTGTCGTGGGGGCCCGAGATCTTAAAGTGACTATTAACTAACTGTTGTAGCACTGCACAACAGTCTCCACTCTTGTACTAATAAACAAGTCCATCCGGGTAAATATTACGACCTCACTAAAAGACCGGAGTTAAGAGGATGTGTTATACTTCTGCATTTCTCCTGGTGAGTGAGGTAGCCGGGGCCCACTATTAAAAGGTGGCAACGCATCTGCACAACATCAGGTGAACCGTTCAGCTCGTTTACCACCTTCTCACATAAAAAAACGCCGCGTAAACCATTACATCGCACACGAGGACGTAAAAAAGCACGAAGCCTCCATTCCGGCGTAGAACAATGCAACAATAATAGCACCCGTAATGGTTTACGATCCACTCGCATACGATTCACTGTTTCGTCCGTCCACTCCGTTCGCGCCTTGCTCTCGGACGCTTTGCGTGGGAACGGGCCGCCTATAAAACCGCGGCGGGCATTAAACGGCGCAAACGGCTCGCGGAAGTGGCCCGCCGTGGCGCCGATATTGTTCTCGAGCTTTCCCAGAACCGCTAACGGTGTCGCAAGTGTCCCCGCACTTCCCGGTCGAGCGGTCCACGACTGCGTTGGGCCGACGCGACGCGCCCTCGGCGGGACTCGGAAAGGGCCACAGTTACGATAAATCGGATAAGGGGGAACAGTCACGACGTAACTATTATATCAAGCCGAGACGCGCCCCGGGGGGAAGTCGATACGATCTACACGAAACATCCAACGTGCCGTATCTCTTTTGGAACTTAATGCACACCCTCAGCCGGGTTAGAAATGCATCCTTACCTGCAGTACTGGTACGCTAGGAAGTAATTCAGCTCCGGACTGTATGGATTCATCCTGGATATGAAATATTGAACGCCATCCAGTTGTATCGTCGTTATCCTTTGAGCTGAAACAATACGAAAACCCTATCGTTAGTATACCATTGTAGTTAATAATATACACATATCATTTTAACAGCATAGATAATGATACTAAAACCGCAACGGAAATACCCGCTGTTACCGCGGCTTTATTGTTGTAATTTATTTTATCTGGAACTGAAGCTACCAGCTACTATCCAGTTATTATCTACTATTATGTTTCATTAAGGATCCACATTCTGACGTCATTAGATTGAAACTAGTTTAAACCTATACCGATTACTAAGTATGAAATATTTACAATTTTTGAAATGAAGATATCATTTTATATTTTGTTTAGGGTTGTTACAATTGATAAGTACATCATGAGCAGAGGTGTTGTGATCAATTGCTTGGTTTAAAATCATTGCATAAAACATTTAATACTAATAATAAATTTTATAACTAAGATGATTATGAAATAATTTTCAATGTTTTAATAGCTTGCTAGTGTTTGACGTATCCCTCTTTTTGTACGTGTTTTTTTTAGCATCATCGACATACAATCTCTAAAAATATCAAAGTCCCTCAAGGTCTTCATCCTCGAACGCGTTCCCAAAAGTTTATCTTTATTCATGACATTAAACTTATTTTCGATCGATGTGACCATATCTCCCTCGGGCCGTCGTGAAATTCGCACGACCGCTTGAAACGACGGGTCGCATAAAAAAGGCGCCACGTACGTGTAATGCATGCGATGCTCCCCTGCGGTCAGACCCCCGGTGTTACGTGCCTAATTAAATTCAATGTTCAGCGCTTGTTGCGGTCAACCGCAGCCCGCATAATTCCCAATAATAATTGAAACGCGCATTGAAACGGATACAGACGCGAAAGAGTCAACTTCTAATGCCGCCGAGCTGGTCTATTTTTGCTCTCGCCAGCAATCCGATATCGCGGGGCTGGTCTAGGACCGCGCCGGATACTGGTTCCCGGGCCCCAACGGTCATTACACCTAGTGCAAAGTACATTGTCACTTGTATCAAGAAGCATTGACGGGAATGGCTTGGGAATGCTGTCAACTGCAAATCACTTCTTTCTTAACGAACGTTTATTCAATTTACTTTTAATCGATAGAACACAGACAAAGAAATACAATACAATTTAACACCATATTTTCATTATACGTTGCGTTGTAAAACACGTTTGTTTGATCGGTTCAAGAGCATTCGACGTAATCTCTTCATCCTTTTTTTTCCGACTCTCATGGATCTCTAACAATCGGGCGCGAGAAAAAATCTCAATAGGCGAACGGTCTTTGTATCGGCTTCGAAAATAAAACTTATCGCGGAGCAGCGAGTCGAATGTCTCAAAGTGCAATGGAACGAACAATTTTCCATGGTTCTACGCAGAGGTCTACGAACTCTGCTTAGCTTAATTATTAACAAGCACGAAGGCGATTAATGATATAGAATAGCGTCTTCTGCCGTCTTTGTGGCAATTATAAATTGGCAATACCAGTTCCGCCTATCAATTAACTTTCGATAGTATTCTTCTTCATTTTACGATAACGAAACATTGTTTTAAATTATTATGAAAACTAGCTACGTCCGCTGCAATCATCTCAAATTTATATTGGTGTGTGTACATTTCTCCATTGAAGCCTAGGGTGTACTAAAATGTAGGCAGATAATTTGTTTCAGTAATAATAAAACTTTTAGCTCAGGATAATTATAGGATAAATATAGATATATATCAGGATTTTTGCATAAACAATACAGACAGAGAGTAGTGTATTTTATAAAATATGCGAAATCTCCCAAAAGCAATGTCAGTCTACTAGTGGACGCACTTTCAACTATTCTACTCTACTGGAATCAGTAAATATGTTAATCATCAAGGATTTGACTACCATCCTGCCTGACGGTAGGTAATTAAGAAGTGATCTATACTTTCGGAGTAAATGAATTGAAAAGAAACCTACTTTCATGCGTGATAAGTTCAGATTTGTTTTTATGTTTGTAAGTATTTTACTACTATATGTCATAAACCTTTTCTAATGCTGGCAATTTATTAAGAAAATATTCACTTCTTAATTTTAGATCGCGATAAGGTTCCCACTTGTCAAACAGTAGTGGATTTATAGGACATACAAATTTGGTTAACGACATAAATTATAGCTTTGGAATTCAAACCGATAGTTTTCCATTCGCAAAATGAAGTTACAAACTGACATGTACTCTGATGTGCCAGTGCTTCTAAATTGAAAACAGTATTTACATATAGAACTAAGAAACATTGTCGTATTATTTATAGAGTTATACAGAATCGGGCAAACTTCTAGCATTAGATGTGAAAAGCTTCGACATAAATAGGACCAAAGTTAATAACATGACTGATGCTATACTTAATAGAGTATGACAGGATTATGATATAAAAGGACGTCAAACACCCATGGAGGCTAAAAAGTGTTCTCAACAAATATTTGTGTGATAAAGATAAAAGACGTGTATGTGTGAATGTATGTGTCTGATTATGTACGCACATAAGAAATTACACTTCTTTGGCGTAAGGAAGTAATAGTAAACATGGAATCAACACCGTGAATTTTGTCCATAGGTTGTGAAAAACAATGCCAATATGTCAAAGCCTGGTAAACTGGTTTAGCCACATTACTTAAGGGAGATTTGTTGACGAACTTCATGTTCCCGACGAATGTCAAGTTATTCACGGTGTTAATTTCATGTCACTGTGCGCGTGCTTTGTAACTAAACTAACATAAAAAAAGAAGTATAACTTTAAAAAAAAGTCCATTATTCGGAGCCTGAGGCCGATGAACGTCGGGACCAGACGTGGCGCGTTGTTCGCCTCCAGCTGAACAAACCTATCTTCTATCTATCCTCTATGTATAAGAGATTTCAACCGACAATTGACCTGAAATTTGGTAGAAATATTCCTTTCGCCGTGTAGAGATCAGCTAAGAACGGTTTTTACGAAATGTTACCTGTTGGGTCCGCTAGTAAGAAATAACCGAGCATTTCGAGCGTAAAGAGGTATAGCTGAGGAAAGTGGTGGGGTCCATAGAGGGGGCACGTCGTGTCACGTCCGAAGTGCGCGCGAGGAATACTGATGCGCACGAGCAGGTCGCGTCGAACACGTACGAATCGAGGGCGGCCCCGCACGAGTTTAGACCACAGGTGAATTCGTTAATTGCGTTCGATGCCAATCGTTTCAATTTCCACCGCGGACTGTCAGCTATCTACCCCCGTTTGTTAGCAATGTCCTTTACATTGCTAACGAATCGCTCAGCAAAGCCTGTTCACTGTTGCCTAATCATATACACTGGCTCCATATATGTCACTTTAGCACCGAAATTTAAAACATCCGCCATAACTGACGCTGTCAAAAGTGTATATAAAAGTTCTGAAATTCCTTTGATAGGCAAAAATGCAAACTTACATTATTAGCACAGGTGCGACCCGTGCGCGAAGTAAACATTTTTATCGGGCAATCACTACGCCGGATATCGGTGTTTCTGTATGAGCAATTTGTATATGTAAATGGCTCCTACGACAGGACACGGTCCCCCTAAAAATATGGGTGATTTAGTCTCGAATATAATGAACCGAAAAGCCTCCGTGAATCGTAATGAGGGCCGCGGCGGAGCGAACGCCACGCACGGAGTCGGGCGCCTCTGGGATATCCTGTTGGCTCATCACCGGACGCGCCGGCCCGCGCTAACGGGCCGCAGACCAAAAGCCTTCGGCCAAAGCGACACTTAGTCACCATTGTCGCACATTTAGTAAATGTACTTAGATTTAAATTCATCCATCGGCCCATAAAGAACATCTATTATAAACACACATAAAGTATTGGACAGTAAAGGCCGAGGGAATAAATGGAACACGCCGATGGAAGTGCAATTTATTGCATATTGAATTTTGCCTTTTGTCAGTGAAAGAAATATATTTCACAAGTATTTATATTACATCGACTATCGGATAGGCGTCCGGAAAACGGGAGACTTGCTCCTTAAGTTGCCTAATAAAATCAATTAATATCTTTGATCTCGTATCAAATTGTTATGGATTGGAATAAAGTTAAGTCCACTTTACTTTAACAGATGTTTTTGCTTTCAGTCTGCTGACTATTAAACCTAAAATTGAGTCATAATACTTACATTGTACGATTTAAAAGGAAATTATTTGACAGAACAAACTTTACACAAATATCGTTAATTTTGTATTTTTTACGCAATATAAAATTAGTGTTACTACCGTATGTTCACGAATAACATCATATAAAATCACGTAAATCTAAATCCAGAACACGGCTGCTTTAAGTTATTGCCCCATCTCGGTCGTGAGTTATTCAACACTTCGTCGGATAAATCTCAAGCGCTGTCGCTATTCGCGACCAATGCAATAAGTGCATCGCAAATAAATACCTCCTGCTGTGAGATAGAGGCGAATCCTTGTATATGGGGTCGTTTGAAGCGAAGTCGGCGCTTGGAGGAACCCGGAGCGGAGCGCTTGGAGGGACAAGCGTCTTAAGGGAGGCTCGGGTACTATTTTTAGAGACGCCATTGCTTGTGTACCGACCGGTTCGCGGGCCGCGGCTGCCCTGTCCACTTAATGTCTCACTAGATACGGCCTTCCGAAGCCGCTCAGGCATCGATAATGGCGTGCGTGACCTTTAGCAATGATTACACGATGCAGATGCGGTTAGGGCAATTACGCGTGCGGCGAACAACGAGCCAGTGCGCTATTGCTCGGGAATGGAACATGGGCCCTCTCAAGCTCTGAGCTTTTCTGGCGCCGGTAGACGAAGTTTAATTAGTTTTTTTTAAGACAATTGATGCAACAAATTTTGGTAACCGACAGTCACATTGATTTATCCCAAATCCCGATTTATATATGAGCTCGGGATATTAATTTTTCGAGTAGCGATGGGAATAGTTGGCACGGAAAAGCGTTAAAGAATTACATTAAAAGGTTTCAAACAGATGTGGTGATATTTTATTAACAGAATTGGAGAGAAACTATGTATAAATTTGTCTAACATATTACTTCTATTCAACCAATAGAAGGAAAAGCACATTCTCATTTGTATTCGCTAACATCGCTCCCGTGATGGGATTTCAAGTGGCGAGTAACAATAACTACGACTTCCTTCCATGAGGGGTTGCTGTGAATTTTTAGAGCTCAAATCGTTAAAGCATTCCTAACCCGTCCGCGTCGATCTAATCTAAGTCTTTCCTGTCGTTCGATAAGTTACAACGATCGTTAATATAACATTATGAAAGTTTTTACGTGCCAGTTTGAAAAATAACCGAATTTTTTGTTACAATGTGTAATTTTGCTCTCTTATTTCATTTTTGCCGTAACCATTCAGTCGTTCGCCTCTCCCTCTTCTCCGATTTATCTTTCAAAATGGGTGGCGAAACGCGAATATAATCGACATCGACGATGCCGTTAAATAGTAATAACCGTAAGCAGAGCTGCGTTGGCGCCACGGCACGGCTTCCGGACGCATAGCTGCAGTGCACTGCGTTACATAATACCAAACCAGTCCGCTGCCACTCGCCCTCGCTGAGGACACGAGTTACGTTACAACGCGCAACGAGCGGAGGGCAGCTGCCACATTCACGTGCTTTGGCGTTCCAAAGTTTTGCTATCTTGAATTCTTCGCGCCCTTGTTGTTCGAATTTGATTTCCGAACGGTCGCAAAAACGCATTCGAATACCCGTCGGAGCACGTCGAAGGCGACGCGTCAGTGAGAACGGCCAGCGGCAGTACGTGGTCGGATAACGCAATAAAGGGGATTGAGATGAGGGCGGACGCGCGGTGGAGTCGAGACCAAGGACGGCTCGCTCCACCAATCCCCCCCCCCCCCCCCCCCCCCCCGCCACGCCCCGTCGCCCCCCGCGGAATGCACCAGCCTCGACTATTTTTAGTAATGAAACCCGATACGCAAACAAAAGTTTGCGAACGCATGCGATCCCATTGAAATTCAAAGTTGACCGCGAACGCCGTTTAGCTTGCACTCTTTTTCTGGTGTGCACATGAGCGTGGGCTTTAGATCCGTCTGTAATGTTCGAAAGTTTATCTTTCTATGTCTAAGTCAAGATGCATCTTGACTTGACTGTCTTCGGATTGGGCCTACTGTGTGTTGCTTCTCATCTGTCATTACTAGCATATCTGTCATAGTGGCATTCCACTATGACAGAGATGCTAGTAATCTTTGGCGTTCGCTTTTTAGCTCGATTCTATATACCCCTTTTTGACAACAGAAAACGGAGATTAAACAGCTCGAAATTCTTTTTCAAGCTATGCAATGTTAAAAAAAAATTATTATTATATTGCCCACTTACTGTGGTGGACTATGCCCTGATACCCTCTGTACAGAGGAGGCCTTTGCCCTGCAGTGGGACATTCATAGGCTGTACTTGTTGCAACCACCCAAATCCGAAACAATTCCATCACGGTGGTAGGGCCACGCAGCAGCGTCGGCTGTTGCACGAATAGGCAAGCTCGTCCGGGTAAGTACCACGACCTCACAGAAGACCGGCGTAAGATTGGGCTCCGGCTACCTTACTCACCAGACGAGTGAGGTTGAGCCGGAGCCCAATTTTCAAAAGGTTGTCAACTCAAAACTGCAAACCCTCGAGTGTGGCAGATGTCCATGCGCGGTGGTATTCACTTAACATCAGGTGAACCACTTGCTCGCTTGGCAACTTTTCACATAAAAAAAATATCTGTGGGTAAATAGTTGCCTAACGATGCCATGTGATAATCTAACACACGATCCCAGGCACCGAAAATACCTTGCCAAAATGGAATTGCCGTGACGGAATTGCCAAATACCTTGGCAACTCCGCCACGGAGTCATATAACAAACTAGCGTTATAACTTTGTTGAGGTCCAATTACAATAGATGGTTAATAAAAACCTAAGAAAAAACTCAGCTGTACGTACGTTACACAAAAACCATAGTTTACGGGCGTGAGGAAATTTCTGTGACGTATGCGGTAACATGATATAAATTTAGTCTAGCGTCGTGAAACCCACGGATAATCTAAAATTATGGTAATTCATAGAGACACCGATCTTCTAGGCCGGCGTCGACAAAAAAACAAGAGAAGGTCGCGGCCAAGGAGAGATCCCGCCGTGTTGTAATTCGATATAATCACCACCTGGCGCGCGCATTACGTACCGAACTATAGAGCAAAAGAAACCAACACGAGGATCTACCATATACCATAAATTAGATTTAGATACTGTCGATATCGGCCCAGTTCGGTAGTTAACCGGTTACAAGGTTATTTTATAAAAAACGCGTAATCGAAAAAGGTTTTTTAACGCGGAATAAAAATTATGGTTTAATATCTTCCATTGTTATTTTTAACTCTTATGTAAGTCTCAACTTTTGTACAGACAATCAACCAAATTAATTTGTTTAAATCTTTTTCGTGTTCCACTATTTGTTGTTATCATTATTTAATTTATTTATTTTTTAATTTTTAACAGGATTAAACAACTCTAAAATGATAAATCATAAAATATAAAATAACAGTAATACTTCTATCCTAAGGTGGTTATTTTATCTTAAGTGCTGCCTTTTAACATTTGACAAGTAAATATGTCTGTAAAAGTAAAATAATAGTTCGAATATATGTAAATTCTGCCAATCTGCACTGAGTAATAGGATAGACATACGTAGTATATAGGCTCTTCTTTCAAGAGGAATTCTCCACTCCTCGTTCAAAAAGAATTCCAGCCTCCATAATATAACAACACCGTTATACATAAGTGAAATGACATGCTAGATTTGTCATTATTATTATTTATCTAGAATTCGTACATCATTGGACGACAACAATTGTCCTAGCTTTCGTTATGAAGACGAATCCCACAAATAAGAAACAAGGTACAATGAGCTGGGCCGTTATCATAACATTCGATTGTACTCTAAAACAATACGTGTTATGACAGCATGGTCCAGTCGTTATTTATATAGCGATCCACGTGAATTATGTAATAAACGGCGTGATGTAATAGATAAAATTCATCTTCACACAATTCGCCGCTAGCTTGCTATTTATTTGTATCACCGTCAACTACTGCAAAGCGCCTAAAGGACTTGGCTACGGTAATCTATTCACCAAGGTAGAGCCATGCAACGGGTTTTAGAATTGCATGCACGCTCAGACTCTTTCGATTAAGAACCAATACTAACAGAAGACCGTCGGGTAAACAGGAATATTCATACTTCTGCATTTCGTTCAATGTGGTAACTTGAGCACGCCTACGGTGGTACTCATCATCACATGTACCACCTGCTCGTATTCTCTTATTATTCCTCTTTCTTTAATTCTATTTTAATGTTGTACTTTTTCTGGTTCGGTTTTTTGTAACCGAAAAAGTCAAACTCAAAAGACGGGAGCAAAAAAATTTCGGAATAGAGAATGTTTCTTTTCGAAATCGTTCTAAAACTAACTTTGAAACCGTAACAAATTGATGTGTGAAGACAACACAACCGTAACAATAGAGGACTCTGCGAATCGCGAGAAAAAACTGTAGAACTATGAAAAGCAACAATGAAGTGATACGTGCACAATTAGCACAAAGCACAATTAGCGCCGAAATAAAGTAAGAAGATTTCGAACTGAATCGTATTGCGGGGATACGATTGCGATAATGTAATGATTGGCGATGCTAATGTGTGATGGCTAGGATGTCCTATCAGTATCTGAGGTCAACGCTATTGCAAGCTTCTACGGCAGCAGCTCTTTAGAAGGATAGGTAGCATAGCAGCCAGGCGCGGCAGGTCGTGACAAAAAAAAAGATCGCGGAAGCGGCACGCCAGTAGATTCGGGCCGATGAACCGCGCACCTGTCGCCCGTACCCCCCCCCCCCCCCATCGTCTTCCTTCCACGTTTCCGCTGCATAGTTTTTGCCGCCGGCTGATCGACGCGGACACGGCTCATTAGCGGAATCGCCGCCGGCCGCTATGATTGGTGTGAAACGGTTTGCGTTTGCCGCGCGGCCGTCGATTGCTCGACGAATCGCCAGAGGGACACGCATGGTCATTGACGCTTCTGCCCCTTCCGAATGCCTCGGCTTATGCTCGACCCACGCTCCAGGGCTGTTCTTATGGACGCGAAGCTGAACCACGTTTCCTACGCGGTTCGCACACGTCGGTGTCGGTTTAAATGCAGGATCCGACCCTGCTTCAGTGGCGCATAGTCGACGCTCAAATGTTGATTTAACTGACGTTCGAAGACGCCGCCCCCCCACTTAGCCCCTCATGATTTTTAATAATCCCCACAACTAACATCATCAGAGAATTATATACAAGACAAAACATAGTAAAATTACGAGTGCAGACTGGTGTAGGGACACAATCCAATTATTAAACTTTACGAGTCTCATGTCAAAGAAAAAAGGATACTATATCTTATGCTACGTCTGGAGACATGGTATCCTTTGTCAGTGATTACACCGTTTCTTATTTATTACACGAATACTTGAACCTCTCTGAAATTATTAGTCCTAATCGACGAGATCTTTACCCCATCGCTTATCCAACACGTGTGTATCGTGCAAGTACTTGGTTTCATGGCGCATTTCTTTCCGTCCGGTGCATTGTTGAGGTGTCTTACCTGCTCCCGCGGCCGCACTTGAGTCAACATAAGACAAACGTAAAATAGGCCAAAACCCTTTGCATCGGATGTTTCCATTTAAAGCGGACCGCTCAAGTTCCACGCGGCAAATTTTAAGTATATAATGAGCTTGTAAATGAACAGTGCTTAGTGAACCCCTAATAGCATGCAAGTGTTTTAGTAAACGATTGTTTAGTGTGTGGCGCTTTATGGATTTTTAAAGAGGCCTGGTATTAATTGCCAGATATGCGAAGAGTTGAATAAGGGAGATAGAATAAGCCTTTAAAACATAAGATTTTTTTAAAGCTAGTTTATAAAACTAAAAATTTTACAAATAACGTAGAAATATTTTTTATGTTATTTTATTGAATAATCAATAATTATTTATTAGATTTACCGATAATTGGTGAAGGTAGTTTACGTTTTTCAATATAACATTAAATTATTATATTTTTTTCTATATCTTAGTACCTATCACTATAATTTTTTTAATGAATTTAATATTATCTGCGTGTTGTTCACAATACTCAATAGCATCACAAAGGAAGTTTATTTATGAAGTTCCGCATTAAAGATAATAAAACCTTTTTAGCACCTAAATTCAAATGAATGTTATTAAATCATATAGTGTCAGGTTCAACAACCCGAGGTATGTAATTAAAAATATAATGGTTATTCGTAGGGTTGTGCCACGAAGAAGGCATTGTACTATAATGAAAGCTGAACAATGAAGGTCGAGGACCCGTAGGTCACAACAGCCAACTTGCCGCGATTACCAGGCCCGAAGCGTGGGTATGGCCTTACATAATAGCCCCACAGCGTCATAGGTGTAGTGATATTATGAAATGAACTTCATATGTATCTAATTTATAAATTGTAAACCATTAAAAATCGGAACTAGACATCTTTAATATCAATTTATTTCAGTTAAATCATTGAGTAAGGCGGATAAAGTGAACCTTTGTATGAAATCGTAATCAATTTTACGAATGAATGTCATATCAGTTCACTGAATGATTTCCTTTAAGTAACATAATCATCTCATCTCTTTGGCCACTTCTTATTGCTCTACACGTTCCCACTAGTTGGTTTCCATTTGGCACCTAAAATAAACCGCCCGACTAAATTCTATTTTATATGTTGTATAAAGACAGCGGTATACTTACTCGATACGGGGCCGATGCTCGCCGCCAAGAGGAGGAGGCTGGATGCTACGAGGAGCTGCATGTTGCCGGAGTCGATCGTGTCTTGAACGGTATCTGATATTGGCTAACACTCGCTGGAGTGCGCTAACGCAACATGGGACACTCGGGCACACTGAGCGCGCGCTACCCGGGACCCTCCTTATAACAGTGACGCGTCCCGCGCGCTCCACCGCCGAAACAACGGGCCCGTTCCCGCGTGCACCGTCCGAGACGCGCTCTACATCGCCCATTAGACGCCGTCATCATCCGACGCGGTTGATAGTCGGCCGGCGATGGATGTGACGCAACTGTCTTGGATCGAAGCCGCGGCGAGCGGATTCCGCCCGGCCGCGGACGTCCGGCAATCGGCGCCCGCGCTCGGGATTCTCGTGTCGTACCGCACAATAGTTTGCGTTCGCGCTCAATTTGCTCTTGTTGCGGCCGCAGCGGACTCCTCGCTCTCCAAGAGGCCGTAGTGGTTTTTTCCTCCTGGGCTGCCCCTTTGTTGTATCGCCCATTGAACATCTTGAACACCCCGACTGCAATTATTGCACGCGTACTAATTTACTCCCACAACACATGATGCACGCGCAGAAATTCCATTCGCGCTATTTTATGGGCTCATATAGTTGCGCCAGCGGAGCGCGGTCGACCCGTCTTTTAGCATTCATAATTCATAAACCCCCTGTTCCTAAGGTGACGTGGGGCTGTATTTTGGTCCGTTACAAGTTTTATAGTGGTATGCTAATTAAATATTAAACTATCTATGCACCCCACAAAAGTAAAGCCCGAACCTCTTACAAGAGAATAACTATATGTGGATCACTTAGCATATTTCTTGTTATTTATCTTATGACTGTATAAAAACATGAAGCATAATAACTTGAAGTAGCAAGTTATATACGTATCTAAGAATTTATTTTTAAAATCTTATAATTTATTTTCTTGTGAAAATAACAACTTACAAAATTTACTTTATTCCAATGAAATAGAGTGCACTGCACGTTTCACTGTTTAACATTTTGAATTTATAAGAACAGGCTTAGTCTATATTATTTCCTATCAGTTAGTTTTTGTTCGAATCCGGCACTAATAAAATAATTAAATACTAGTTGTGATTATTCTGTATTAATCGGATATTTGTACCTTCTGGTCAATAATCAAAATGAAATTTTCCTAAAATTTTGAACATTAACATATATAGCAAAATTTATAGCTATATTGCATTTATAGCAATACTTGGCGTTATTTAACGTGATTCCTTTACAGCAATAACACTTTCTTGCAAACTAGAGATGTAGTAGACTTTGCTGTTGCATTTTACAGTTAAACTTTTTAATTTTTAGTGATCTCTGAAGATGAAACTTAAGATGAAACATAAAAATAAGTAGATAAAACTCAGTGACTTCTCAATTACTGTGCTAAGTTTTCTATCGTATTCTTTTATCCGTATCTTTCAACTTACGGTACTTCATATTCATTATACAAGTTTTGAACTTACAATAATTAACAAAACGTGCTTGCTTTTAGTAATGGCAGGAAAATCAAAGAAACGTCATATATATATTTCAGGATATTAATTATTTTTTAGTTTTAGACAGTTTTTTCTAGCCTAGTCAGGTCTTAACAGTTTGAGGAAACATTTTACACGGCTTTATTTAATCCCGAAAGAAGCAAATCTTGTAACATGACACCATGAGTACTAGTTACTGATATGCATACTTATATTTTGTTAATAAATAAATATTAGAGACATATAAATAACCGAACAATAGAAAAATAAATGATCATGACACAATAACAAGGAGTGAGAATCGAACCTACACCCTCTGGCACAAGAGAGGTTCACCATACACTACACACATCGGTTCTAAACGTATCTTCATTTAAGCGTAACCCTTGCCTTTATATCGTTATTAATTTGCTTTTGAAATTATATTGTTGAAAATAGTAACTAGCAAAGATGATATTTATTGATCTACATAGGGGTCGAAAATCCATTATGAACAAACTAATATTGGTAGAAGAAAGAAAGTATGTTCTTACATTCACACAACCTTCTTGCATACCGCTTGCTAACAGTGTGATTTAAAAACATTATTATTTAATTACCACAAATAATTGAGTGAGTTTATATCCTACGTTCTCTAACTCATATCTCACATCGACACTGTTTGTATTTTTTATGTTGTATTTACGTGCGAAATATATTTTTTTTATTTCCGTTACAACAACGTCCCCCGCCCATAGATGTTTACTTACAATAAAATGTATAGCAAACAAAATAATACTGTCCTGCTTCTAAAGCTAATTTATCTTTGGCAAATTATGGGTAAATTATCTTCACCACGTTTGAATGTAAGGGTATATATTCCACGGTAGTATCATCATTAAAGTTAATCAATTAGTCTGTTAAGAAAATAACAGAAATAGCTATAAGTGATTTGTTTTACAAACGAAAATGTCTGACGTTGATCACAGGTCAATATTGCATTCATATTTAAGAAAATACATAATATCGACATTTACTAGCAATTCATCCCAATAATTCCTACTCATGTGGTAGTATTTCTTGGAATACCGAAGGTTAATATCTTCTTAATCTACCTTGTACGTTGCATAAATATACAATTTTCTTTACCTCCAACATCCAATTTACCACTTGCAGCCGCTGACATGTATACAAATTGATACTTATGGCCTTGCGATAAGATACAAATGTTCAGCAGCAGCGTTAGTTGCACGCGACCATAAGTTTAAATAGTACAATAACTCATTTCTTAGTATTCGTTTCGTTATTCATATGGCATGGTCATAAAAAGGCGGCCGTCGTAGGCACTCGGGCCCGTGATTGCGCCAAATAATCCAAAGACAAGACAAAAGAATGCATTTATCAATGGCAACACGAATTGTAATTCTTCGCGGCATTGTAGTCCTTTCATCAATGTTCAATAATTTTTCGGAATAAAATTATAAATGAACTTTATGTTTCAATGAGTCATATCCAAATGGTCTGATATAATTAAAGTTACTACATGGTAACTGTACAGAAACTAAACTCGCATTTGTCCTGGACGAATAAGGTTTGTCCAGATATGGCCATTCTTTGTTTTCTATCGGATTAATAGCTTAATAATTTCTTGTATTTACGCGATTACACATTATAAATGAAACTAATTTTACGGATTTATCGCGTTTATTTTTAATTTTAATTCCCGACGTTTCGAACCCTTTACAGCGTTCATGGTCACGGGACAGACTGAGGTGTTAGACGTCTGATTGTCATAGTTAACCCGGGCTACCGTCAGTTTTTGAATTATTAATTTTGTGTCCGATCTATGCAGAGGGAGCTAATTGTATCTTGTCTTGCAGTAGTGGTTCGTTTGGGCCTAGATTTAATTTTATTGATGACAGGATCCCAAGCTGATGGTAGTACCCAACCTTCTTCTCTATTGAAATTAGGGTGTTTTTTAATTTCAATAGCCTCGCGAATCATCCTTGGGAGGAATCGGTGTTCTTTTGCAAGGATCTGTGGTTTGTCAAACCTGATGTAGTGGTTGGGCCTATTCAAAATGTGCTCACAAACTGCAGACTTGTTCAATCTATTGTGTTTTATGTCAGCTATATGTTCTTTCACGCGGGTTTTTATTGCTCTTTTCGTTTGACCTATGTAAGAGAGCCCACATTCACAGTCAAGTTTGTACACTCCTGGATCTTGCAGAGGGATATTACACTTGACAGATGGTAAAAACTGACTAATCTTCTTGTAGAATGTATTAATTGAAGCCTGCTTTAAGATATAGCCAATCTTGTCGGTGACTCCTCTGACGTATGGTAGAACAGCAGGTACTCGCTCCACTGTGGCTGGTTTCACTCGGTCACTGTGACGTAGGCGCGGTGCTCGAAGCTTGTTGTCATGCAGAACTTGCTTGACATGTTGAAGCTCAGCGGCCAGTTGTTGTTTGTCACAGATCCCTTGTGCTCTCTGAAACAAAGATTTACCCACGGTAGCTAACTGGGATGGATGGTGGTGAGAATCACCGTTTAGGTATCTATTTGTATGGATTAATAGCTTTTTAAATCTGAAAAATATATTTAGCAACCAATATAATAAAAATGTTAAAGGTATAATTTTTTAATACTTAAAACTGATTGGTTAGGTTAGTTACGTCACCTTTTTTATATAACAAAGCATCCTGTTTACCGTATTTATAATTTGTAATCACTTAAATACAAGAAATTAATTTTTTAATATGTACGAAAAGGTAATTTACTGATGTAAACCCAAAATTTTATTTCGGACGAGTAATTAGTTATTAAAATAGAATGTAGACTACCGATAAATACGAATGTCACGTTTACATGTATTTATTGTCAGCATTTCATCAAGAGAATAGATTTTTATCTTATGAATACTTCCGTTATTCTTTTTCGTAGAGAACGAATCAATTATCACGGCATTGAGATTGCTCAAAGAACATAAATGACACTTTACCCAACCTCTTTGCATCCGACTACATAAAGTAAGTTGGACCGTGTTTTTTTTTATTAAACAAACCCGGCCCTCGCACGCCCTATCGCGAATAGTTCGCCGTGTGAAGGTGTGCGTTATTCCTACGCCTCATTAGCAAAACACACCGCGACGAGTGGTTTCTGTAGCATTCGCGTTCAACCCCAGAAAAGTGTACGAGGATCTAAGAATAACGCGGTGCCATTAATAAGCCTAGTTCGTCCGACACGAGTGGCAGTCGGATAGAGTATCGTGAAAAAAAAGAAGAACGGATGGAATACAATGCGACAGGCGGAGAGTTCGACGAGTTAGATCTCCGCTGAAATAAGAGCAATTAGAGTACATGAATACTTGAAAGACGCCGCTCCCTCGCCACTTTGAGCACGGGCCTCCGAGCGGTACGTTAATTGGTGGGGCACTGTTTGCTCTGGGCCCGGCGCGCTCTCCCCGGCTTTGACACACTCACCCTGTAGCTACGCCGAGCGCTGTGCGCGCGGCCGGGCGCCGCGAGGCCTATTTCTAAAAATAATGCCACGTATATTTAGTAGCTCATTGTATTCGCAATACGAGATATTGCACCCAAGTCGGACCGAGCACAGGATGCACCGAAATGCATCGAACAAACGGAGGTGCGCTCCTAGATCTCTGTTTATTTAATCGAAATGCGAATTGGGTGGTTCTTTTTTAAATTGCTTTCGTTCGGAAACGGAGAAAAAAAGTTTTGAGGCATTACTTTAATAGCCGCAAAAGGAACAAAAGATACGGAACGATTGTTTTTTTTTTCTCCCTCGATTCGAAGAAAATTTCCACACTGCTCCGTGAAGACTTTAATTGAACGGCTGCATGACTCCGATGTTTGAATGATGGCAATAATGGTGGACCACACGTACAGCCTAAACAAAACTATCAATACGGTCATCACAGGCGCACCGATCCTTGTCAAAGTTATTGGCGTGGAGCATTACTCAGGTTAAATGAACTGAAGCTCGATGACTTTGTGCACCATGAATTATTCTTGAGCATTTAAACTACATTTTTATACTTTCTGTATCTGTTTTGAATGGCCGAAGTAAAGTTACAGCCTATATATGTATGTCCACTGGTGGCCAAAAGTCTCCTCTGTACATTGAGTATTAGGGCGTAGAACACCACTCGACCCGACTGCATACATTTATATCCTATGCGAGAGATATTAGCAGAGACGTGATGTCAGCGCTTAAAATACAATTAACCATTTTTTTGGTGCCGGCACCGAGACTTGAAATCAGGTTGTTCGAATATACTAAATCAAAAACTAACGCTCAGGCACTGAGCTATCACGAATGGTCTAATGATTTAACTAAACCGCGGTATCGCTATTTGCTTGGGCAACTTCGTACAGCCAATGGTTACGATATTCTCTAGCCATTGTATTACCGCCGCATTATAGTAGAGGCATAACAGGCTTACGAGGATAGTGGCGGACGCTAAAAATAAAATATTATATGGAGCATTCCTTTACTGGACGTCCCTGAATAACATTCGGCGCTCTACTGCGCCATTACACTGGAATGGCATCTGATTGCGCATTACCATATAACTACGGCGGAATTTAAATAGTACGATCGGTGCAAAACGAAGTTCTTCGTCCTTTAACCGGCTATCTGTCTTACAAATCTACCGCGAATAACGGAGCGAAGCGGGACCGGTCGTCGTAAAAATACACCCGACAGACCGGATATCATAAAAAGGATATTCCCGCTTTGGACGTGATTCATCTTCTAGAAGTAGACGATTTATAGTAACGATTGTATAACGTTTTAAAAGAAACTTGGAAACTTGGAGGAATTAGAAGACATTTTTTTTATGTGAAAAGTTGCCAAATGAGCAGACGGTTCACCCGATCTGAAGTGAATACCGCCGCCCATGGACATCTGCTATATCCGAGGGTTGCAGATGCGTTGACAACCTTTTGAAAATTGAGCTCCGGCCACCTCACTCATTGCCGTTCAACATTTTTGATAGAAAATACCAAAAGAACACTGTCGTTTACCTCACGATAATGATTATATATTTTATAGACGCTAAACCGATGTCAAATGTGCTTTTCACTTCTTAAAGATTACCACAAATTTTTTTCACTTCTTAAAGATTACCACAAAAAGCAATCTATCGATTTTTCAATCGATCAATCAATAATAATTTGATGTTCATTTTAAGGTTTATTTTAATGATTGTAATGCTATTTTATGACTAATAACTGGCAAAAATTAGTCTATGACTTTAAGCAGCTGAGCTACTCTTTCGACATTGTACTAATTACCTACATTTGTCTATTTTGTTTGGACATGATCAAACGCTCGATCGACGGTTTGAAGTCAGCGTACGTTGTAGGCCATTGTGAATAATTCCTCTCGCGCCGTAACCAATCCAATGATGTAACCATGAGGTCATTACGATTGTTCGTTGCTTGTACATCCGTATTTTATTTCTTCAAAGTCATCATTTTTTTTCTCAATTTCACACAACATCAATCTTTTAAACGTCGTGTGATGTCGACTGAATTGTTCGTAACTATAAATTTTCGATTTGTCGTCAAATGGAACTTCAAAACCCAGACTGGTTTTTATATTTTGACGATAAAGCCATCGCACGACATTTAAAAGATTTATGGTGTGTGAAATTCAGAAAAAAGAAAACAGTGTGGTCCTTTTTTCATAATTATGTGATAGAAGGACCCGTGGCAGCTTGGTGTCCGGACGGCTTAGTTTTAATTCAGTATACTCGAGAGAACTGAGTTCAAACCCTGATGCAGCCGGCAACAATAAAGTTACCTACACCTACACATAATTATATTCGAATTAATGACAATAAAATTGTATGTGTGGACACACGTAAGAAGTTATACTTTTTAGCGTAATAAAGGAAAAATAACTAAACTTTTTTCCCCTGTTCCTGTACACATTGTTTGTGAAAAAGACATTAAATGCTGACGATAACGGTTTAATTAAATTCGTTGCCATGGTAATACCGTGCAGTTAATAAAGTTGGACTTCATCGTCACTTTTTGGCTGTCGGCGTGCGCGTGCATCATATTTTTTTCCAAACGCGCCAAAAGAAGTATATCTTCAAAAGTATAATTTCAAAATTTCGATATTTCGGATAAACTTGAGCCGGTACAACACTGTGTTTAAGCAATTTAAGTTTAAATCCTGATGGCAACAACAATGAAATTGTTTATTGGCAATTATAATTTTGCTGATTTATTACGCGCTCAGCCGTGCAGGAAAATGTCGTTAGGAAACCCGTATATTATCAAAATAATTGTTTTAAAAAATTTTTGAAGCTACGTGAAGTCTGCTATTGAGTAAATGTGCTATTGATGAAGTGGTGGAGTCGCGTGGTGGACTGCCCATAAACCCACGATACAAAAGAGATTTTAGCCTATCATTGGCCCATTATACGTAGGCTTTAGTTTATGTAAGGTCTCCCAATACGTACTGGGGTTGCGTAAGTTAATGACATGTACTAATAACCATATATTTATTTTATTGTTACTCACTCATTTTATACGTCGAAGCAGTTAACTCCGTGGCGCATTATCAATTTATTTCTTTACTTTTCTGAAAATTTCATCAAAAAAGAGCCTTGTTATATTAACGTTATATTATCTAAAAAAATAAAGCATAAAAAAATTAAGTGTTCTCGCAAAAGGCATTTTCTTCATTATCGTAAAATTAGATCATAAAAACCGTGTTAAAAATATATTTAATGGGTTTGTTACTATAAATATGCATTTTCATGTAGGCTGAATGGCTTATTTGAAATAGTAGGTATATTTTAAACCAATGTTTAATTGCAATCGCAACTTGCATTGCCTCGCCGACGGTGACATTTTTATTTCTCCGCTCCCTTCCAATCGCCGCGTACATCTGACACGAGAGCTTTTTGTTCAAATTCGCGGCGTGCGATCACGAAGCTAAGGCATCTCCTCTTGGAAGTTCCAATTAAAAGTTTTCCTGGGATAGTTATATAACTGCAGTTTCGTTGTTTGTTGTGAACTTGCAATAATTCGCTTGGTGCCAATTTAGATTTATGGCCAAGGTTACCTTCAGGTGATCTGATGTTTTATGAGGGCATTCTCTGGTTCTATTCGCTTCAGTACAGCCATGCGTTTAGATCGTAGACGAACCGCGATGGTACTCATTCTAACCAATATAAGCCTTTGCAATGATTTTCTTGGAACGAATTTTGTGAAGTAGAAACTACGTACCCCATCTTTTATATTTATACTTTGGAGTCGGTGCTACCGGGCTATCTTTCTTTTTATCTTGAAGCACGTGAAAATCTATTGGAAGGATAGTTAATTTATTTTGTAACTCCAACCTAGCCGGAATGTTGATGACTGCTGCCAAGGTACTGGCTTCGGCGTCGGGGGTCGTGGGTTCGATTCCCACACGGGTCAACTATTTGTGCGACCCACAGATAGTTCTATCGCATCCTCGTTCAATTTATGTTTGCAAAAAGTTTCTCACAAAACAGGATACTGTTATCCTAAAGTGAGGGCAATGTTTAAAAAAAAAGTGGTGAAATAGATGACTGAAAGTTGATGGTTTACCAAATTTCCGTGTAACAATATAAAACTTAATATAAAGGCGTCACAGAAAACTGTTTTTCAGGCCAACGTTGTAGTTTCTACCACAAATGTGTGTTATTTTTAAAAACAGTAAGAAAAATTAACTAAATTAACCGAGTTATATCAGTAATGTTTTTCTGATGACTAAATACATACGCTTATACAATTGATTAAAACACCAGTTATTAAATACTTTAGAATTCCAAAAAGTGGTTGACTATCTCATTACACAAATGTTTGTTTACATGTTTTTCTCCGGTTCTTGGCTTTGGCACGACTTTGGGTCTAAGGTCGCGAGCTTAACCTATGCCAATTGATCAAGGCGGTTTTTTTTTTTTTTTTGGATTATGTTATATCTTTAACATAAAATGTTATAGACAGATAATTATCCAAAATAGAGATTTTATTTATAAAATTTTTAGATGCGATTTAAAAAAAGTAAGTATTGTTTTCCATTATCAAATCATTGTAGAACAGACCAAGAGGATCCGTTTTTAACCCCAATTTCCAAAAAGGTTGTCAACGCATCTGCAATCCTCGGGTGTAACAGATTTCCATGGGCGGCGGTATTCACTTAACATCAGGTGAACCATGTGTTCGTTTGGCAACCTTTCACATAAGTACACACATACTTTTTTTATTTTTATAAATAATTTAGGAACTTTCCAGCGTGATGTTTGCTGAACACCGTTTCACTGTCGGCTTAGAAAACATACACGGTAATCCTTTTGACGCTAAATGTGCATCTAAGTGATGTTAATTCTTTTTCCTAAGCTCGTCCCCTCTTACGTAACGTAAGAGTTCTCATGACAGTTTACTCGTTTCCGCTTTTTTGTTTTTTTCTTTTTATGAAAAACATCTATGAACTGCCCCCTCTAAGAAATACATACATAAAAAAGCAATATGTATATAAAATATTTATGTCAATATAAAACAAAATAATTGAAGTAAATAAAGCTAAGTTAAGTATGACACTAGCACCAAAGACACAAATTTCCATTGCAAAGGTCACGTCAGTAGTTTCTACGTAGTTTTGGAATGTATATTGTACAAGTAGAATATAATTTAAAAAACAAAAAAACCCGACTGCGTTTCTGTGTAATTTTTTCATTTTGATATACCCATGGTCACTCTCACAGTAACTACGTATCTGACGACACCTCTCAAGCTAAAATCCATCAAGCCGTTCAGGCTGCAGAGCGTGCCAAATAATATAACCCTCGGTAAAAATGTAACTTGATAAAGTGTGATTGCTGAAACATGGTAATAAATAATGATAAAATAATAGAGAAGAAATATAGAGTTTCATTAGATAACGTCAAGCATTACTAAAAATGCAATAAAAAGAAAATATATGTCATCTTTTTGTTTTTGTTGTAACTGAAGTTAGCGCTTTCAGTCCGTAGACTATTAAAGCTTCGATGAAGCACAGAACCCTGGGCTAGAGATGTCATCTTTTTTTGGCTTCATGAGCCACTGTTGACCTTAGGGACTTTTACAGTTCCGACGGACTTGAGGTGGCCTGGCGCACGGGGCGCGTAGCCTGAACCTCGGTGATTCGTCATCGCGCGGTAAAGATTTCGATCGCTTAGCTTAATGGCTAGTGTCTGGATGCGTAACGTATTACGCATCCAGACACTATCCGTAGAAGTCGCAGATTCTAATCTTGTGATTCTAGTCTTATTTATACATTTTAAAAAATTAACAATCTTTTTAACTATAACAGTGGTAGGGCCACGCAAATGTCTTTGCGACCGTTCAACGACTTCACAGTATACCGGCGTGAAGTGGAAATATTACTTCTTCGTTACGTCTGGTGAGTGAGGTAACCGGAGCCCACATTATTATAAGGTGGCAATGCATCTCCTACCCTACGTGTTACAAATGTTCATCAGGTGAATCGCCAGCTCCTTTGCCACCTTCATTCACTACATAGTATAAAACAAAGTCGTCCCGCTCTGTCTGACCCTGTGTATGCTTAGATCTTTAAAACTACGCAACGGATTTTGATGCCGTTTTTTTACTAGATAGAGTGATTCAAGAGGAAGCTTTATATGTATACATTGCATCCATGCGAAGCCGGGGCAGGTCGCTAGTTTCACATAAAAAAAACTGAAATTAAAAAGTTATTCAAAAATGTCAATTTCTACATTAAATTATGTAATTCTCTTACAATATACATATTCATAAGAAATGTATACTTTTAAATAATTAATGACCTAACTGACACATCGTATCATTAGCTTTCTCAACGCTTGAAGCCTCAGTAATTAGTCTTACTTTTGACGTGTAACGGTTACTCATAGTGGAGTATTGAAAATAGATTTAAATAGTTCAAAGACATGGACGTGTTACACTATATAAAATTTTCAGCAGTGATACAGTGCATTTTGCACTTTATTTTCAAATACACGTCCGACAACACGAAGAGAAGAATTGCCAACGAAAGAATTGCCAAGTCACAATTTTTGTCGGTGAAAATTCCTGCTTTTGAAACTACCTCCGTGTGGCCAGCCTATTCTCGTCTCATTTCAAAGTATAATATGCACTTGAATTTAAGGAAGACATTTCGCTTGCTTTTCGTCGGACAAAATCGTGAGCGAGACACCATTAAGGTTAGCGGAATCGGCATTTGCATGCTCGCTGGCTTTGTATTACGAGGCTCTTCACCGTGCCTTATGACAGTTCCTAAACGTAGCGGTAAATCTCGTGATGAATTTGCGACTCTGTGCCCCTTAACCGACATCTGTGTGATATTATACAGATACGAGTACCACCTTCATAAGTAATCGCGACTGGATCAAAAGTTTATTTACTCACGTTTGATGAAAAAACATCGCACATTTTTTTTAATTTAATGAATGACATTTCATAAAATGCTCACGTACAAGTTTATATTGAAATAATAAAAACATAATTATGCGGATGACTATATAACCGATATACCTATATAGATATGGTATTTAAAGTGTAAAGTTAAATACTCACTCATGTCCTATGTTGAAGTGCAACTCAAGATATAAAGCATCATTTGCAATGGGATCTAAGCTGGATATATGCGATTTGATTATTGACATGACTGATGTCCATACCAAATGTATTGCGCTTTAACTTCGCTATCCTCCCGTCCCAATGACCTCATCATCATTGTCCGTATTAGCCTGTAAATCTTCCGTATCTGTGATTTTTTCCACACTATTAAAATTTCCCCGTATTTGAGAATACACTGACATTTACCAACTACGCCGGCTTAATGATATCCGCTTATAATAGCGAGCATATCCTCCATAATATAAATTATCTATAATCAAAAATATATAAAAATGTTTATTATATTAAGATTAGATCTTTATTAGATTAAAAATGTAGCCCGAGATACGTTCCTCGGATGGCATCCGTCTCGGTGCCAGCACCACTTTAGTCGTTATACTCTTAAGCAATTACAGGGCGGGAAATTGGCCGCGAAATTGTGCCTAGTTGGGGCTCTCGACCGTTATAATAGGCGACCGAGCAGGGTGCACATGTGAGAGGTGTCAGGGCGCTGGTGTGGCCCGGACAACGCCCCACACCACCACCTATAATTTCGCACCGTAGCCCAATACGACAACCCACCATCACACGCGTTTAACTAAAACATTATCCGCAACAAGCCGCACTTTACAGCGGGCCCCAACATTGTAATCACCTATTTATAGCTTGATTAAACACATTAAAAATCTTATTAAAGTAACAACGTGTTGTGATCCCGCAATGTCGGTTTTTCATACGTTATAAATGTTCCATAACTCTTTGTATAACGAGCTCCCGACTCAGTGGCCGACGGTGAGTTGATTTTGTTCACCTTCGTGCTTTATTAAATCATTAAATTTGGTTCATTGCCCCAATCTATATAAAAATAGAGGTGAGTTTTTAACCGCGCCGTAAATACTCGCTAATAATATTCTTGATACTTTTATAAGTATCAAAAAATTTAAGTGTAGTTATACTATAGTAAGTACAATAATAATTCTATAATACATGTAATATATAACAAGCTATAATGAATCAAGTTCAATCGCTCTTGAACCATTGTGAACGCAGGTTAGAAGAGATAGATGGCAGGTTAGCCTTGTCAGATTACTGACCATAAGATAAATTGAGTTTACAGGGACCGTTTGACAATTTACAGCCCCGCTGTTGAGATACAGTTTATCTTCACACCCTGGAGCGACATCAGTCGCATTCAGCATGGAATCGTATGCATACAATCATAGCGCTTAAGTAACCTTAGGAAAATAGTTTACAAATTCCTTTTGGTGAATTTCTGATATTGCTTGGAAGAAATTGCTGTGTAATAAAGTTGGCTTTTGATGACCAATATTTGATAAATTATAAATAGTTTTTTGTCCTTTTTCTTATTTCTATTATGGTATACAATAAAAAATATTATTATTACTTAAGCGCTTAAGTTATTCAAAATTACCAATCAATACTACCGAAACAAAAATAACAAAACAGCCACCTATCGATAATTCATAACTCGATTGTTCGTAGTCAATTACTACGCAACGACGACGTACAAAAACTGCGATGATACGAAAAACATCGATAGAATTAATTTTACAACCGTTCAAAAAAGTCATCGTGATGTGTGATTTACCTCCTTACAGGTTCAAGGTTGCGGGCGTGATTTTAAAATATCATAAATCCAATCGGACGAGCTCATTCGAACGCGGTTTTCTCACGAGCGCTCGCCGTAAGCCGTCATAATATTAAAACTCCTATCCTATCGGCTTTAAGTTTTACTATTCAATGTCGTAAATTAAAAAAATGTGTAAAAAAGAATATTCTCCTTTATGTGTTTATGTTTTGTAAGTGTTTTGTTTGCGAGTCGTGTTTAGCATCAATCGATGTGGTTCTTTCTTATCTGTGTTGATACAGTAAATATTGGCGGGAACACGAGTTATGCCGACGTATTTGTTTGCCGGCGCGATTTAAGAACGCGCTCGTGCTTTTCATTTTGGATCGAAGGATCTGTGAGAGCACAGAACATGATAACTCATATTTCATTTAATACCACCCAGGTTACCATTGCTTAAATGGAATATTTGCGAATAAGCTCCCAGAGCTTTATTTTTTTAATTCAAATGTTTGGTGCATATTAACTGTAGTGTAAGAAAATATCCAATTTACTATTCATATTTATTTATTTCATAATCCATCGTCGTAGTAATTTCTATTTCCATTCCATAACCGTCTTCTCTTTTAAATCGTCTTTTTTATGTCATCTATTTTACTAATCAATTTACTAATACTTTTTATAGTTTATTAAAAGAATGCACGCAGTTTATGTGAATCATTCCATAACCATTAATGGCTTTACTAACTTTTTAAGTTAAACATTTATTTCGTAGATGATAAATCCGAACTCTACGCGCTATATAGGTTGAGGTTTGAAAAGTTTTTTAGGAAGGCCAATTTAGTATCTCACAAAGTTTTGGCGAGCCAAAAAACTAAAAGATAAGAACTAAGATCCTTAAATTTTTATATTATTTAAACGTTTACATACACTGGCCAGATTGAATAAAAAAAATTTACCATGTTGTCTATTGCCGAGTTGACTGTAGCTGCGCAAGGCTGAACTCGCAGCCTGTTGGCTGTTCTCTATCAGCCGCCATTATAACTGGCGTAGACTGTATTCTGTACTGAACGTTGATATTGTAAAGAAAAATTGCTGATTCCAGATACATGCGAAATCGCAGGGCCTGTTGATCAGTTCAAATGAATGGCCTTCTTTCTAAAACGAGTAAACTATAATAAATAAATAACAAAGTAATCAATGTCTTTCGTTCATAATATTTTATTACATTTACTTTTTTATTATTTATTATAAACGTAAATTATGGTTTAGAGCCTATATTTAAAGGGTTTGCGTGCCGCACTTTCAATATCGAAGGTTGAAGACGTCCATTCTCCAACATCACACTAAACATCGTAAATGTTATTGTATTGTCAGCTCATATATTGTCCCATATTAACTTTATTGGTATAAGGTCTTATCCCCCGCAGATATATCGGAAAACTCCTCAATATCGAATAGAAAATGTACAGTGAGTAAGATATTTGAAGTTGATTTTGTTTTTGTTAATAAAAATGTTCAAGTTAATATTAACCTAGAATAAACGTTTACATCTATGTTCTTCAACTAAACGTCCCTATTTTGCATCAATTTACATTATTTTAATGTGCCGTGATTGTGGTAAAGCATCGGTGTGCTGGCAAATTTAAGACCACGGCTAAGGCATGAAAACCAACAATTTGTTTACCAATCACGCGGTCATGTTAACGCTTGTAACTCAATGCAGATTGGACGGCGACATGTTGCAATCAGGTGTGCAAGTAAACACAGTAGCAATCTTGTTATCTAAACAACACTCGTCTCACTCGATACATTGATTATCCCCAGGCGTATTTTACTGGCAAAGAATTACCTAAATACACTCTTTAAAGTGATGTAAAGAACGTGTTCAGTAATAATACTGTTGTTAAAATGCCTTCGTACGTAAAAAATAATTTAAATGATAGATGCAAAAAAATACAAAATGTATGTAATATGTAACATTGATAAATCTTGTACGCTTGGATCGTGCAATAGAAAAGACTGCTTTTCTGGTAAGTGTTAATAAAACTTCAAAAGCAGACAGAAATGTTAAACTAATCGATTCCTTACGAAGATTAATCTAGTTAGTTTTAAATTAAATAAAAATAATTAGCAACTATCATCTTTAAATATAAATGTTTAGCTTTCGTGTGTTTGTGTTCAAAATACTCAAAAACTAGCCAATGATAGATTGACTTCATATTTGTACACACTATATTTTTATATATAATACGTATGTGTATATTTGTATATATATATATACTGTTTGTATATGTATGTAAGTATTTATATTTATTTAGGCGTGTGTATATTCCATACATTGTATATTTCATTCACATTAGTAAAGAACTTGTTTTTTTTTTATTGCACCTACCACAATTTATCTCCACGCTCGGGTTGACTGGGAGAGAATGCCTAAAGGCATTAAGTTCGCCCTTTGTAATCCTTGATTAAGGTAATTGCAATAAAGTATAAATAAATAAAAAATAAGCATTGAAGAGGACAGTATTTTTATCAACACTTTATTCCGAAGTTTAAACGGAAACGTAAAAAAATCACAGCGAAGCGTGGCCGAGCTTCGCTAGTATATTTACACTAATTAGACACAATTATCTCTAAGCAAATACAGGCACAGATTGTGATAACCACTCTACGCTCTTCATCCACTTTTAATGTTACCTCTACTTTAATGTTTAAAGAAATGATAACTAAATCTGCCACAAAAAATAAACATGAGTCATAACATGCAAGCTATTAATTTTATGTAAAAACAAGTACACAATTCATGACGGAATCCAACTATTACCATAATGGCCGTTACAATTCTGAATTCTCGCAAGGACTTTCACACCACATATTATTTTTAGTAATGAAACTCTTTGCTTCGTATTCGGTACGTTTATTTTTATATTCCTTATTCGACGTAACCGCATTAACTGCCATAAAATCGTAATGTTCATAAACGATTCTTCACGGGACTAAGGGAAGGAGGCGGGGGGAAATTCAGAGAATTAATACCATGTTCTCAAGAAATTTAAATTTAATCTTTTTTTTTTCATTATTCATTTTTTTTTTTCATTTTATTAATTCTTTTCTTTCTAATTATAAAAATTTATCTTTTCTACTTTTGTTCAAACTTTCGTTTTGTTGAGTTATGGAAACTTTATTCTAAGGCCCCCATCGAAGGGGAGGACTTGAACGGCACAGTTGGGGTCTATTAACAGGTCCATTGTGCGAAATGAGTAAGAATACAGCCTGGTTGACTATTTACGCGCTAGCTCCTGCCTCGCATTGTGGCGGGCTTCATTATCCGCGGTAATTGCGAACCGTTGTAAGGGTAATCGGAACTATTGAGTCGGTGAATCATTGTCCACGAGAATCTCGCGAACGGTAGGTCGTCGGGCTGGGAAAATAGGCGTTGCGTGGCTAAAGCTCAATTGCGCTATTAGCTGTGCCACTATTCCGCGCCACCGTCTTCCGGATTCCCTTGGGATTGCTTTGCAACTGCTGCTCGCAGTCTACTCGAACGGTTCTCGCGATAACCTTAAACGCTTCCAGCATTATTACCCCTCGTTGCATAAATGTAAGCTTATATAATTAGCGTTTAAATGAGGGAGTTTAATATCTTTTTTAGGTGTAAATTGAGGTTCTTGAGTGGCAGCCTCTTACTGGCCATCGCAGACCCTGTACTATGCAAATGTGCGGGAAGTCGATGGATGCAGGTGGCTCAGGATCCTGCTTCGTGGCAGTCTGTGGGGAGGCCTATGTATAGCAATAGACCCAAACAGGCTGAAATGATGATGATGATAAAGTGAAAATTCATGTTAGGGGCAGAAAGAAATGAATTAAATGCATTTAACATTAAATACACAATAAAATCGATATTTTAGCAAGTTATTTCCATTTTAAGTTCTTGACATTTCATAGATATTTTTTGGATACGGTCTATATTTACGAATCTACGAATTTATTATATCTACGAATTATAAACACTCTTCTCCTGTTTAAAACAACAATTTTACAAGTAGCTTTATAATGTTATAATTATTTTTGCTCGTTTGGGAAATCCGATGAAAATGTAATTTTAGCGTGTCGAAGTTGCGCGTGATGTAGTAGATACATAATTTATTCATATCATACATAACTAATAACCAGTTTAATTCTGTTCTTGACGGTAACCAACGACTGTTAGATCTGATACTATGTAATTCCACTGAACTTATAATCAAAGAGAGTAGTAACCCCATAAGTATCGTTTATAGTCACCACCCGCCTTTGAATCTATCAGTGATTTCTAACAAAAAAAACAAGTCATCAAGGAAATGCACAACGAGAGATTAAAATTTTACAACACAATGGTTAGATCTTCCATCGAAGTACGAAGACGTTAATATTATGCTAACGACCTTCTACCAAAAATTGGACGAAGTAATTAAAAAACACGTACCCAAATTTCAACCTAAAAATAATATATATCTATACATAATTTAGAATTTATCAATTTACGCGAACGTTGTAACAAGTTAAAGAACAATATAAATGCTGCATCAAAAGAATTGAATCAAATATATCGAAGAATAATAAATATTTTTGGACCCATCTTAAGAACTTAAAAAAATCTTCAAATACTTACCCCTCTAGGATGGTTTTAGAAGATCAAATAGCATCCGATGGATTTAGTATCTGTATCTTATTTGTTAAACATTTTTCGTCAGTATATGACAATAACTATACTTCGGGAAGCGTTGTCTTGAGGACAGTTCCAAATATTTCTCTATGTTCTATTCACTTTACTTAATTCGAAGTTTTTAATAAACTAAAAAGACTAGATTAAAATAAAAGTACCGGTGCAGATAATATACCTCTTGTATTCTTGGTAAGGTGTGCAGAACCCCTTTCATTACCGATTAGTATTATACAGCGTGTCGTTACCATCGCGACAATAAATGAACACACATACAGAGGATAACTTTTTAAAGTTGTAATAAACAATTAAATTCTTTAAACATCAATGTTTACAGAGTTATTAAATTTTCCAAAACAAAGAATTTTAGAACACCCTTACCTATAAAAGCGTAACGTAAAGTTCATTTGTAAAGGTCACAAAGCATATGAATGGGTTGAATGAATTTAAAAGAGACAAAACATACTGTTAGAAGGAGAGGCTTGTAATACGACGCTGTGGCGCGAGTTGTATAGGATGTTACAAATTTTGTTTCTTTTTTACTTAATTAGTTTGTTTGAAAAATATTTTTTTTAATTATGGATTTTGTTTAACGTTAATATTTTTTTATGATTATTGGCAAGTAGTGTTAGACGTGTGTTCATTTATTTTCGCGATGGTAACGACACGCTGTATACAACAAATCCTTAAAGTCCGGAATCTACCCTGATATTTGGAAACAAGCGAGAATAGTGCCGATTTACAAAAAAGGGTACCGAAGTAATATAGTGAATTACCGACCTATTTGACCTTGATGTTCCTTCCCGTTTGCCGCGCCAACTAAAATCTAAAACCTCACTCATAAAAGATCAAAAAACTAACTTGGGTCACTATTCTACAATTCCTATATTGTGCAGCCTATTAATTTTTTTTTACAAATAAAGATAGTTCAATAGATATTTTTCACGACAAATTATCAGTATTTAAATCGAAAATTGTCAGGATATTGAAACCAATTAGCGCCGTAGATGTCTAACATTCGGTTTTATGTGTACATATCTAAGTCGCATCACTTTTATAGTATGTAATAGTTTTTTTATATGTTATTATATTTTAAGTAGCATTGTAGTGTTAGTTATATTGTTTCCTAGTTTTTTTTCTAGTTTTTCTTTTATTGTTTTATAATACTGTTTACGCACCTAAACTCTGTGTATGCAGTGTCTGTCTGTAATTGAAATTGCATGTTCTTCTTAACCCGAGTTTATGTTCAACTTGTGTGCTATTTCTAAAAACATGTAATTTTGTAGATAGATCTTAATAAATAAATAAATTAATTAACCCATTCAAACGTTACCAAAAATTTCATCTACGACACCTCGATGTCCAGCGTTTCACAACAGTGCGATTTTCAAGGCATTAGCCTCCCTCGCACAACCGCTCTTTGGAACCATCTGCTGCCGACGGCCTTTCCGAACCGTTACGACCTGGAAACCTCAAGAATAGAGCATATTCTTCCCTAAAAGGCCGGCAACGCATTTGTAAGCCCTCGGATGTTGCAGATGTTCATCCGCGGCGGTAATCACCTACCATCAAGTGAGCCTCCTACTCGTTTGCTTTTCTCCATAAAAAAAACGTTACCAGCAGTACTTAACAAATACAAAATCGACATTACAACATCTTCATAAACTAATAAAAAATGTTTCAAATAAAAGTTATGCTATAAGTTTTAGTGTTCAATTTTATTCAGTTTTCAATTTTTTTGTAGTAGTAGTTACGTATTTCATCTATTAATCGTTTGCTTAGTTAATATTTGTTTTAATACAAAAATAAATATTACCTTCTAACTTCATAAGTACACATATTGAAATACGTCAACTGACTACTGCATTTTACAAGCAATAATATACAATTTTAACAAAAATAAACAAAAGAAAATAGCATAAAACAAGATACAATCTCAAACTTCATCCAACTCCCGTCTTTTGTGTGTATGTGTACACATCTTGCGCATATCCTTTATGGAATTCCACACTTTACGAGCTGTACGTTGGCGACGAGGAATCCAGGTATCCCATTTCTCTCGCGTCCGCGGGTCGTGAACGGTGACCGGCGAAACGTTCTCACCTTGAATTACGTCCCAAGGATGCGCCCATCAACGCCCAGCGATCAAAGCGGCGGCCACAGGGCCTTCCGGGAAACTGGGCGCGCGCCGCCCTCCCTCGTCAAAACTACGCCGCAAAACGACCACAACTCCTATCTCCGCAGTGAGCGACACGGGCTAAGCCGCGCAGGGAATCGCAGTACGATCGAAAGAAATGAATCTTAATTTAAAAACGCCAACGTAAAAATAGCGAACAATGTGCAAAAAGAGGACACGAAACAGACATTACTCGTACGTTATTCGAGTCCCATCCATTGCGGTTTTATTTGCGCTTAACGCAAATAAAAACCTGATTCCGTATCTCTGGATTAAATCTGAATGTTATCTTTGAATATGTTTCGTTTCTATACCAGTGCTGTTCGGACGGTTTTTTTTTTATTTATTTATATTCACTATAGTTAGTCGTAAAAACGTACTTATCGGTTTAAAATGCTCTATTTATGGCCGATTACGTTTAAAGCATTGCCTTTTTTATATTAAATTGGCTCTTGATTCTTCCATCGATATTTTACATTCATAATGTTGACGTTTTCCACTTGACGTTAAGTGTAAATCGATGAGTAATTGAAATAATAACGACCGAAATCAGCTCTCTCAGAACATCCCCAAACGGCGCACGGAGTTTCCTTTCAGAGTCATTCCATTCAGATGTCCTTATCATTCGGCTGGCCGCAGGTCCATTAAAACCGTGCCGCGACTTGAGAGCGTCTCTCGTACAAAACTAAGCAGCCATAAATAATGCGAAGCGAATAGAGTCGGCTAATGAAATATGGCGCGGCGTGCCTGCCTCATAATGGCGGCGCGGCCGACGCGCGGCTCCTGCCACGCCGCGGGCCAGTCGCCGCAACGCCCGGCCGCGGCTAAATAACACGCTATTTGCTGAACAACAATGAATGGAACCATAAAACACGCTAAAACATAATGAAGAGGACACGCGCGTTATTTGCCGTGTAATAAACAAACGTGCGGGGGTGTTTTGAGTGTATAGTCCTGGTCGATACGTTCCTATCGGTATATAGATCGATTGGACGCGGGTTCTAATTGAAACAAACTGCAGAAGGTTGGTTGCGAGTCTTTACTTTATAAGCTAGCGAATGAATGATATGTGGTCTATTAAATAAATGTCGTCGTTTATTGGAATACTACTGTAGTGACAGAAATATATATCATATTATTATTTGGTTCTTCTACGATTCACATTTTATTTATCATATTTTGATTTGAGCTTTTCTAAATTAGCTTTATCTAGTTCTGATATACTTTTACTTTCAATCTGACTATACGTTTTGCTTCGCACCTTAATAGCTGAGAAAACATTTCATATTTACTTCAAACGATATCATTCACTTACTATATTGATAATTTTATTTCATAGAATTTTAAGTCACACTGTAATTACATGCGAATGACTTTATAAATAAGGGCTGTCGCATACAATAGCTTAATAAATGTTACGCCAGTACCGTTGATTGATTTCTTGTTTTTACCCTAATATTATACATTATAAATGAAACTATTTTACGGATTTTATCTTGATTAATCGGATTTTTAAATTCCAAACGTTTCGAACCCTGTCCAGCGTTCATGGTCTGTCTATCCTGTGACATATCTCCGTCCATAATCAAAGCCTCATACGCCGAAGGCCCATCTACTATTTTTATTAAATTTATTTTAGTTATTAATTATTGCGGTGGTAGGGCTACGCAGCAGCCTCGGCAGTTGCACGAATGGGGAGGCCCGTCCGGGTAAGTACCACGACCTCACAGAAGACCAGCGTAAAGTGGAAGTAGGACAAATACTATCGCGTTTCGTCTGGTGAGTGAGGTATCCGGAGCCCAATTCTCAAAAGATTGTCAACGCATCTGTAACCCTCTGGTGTTGCAGATGTCCATGGGCGGCGATATTCACTTAACATCAGGTGGACCGTCTGCTCTTTTGGCAACTTTTCACATAAAAAAAAATCAATCCGAAAAACAAAAATTATCTTCAACACCTGAAACACTATGCACGTTTCCATTGTTAACAAAGCCACGGCTAACGCGGTACAGCGTCATCGGTGTCTGTTTCCAAAAAAAATCCAATGAAATTTTATCCATCGAAACGTTGTGCGCCAACATCATTGCATGGTATATTCGAATTACGGCTGGTTTCAATATTCTATCTGCAGATTTGGTAAGATTTGGGCGATAGATATTTGAAATTAGATCCATAATTCTTACGTCAAAATTCTATCTCAATTAACCAAATCTACAGATAGATAAAATATTGTAACAGGCCGTTAGTGAACTTCGTCGGGCATTTGATTGTGAACAGCGCATATATGTGTGAAAATAAACATCTTATCTTACATTTCAAAAAAATGCCATTGCTCGCTCAAATGGGTTCGCGCGCGCATAAGACGCTTTCACGGTATGGTCGTCCGTGCGCGGATGGTACGCCGCGCTCGGGCCCTCCAGCTCTTGCATCACTGCGGCCGAGTCAACGACACCCGTCCGCAAGTCATCGGCGTCGTCGGCCCGCCCCGCCGCGCCGCGACCCGCTCGCCGAAAATGGTATTAAACGGCCCCCCGAAAGCGGCCACCATATTCGTTCGTAATAGTTCTCCAAATTGAATATTATGCGTCGTCGGCAAAAAAGGCCGGAGCGTAGTGAAATGCTTGCGCTATAGCTGCTTTTTACGATCGGATCTTGTAGTTTCCAAGCGCCGCCTGGTGGGACTTTTTAGAGATGTTATTAATATTCTTTTTTTTCATTTTGTCGGTTTTCTTTTAATAACACAAAAGGTGAGGTCAACGTTTCATGGATTTGTGCGTAGTTGCAATTGCAGTGGCTTCGCCGGGCCTCGTTATATTGGCTCGTAGTTACGTTGTACCTACAAATTAATGTTCTAAATCTCGGTGTCTCTTTTTTTAAATGTGTTTATAAGTAAGACCCCCACAGCACAGAAAAACTTTGCTCGAAAACAAACAGTAAATCTTGCTAAAAATTACCAAACTCTTAAGCTAACCCGACTGGACAATTTTGAGAAAAATAATTTCCGTTTTACTGAATTAAAAAATCGCAGCGCTGAAAATATTATCAGACCGCTGACAGACAGCATCTGAAATCGGAAAGATTACGATTGATAAAGCAACTGTCAAACACATATCAATACATCATTGATGACTTCGAGGCGCAGTTGCTAAGGTATTGGCTTCGGCGGTACGGGTCGTGGGTTCGATCCCCACACGGGACAACTATCTAGGTGTTTGTGAAATTTATGTTTGTAAAACGTCCTTACAACACAGGATAAAGTTATGCTAAAGTAAGAACGATGTTTTCAATAAAAATAAAAAAACAAGTGGTACTACATACAAAAAACAAAATTTAGGTATCAGCCGTCAGTGACAAATATTTTAGCTCAAAATATATAATTTGATTTCGTCCTTATTTTCGAGGTCTGCTAACAACCAAATTACATAAAAGAAATCCATCGATCCATCTATATTTTAACAGTTATACATGTATTACCAACAGATTAACAAAGCGTCTTCTTGCATAGCCGCCTTTTGCAGCATTATCCCAACGATATCGTTGCCGAGTCAAAAACGAAACGAAGCGGCCAATTATTTCGTCGCGGAATAAACTCCCCCGCGTGCTCGCGGCTTGAGGAATAATGGAGTTGTTAAACGGTCGGGAACAACGTTCCTCGGTCGCGATCAGTGGCTCACGAAGGCTGTGCGTCACGTGGAGGGATCACGGTCGAGGCGCGATTAAGGGAATCGTCTGGGATCGGTAGCTTCTAGCAGTGCCCTAGTCTATGACAGTTTATCGGCGCTTGATCGCGGCCGAGGCTCTCACGAACCCTGCCGTCGCGTACAGTCGCCAGCGACGCAGGACTCTAGCTCTGGAACCGTCTAGTACCAGTTCGTGCACGTGACTGTACATCTCATCCCGACGTCTACAAAGTGCGCCGGGCGACTTTATGTGTACGGCTTTATCTGGACACTTTATATATGCTCGAACCTCCTCGTATATCGCCTTTATCGGCTCGCATTTGTTTTAATTAATGGTCTTTCTATAAGAATACATATGCTATATGGCTTTATACGGCGATCATACTGCACCGAATTTCATTTCTTCAATTTTCTTCGTACCTATAGCTATGTATTACTACTCACCTAAACAATGTTTGAAATCCATTCCATTTATAAAATACATTGCTAAAACAAAGCAAAACTATCATACATATTATGATGTTACTTGTGTATACGAGTAGCATGTAATGGTAGTTGAACGTCGCAGGAAATGGCAAATAGTTGAGCTGCATTAAAATATTAAAGTCATTCAAGAAAAACGACTAAGATGTCGGGAGGATAAAATCATCTTATTTATCATATTCTAAAGAAAAAGGGTAGCATATTCTCTGATACCTTTAACATACACGCTTCAATTACGTTGTTTACAAAACATAAGATGTATCTAACTAAAAACGATAGATATATATAATCTCATATAATCATGAAAAATATCGAAATACTAACATATTATACATTTTGACTCCATGGATGGCCTATTTGCTATTCGAATCATTTTCTTTACATTCCCAAATGTGCAAAACCTTGTAGTTACAAATTTCCAACTACTTATTCCTCACCTGGATGACTATATATATATATATATATATCGCTCCTCCCACCGAATAATATGGTAATGTGTTATAGCGATACTTTGGGTTTTATTGCATATTCGTCATGTAGACATCCTTTTACATCTTGTAAATTTACACATTTTTCCTGTGAGTAATTTTGAAACTAGCATTTATATAATAACCATATCCTTATTATTCCGTTACAGGTTTAGTGTAATTATTTACATGAATAAAATCGCTACTGGTGATTACTACTTGCACTACAAATAAGGTTTTAAATGTTGACTATAACGATATTATTCGAGTAAAAAAGAGCAAACTCGAGTTCTAGTAAAATATTCTGACAATACTATTCCTGTAGTAATTTTATTTGAAAAATGTGGTAATGTTGGTTAACATTTAATTGTATTTAAAAAAAATACAGTTATGACCTTTGCAAAAGTTTACCAGGGCGTTGTTTACACTCAAATTAAGATTGCTGTATTCTTTATTACCACGACCCACAAGTAATACGCATCGCTTTCTTTTTTTTCTTAAGATAAAGAAAGGGATAGAGCAATACCGAGTACTCGGCACGTGCTGGTTAATCGCCGTGTTTGTTTACTTTAAATCCGTACCAAAAAATATTTAGGTAGTGAAGTGATGCGCTCTCAGTATCAATATTATAATAAGTACTTACTTACATAATTATCGAGTTCTTTTTGTATTTTACATTAATATTGTGTTTAGTGTGATTTTGAATACGATAAAATCACAAAGAATATGAAAAAGACAGTTTTGAAAAACCCCCTAGGCAAATTCTGGATTTACTGAAATTTCCTAAAGGTAAGTACCTATAAGATTTATATACTTACGTATCTATATGCTTACGTACTGCTTGGCTAATAGAACTATGAACCTACCTAAAATGACCGTGGTTCGGGTGCCTTTGAGAAGGTTTTAGAGGTAACTAACTCTAATCCGTTGACAACCATGTGAAGAGGGAGATACCTAGTTGTTGTACATGAAGACTAGGTATTCATCATTATTATCATTTCAGCCGGTTGCTGGCCAGTAATGGGCATAGGCCCAATCTAGTTTCTAAATTGATGGATTATCGCCTCAGCAATTTAAAAAAAATATTCAGTTCATACCTAATTTATACTGTCCCTCTACTTCATTTTTTTTTCAAGACATCCAGTCATCCACTTCAAGTGCACTGACTGAAGATGTCGTAATTACTGAAATTTTTCGGACAATTCTTCTTCTTCTGTACGTGACGATGACAGATCATATCTTTTCAGCCCAGAACTTAGCCACTTCGACAGCACAATTTGTTTTCTTTATTTTTTACGTGTGGAAAGTTGCCAAACGAGCAGACGGTTCACTGATGCTAAGTGAGTACCGCCTCCCATGGATATCTGCTACACCCGAGGGTTTGCAGATGCGTTGATAACCTTTTTGAAAATTGTGCTCCGGCCACCTCACTCACCAGACGAAACACGAAAGTATTTATCATACTTCCACTTTACGCCGGTCTTCTGTGAGGTCGTGGTACTTACCCGGACGAACCTGCCCATTCGTGCAACAGCCGAGGCTGCTGCGTGGCCCTACCACCGTAAAACTGTACCGTTGTGGCATCCATCAGATCCTGCTGCGTACAGGTAAAAGGGCAGGCAGGACAGGACATCAGATGGGCCATAGACTGCACTGCTCCACACATACAGTCCAGTTCTGAGTTTTCTGAGAGTCCCCACCTGAACATATTTTCCTTGCTTCGGCCAACCTGAGTCCGAAGTCTAATTAAAGACTTCCAGGTTGGCCAAGGTAGTCTATGACTAGCTGGAAGACTCTCAGAAAGCGGGACAATGGGATCCGGAAGCGGAGTTTGAATACGCCACATGCTGCATCTCGCTTGAGAGGGCTCGGTTGTAAGGGGGACAACATATTTTAAAAAACTTTTTCGACTTACAGCCTTCGCGGGAGCTCATGCACATTTAGGGGGTGCCGCTTATGGTTCGTAGGCCTTAGGCCTCTCTAGCGAGCTTGCCACGGCATGCTTACAACTGGCAGCGCTATGCCAGCCAGTGGATACAGCAACTTCACCGGGGTTGGCTTCAATTCAGACAATCAATCCGCTTGATAATGAAACAGACTTTAAAAACTCTGTATAATTTACGTGATATGCACTAATGCAATAAATATCAGCAAATAATATTAATATTAGGATTAATATCTGTGTATGCTGTGTGACAGCGATTACTATTGCGCAAGACACGGCTGAGACAAACACTGAAGTAGTTTTTAATTCTAATAATAAAAAAGTAACTAGGAAACGATGACCAAAAGACTCAAATATAGCAGCGAATCTTTTGAAGGTGCACGTTCAAAAAAACTGTATGCTACTAAAGACATCGGTCCTTCATGCTCATGCAAAAAGATTGTGGCATAACATTTTCTATGAATCAACTACAGGCGATATTTGACACTTTTTTATAGACTGAAAGATCATGAACTCCAATGGCAATATCGTGAGACACGTTCAAGCACAACCTGTAAAACGCATCACTTTAGAAAGAAAAAATAACAGGATACATACCATTTAATATTATTTTAAGCAGGAACATGCATCTATTCAAGTTTGTATTTTGTATTTTTATACTACGTATTACAGAACAGGTAGTTTTACAGCTCAAGAGAAAATAGCGCAGGACGAGACCCTAATTAGACAACAGAGGAAATCATTACAAAAGACCTCATAGGATGTCCGTCAAAAAAATATAATGACACATATCGAACTCAGATGGAAACAGCTCATTCCATCTGTTGAATCTCATAATACACGTAAGAGATCCAAGCGCCAATATTTATCTGAATAACTACACCTTGCTAAAATGTATCGACTGTATACCGTATGGTTTCTAAATCAACAATATACACCAGAACTATTTGCATCCAAACGCCAAAACGAATCTGTATTTAACACACAATATAATTACACATTTTTCAAACCAAAAAAGATTTATGCGGAACGTGCTCGTTGTATGAATAAGCTGAGAAAGCTAAATTCGAATAGAAATATAAACAGTATTTACTACGAAAGGCTAAAGTACGCCAACTAAAAGATGAAGAAATAGGTCGCTATTTCTTCATCTCAACAGACAAGACTTGACTTTGAGTCCACTGCTCTAAATAGGCCCCCCCATAGACTGTCACGAAGTACAATCCTGAACCACCTGCATCCATCGACTTGCCGCAAATTTGCACAGGTCGTCACTCTATCTAGTGCGGGATCGTCTTGCACCGCGATGCCCAGTACGAGGCTGCCACCTCAAGAACCCTTCTTTCCCAACGGTTATCGGTTCTACGAGATATATGGCCGGCCCATCGCCACTTCCGCTTGCTAATCTTCTGCGCTATGTCGGTTACCTTGTTTCTTCTGCGGATGTCTTGGTTAGGAACTCTATCACGCAGAGAAATACCGGGCATAGCCCGCTCCATAGCTCGCTGAGCGACTTTGAGCTTCCTCATACGGCCAACAGTGAAGGACCGCGTCCCGGTTCCGTAGGTCATCACTGGCAACACACATTGATTGTAGACTTTTGTCTTCAAACATTGAGTGATATTAGACGAGAAGATATGCCGAAGTTTCCAAAGAGTATCTGTACACGTGTGCGGGAAGTCGATGGATGCACGTAGCTCAGGATCGTGCTTCGTGGCAGTCTGTGGGAGGCCTAAGTTCAGTAGTGGACTCAAACAAGCTGCAATTATGATTATGATTCAACCATTTCCTGTCTTTCCCTTAATAAACGGTTTTCTTTCATAAAAAGCTTATATATTGAGAATCATATTTCAAGTAACTGATTTTACTTTGTAGATAATACGATAAGACAATGGTATTCAAACAAAACTTTAATATGTAACATACATTACATCCGCGAAAAACCCCCTTTTAATTTATTACCGTTTATGTTTGGTTACCTTTCATTAACGAATAAAATTGTGGTATGCCATTATTGTTCATGGCATCTATTTTTTTTTACACGAATAATATCGTAATATTATTTTGCAAATAAATGTTTTGTCTAGCATTTATAGTAAAAAATGTTTTCTATATAACTTTATTTTAAGAAAGTACAAAATGAATAAATTTGTTTAAAATGATGTAATAAAAAATTACCTTTCATTTGATATATAATTCATCCTCATAAGTTAGACAATCTTTAAAATAATCGTCAAAAAAACACTCTTTTATTTTTCCTGTAAAATTTTAATTTATCGATAACGATATTATTCGGTGAGGGGAGCGATATACATATTTATGTCAAGTATCATAAAGATTTATTTACTGACTATATAAATAACAAAAAAAAGAACAACGAAATCATTCCAAACGTAATTAAAAAAAGCCATTCCCAGGAAAGCGTTTCCGTAAACAACTCCGCGTCACTCGAGACTCGTAGGAGTGCTCCAACAATGTTGCCATAATACGATGTTTAGCGTCCACATTCCAGAAGCGGCGACAGTCAGCGGGAAGGTTCGCGGTGTCGTCGACCTCCGACGCGGCGAAATGCTCTGCTCTGCTGGTGCTAATGAAATCAATTAGTGCGGCAACACCGTTACAGTCACAACGGGCCTAACGCTACGAATTCACCAAACTATCTACAGACGCTCAACAATGCGTATTCTCACGAAAACAATAGCGAAGACAACCTAATTATCTCATACGTTATTTTATTTGTAACAAATTTTTAACCGTAAAAAGCGCGAGGGACCTGAGTCTTCTACGGGCGGCGGTGATGGCTTACCATCAGTTGACCACCTTTTTCCATTAAAAAAAATTACAAAGCGACCTCATTTTCATTTCGCATACGGTCGATATCGCAATCGGAACTACGTCACTTTGTCGACGTCCGTCGCAAACGCGGGGTACGCGTGTTAATTTCGAAGGGAGGCATCGTATAGAGACGGCCGCGTCGCCCAGTCGCCGTCGACGGCACCGGATAGGTCGCGTCCGGACGATTGTTCCGCGACTATCGTAAATAACGCGCGACACTCTGTGTCCGGTGTCGCACTCGAATACGGAATCGTGGCCCGTCGAATGTGGCTAAAGCGCGAGGCTCCATACGGCGACACAGTCTCTTCTCGACGGTCCATCGGTCGCTCATTAGCGTCGGCCGCAGGGTATGAACATGCGTTACGCGAACGGATCTGAGGCGTCTGGTGGCGACGCTCGGGGGGCAGGAAGCGGGCTCCGCGCTCGGAATACGGATGAACCTGTCGCGCGCCCAACCCGTCCGACTCATCCAACCGTCGACCGCGTCCTAACCGCCCGTCTGTCGCCTCGGTGACCACCACGGGCTTTGCCTATCCGCAAATAACGTGCACGCATTCGCGGACCACACTATCTCGTTGCGGGTCTCGAATCGCCCGCGAGCTATTAATTCCAGCCAGGCCACAAACAATGGACACGTGATATAAATAGCTCGAATGAATGTAGTGCGGCCTTTTTTTTCCTCTGATCCATTTTATTGGGCGAACACTCTCCATGGAGGGGTGCAACGAGGGCGGGTGTAGATCGTGCGAGGCCGAAGCATGGCCGAGGCCCGATAGCATCGCGCCGCGCGCTCTATAAATAGATGGGCAGACCCTTGAACCAGCCGCGACCGTCACAGCACACCTCAAAGGGGCCCCAACTGCACTGTACGTTTATCTCGGCCGCTTATTTTGTGTTGTTTGCTTGATTGATTTATCTTTTTCGTTTCAATTTACAAAGGAAAGCTTTTATGGACCGTGGCTGAATCACGAGCGTCGCGATCGACGCAATTCTGCAAGCGTCGAAGTGTTTATGCAACGCTCAGCTCGTGCAGATACGGCTCGAGTTCTTATTCGCCACGTACGCCGACCCGGCAAATATTTGCATACCACGCCGGGCTCCTAATAATGGCCTGTGGTAATGCTCCGAGCGGGAGGCGGTGAGCTACGCGAGCGTGGCCCGTACCGCAACGATTGTCCATAAAACACGGCGCATGCGGCGGCCGCTTGCTTTTTTCCCGCCCGATTAGAGTAAAAGACGCGCAACCGGTCGCGGGCGAAGGCCGCGCCGGGGACGCCTCGCCCTCGCCCTCGCCCTCGCCGCGCAGCCGCATATCCCGCGTCGCCCGCTAATGATGCGCCTTCACTGCACTCCGCCTAATTGGACGGCCGCCGACCGCTCGTCACCGGGAGAAAAAACCGCCGCGGCGGCAGAGCGGACGGATCGCGCCCTCGACGTTCGCACGGCGCCCTTTAAAGTCCGAATGCGTTTCACTCGCGCACCGACATCATGTCACCGGCGAACGTGCAGCTCTCGACCGAAATCACCGGCGATTATTATTCGGCGATGCGCCATTAGCGATCTTTCCTCGTCGGAACATTGGACGGTTCAATTTAGAACGGATTACGTTTCTCGGTAAATCGTCTTTTTCCTCCCCACCCGATGATTGCCTTTTTGGTTTCGAATGTAGTGGGCAGCTCGGCCGATCTGATGACCTTCAAACGCGATAACCGGTATCGGAGGCAACCAACGGGGCCGTATATTATTTGTTACGTACTACAAATCTGACAATTACCGAAAGCGCGATTATGTCAAGAACACATACCAAGCGACAGGAATTGCAATCTAATAACGGACAACTTATAGCGAAATGTCGTAGATTGCAGGCACACTAAAGCTATTTATCTAGCTGTAAGTAATAATACAATTGTGAGGTTATTTTTCTTAACGGCACTGCTCTAAGATTGCTTCCCGTTTACAAATAATCCAGTAAGCGCTTTCATCCTATACTTATATGTATGAGGTGAATATAAACACAGTTAAAACGAAAATTTTATTATAATTAATGGCTGAAATTAATCGCAAATAGATTTACATATGAAAATTAAAAAAAATCAATTTAATAGTTTTTTTTACTTTTTTCTATTTGTACGAAAACCACCTTACCTTAACCTAAAATTACTGAAATTCGCGAAAGAAAAAAGTCACTTGAGCTTTGTATCGTAAAATAAATCGTATGAATCTTACTTCTACGATCTTAATTAAACTAAAGGGTACACAGGGTAAGGAGGAAATAAATAGCAAACACGACCATCCGTGCAACACGATAGAAAATTTAATTTGTACTTTAAGCCCGTTCTTTTCCGTTCCGTATTTACCTACCCCTGTACCCAACTGCTATTAAATAATCCCAGACGTGATCGGTATAACAACATAATTCAGAATTTTATAACTCTATATTGTTCACGGGAGTTTTTAAATCAACGGAAGAGGATTATGAGTTGTCTAAAATATCAAAATTTACGACCGTCAATGCCGCATCCTGTAACCTACCCAACCGATTAACTATTATATTATAGCCCATCGATATGCAAAAGAAGTTTTTACATTTCAGAAGAATGGATTTGAATTGATGTTTTTTATCTGTGCTCGGATTGTTTTGTTTCATTTCGTACCGCACTTATGTTGCTTGTATAGGATTGCATAGTTCTTAAACAGGGTTTTTAGTAACCCGACGCCTTAGCATGACTTCAGTTACACGTTCTGCGTTTATACTGCAATTTATAACACTTTTCAACTACGTAAACCAGTTGTATTACAATGTATTAAAAAAATGCATTATCTCGAGTATCTTATATTTACTCTTGGCAGTTTTTTTACTGATTGCAGAGTTTAGTGGATGCGTTTTTATTATGCGTTATTTTAATTTGTTCCTCAAACGGCAGAGGATAAGTTTGGAAAAGTTTATTATAATCTTAATACGTATTTATTAACAGATATGTTGCCGTAATAACTCATTATATATTGTGTAATTATCGGTAATACGAAATTGCTATTACATCATGGTGATAGATGACGAAGATATTGACGTTCACAATAATAACCTAGGATGTTATCGTCAATGAAAATGTTATCAGATTTCCAGGAGCTCCGGTCGTTAGGTCAACAAAATGTGACAATCTCGTATCTATGAAACTCCAAGAGCCACTAAACTATTCTCCGTGACCATTCGCTATTTCAGGCTTGGCGACGTAATAAATATCGTAAACATGAAACAATGGAACAACCCGAAAGAATACTCGAACCGCGTCTCACGCTTGAGGGCGCGTCGGATTCCTACGTGGCCGGCAATTCATTTAATTTAATAGCTTGTTATTTTAATTGTCCCCCGGGTCTCCCTTTGTCAATCGCTCGCCCTTATACGTCCACGAATTGATTGTTTCATAAGTGCGTAGCTTTCTGCGCAGTCGTGTCACGCATGAAATTTAACCGCTACGTTGGCGACCACTTATTGAGTTGTAATTAAGATCATTCGCCGTGAAACTTTTCTATAAGCAGTCTGTTGTCATAATTATTGTTCACATCACTTATTTATACCGCCTTATAGAGTTTGTATTAGTCACCGACTGCGGAAGCTTTAAACTTACGAGTAACACAGCTTTTGGCAGTTGAAATTGCTTTACACTTCCCTTTTAAGGTTATTTCAAAATTAATTGTCTAAGTAATTTTAGGTGATATGTAATTCAAAGTATATTTATACTTTATAAAGTTTTATGTCTGCAATAGAGCCAATAGAGCCGTGATAGCTCAGTGTCCGGACGCTCGCCTTTAATTCAATATACTCGAGCAACCTGAGTTCGATCCCCGGTGCCGGCACCAATGAAGTTTTTAACTTTAAGTGCTGACTTATGACGTGCTCCGCGGTGAAGGAAAACATCGTGAGGAAACCTGCGTATTTTCGAAATAATAACAAAAAAATATATATTTCGAAGATATGTGAAGTCCGCCAATCCGCAGTGGGGCCGCGTGGTGGACTATGCCCTGATACCCTCTGTATAGAGGCCTTTGCCCAGCAGTGGGACATGTATAGGCTGTTACTTTATGTCTGCAATATAACTTTAAATCACAAATTAGCAGATAAACGAGAGAAAGATGTTATACCACTGCAAGAATAACTTTTAACATAGAACCTGTAAAAGCTCAATGTAATCTCTTCACAATATAATTGTGAACATTCAACGAAAAGATGCTCAGCCCATCTGAAATCAGCAAGTAATCGTAGCAAACAAATTGTCATTGAATTCTTTCGGAAAGAATATCAATCTATGAGCAGAATCCGCTGTCACAGTGCTGCGTACTTCTACTGATTATTCACGTTCAAAAATCACTATCCCATTTGCGTTTCAGTGTACATGTACAAATTGTCATTGTATGGGCTTAATAAAATTAACGGATAATGGCTAAACATAGCTGTTCATGTCGTATCACCTCGGAGATTACGCAAGACGTGTTCACTGGGATAACTTCGCGAGTGTACTTGTGCAAAATAATTTCACCCGGATTAAATGATGTCGAAGGCTGCTAGGGGAAGTGAATATCGGAATGACGCACGTCATCCGCCGTGTCCCCGGAGCGTGTCGGGCGTATCGACGCGGCGATAAGTCGCGGTACCCGATCGGGCAGCTTCCTGCACGTCCCGGATAACGTCTGTGCCTTGTTCCAGCCATCGGTGCGGCCTAACTAATGAAGATTTAAACCGTCGCTGGTCCAAGCCGAGTCCCGTTTTGCATCCTTCAATATATCACACTAAGGTGAGTACTGCAAACGTTAATTAAATTCTATTCTCGTACTGTTCGATTTTATAGAGTTGATAAACCTATAAAAAGTCAATTCTTTAATGATTTATTTTATGAAATTCGCCATTAACAAAAAGGCGTAAATAAAGCCCGAGATTGCGAACAAAGTAAAAAGCACTCAACTCATAATTTATTCATAATAGTGCTAATAACTCTCTGAAAAGTCGTTGGTCGTTAAACGTTCGTGTCGACATTATTGTTTTCATCGCCAGGGCCTGATCGAGTATCTGTTGCGCGTGTGGCGGAAGCCGCCGCTGGTGTTCTGCGACTACCACGGCCACTCGCGCAAGAAGAACGTGTTCTTCTACGGGTGCGCCGGCGCCGAGAGCTGGTGCAGCAGCGACCGTATCGCGCCCGACGAACCAGTCAAATACCTCGTGAGTCCCGCCGTGCGCAAACGCGCGCACAACGCCGGAGCGCCATTTGTATGCGCCCCTGCGGTCACCACCGCGCCATCGTCAATCTGCGCGCGCATCTCGGAATCCCCTCACTGTTATTTCGCGGACCGTATGCACCCGCGCGTCCGCCGGTAATTGGATACGTTTTTGCGACGGCCGCCTGGATGTATATGTGCCGGTCTGCACCAACGCGAGTCTTATAGGCATCGACGGCGACACCGGACGGCATTCCACATAGGAAATCAAGTTTAACACGACCCCAAGCGATCCGGCGACGTATCGACGGGGCGACGATGAAATTACACTTCTAACTAGCCCGTTCCAGTTGTAGGAAGCGTGAGTCATATGATTGGCTATTCGTGTCTGGAGGCCCTATGGCTCTACGGTTTGCTATATTGTTAATAAGTCTGAAACATGAATGTTAAAACTTTAATATTGAGTTTATTAAAATTTGATTCTAAGAAGGTGTTCGTATAGAAGCCTCATTTATTTCTAACATTTAAACTACAAATTATACGATCGTGATAATAGTGACCACAAATGAGTATTAGCAGCCATTTGACTTATATTATCAATAGCTTGAGGTATTGATGGCAGCATGATTTACGCTATTCCTCCGTGATTTACATGAGGTTATATAATTGCATCAAAACAGTCTTACCATCAATTTCCAAAAAAACTTTCAAATTCTATTACTAGCTAATGTACATATTATTAATGAACATGTTGATAACATTAGGATACACAGGACTTCAGTCAACCTCGTTTTAACCAAATTTTCTAAATCTAAAGCAATGATTCCATAATTGGTTATATGTGTTGTTGTAATGGTTTAGTAGAATCTTTCGAAAGGAACGTTACGAAGATAATTTCTAGAAACAAACGTTCTTAATGCGTATAAGATTGCACTCGGCTTTCACCGCTACATCTGGCACCTGTTGCGTCTTCTGAGAAAAGAGTTCCTTTACCCTTCCCACTATATTCTACAATGTTTTGTCCATTTGCAGAAACGACTTCAAACAATTGCATTAAAAAGAAGTCGGCGTAATACATTTGTTTTGGTGTTATATTGCAAAACGACCATAAAATTAAAACGACGTTCTTTACCGTACTTCGTCTCATCTTCATCGAGGTATCAACTAACAAACTGTTAAGTCTTAAGTCTAAAAAACCATGCTCAGTCAGAGCATAATCCGCTTTGCGAATACAATTGTAAAGGCCAAACTGAAATAAGATAAATTCTTTTTCTTTTACCTATAAATACTTTGGACTGCAGCCTTACTTCCGATTTCTTATCTGTGCAGATCGTTGATAATAAATTTTGATGTGCTTGAGAAAAACCAAAATTGTGGGAAAACTCCATGCACCTATAGGACCCTGAATTTCTTACATTTTGAAGTAACGGTATCTGAGGCTGCGATTCACATACAAGTGATGACCGCCCCCAACTCACAGTTAAATTGTTTTTAAAATCCTTCACACTCCCAGACAGTTCACGACATCCATCATCCGACACTGTTGTGGCATTGTATTGACAGTGTGTCGTTGAATGTGTAGATAAAACAAAATATAGTTATTGTATACTAGCTGACTCGGCAAACGTTTTGCCATATAAGGAATCGGAACGCACGCATAAAGTGTTTGACAGATTACACGGACATAGTTGACAGGTACAGATTTTATAGAAAAATAAAATTGTTGCTATTTCGATTACCGATTCCATGCAATTTTTCCATAATTTTTCATCGTTTAAACCTTCCCTGGACTGCCAAAAATATTTCAAAACCAAAATCAGCCAAATCGGTCCACCCGTTCTCGAGTTTTAGCGAGACTAACGAACAGCAATCCATTTTTATGTATATTTTAAGTTATTGCGCTCTGACAGATGCTGCCGGCTCTGATGCACCGAATATCGGGCGCGTTCGCGCTTGGCTCTTGCTCCTTTCGAGTGGAACGCGAGCGTGAGAGCACCGCCCGCGTCACCGTCTGGCGCCATCTAGCGGTCGCCCGCTCCTACACCATGGAGGCTTCCTTCTGTGGCTTCGATCAGGGACCGTACAAGGTGAGATCGCACTGCGCTAATGATCTCTTTGCTAACATTGAAAAACTCCATATACAGTAAAAGGACAAAGGAAATGAAGTTGCCTACAATTTTTTCTACAAACCATATAATTCCATTAAATAAATAATTTTAAATCCCTACGTTTTTATTATAGCATTTAAACGCCACGATGCACAACATAACCCTAGTACATTAAATGTATATTTGACTACGGGCAATAGCCAAAAGATAGTTTCTGCAGTATCTATCCCTCGAAGTCTCGACCCACGTGACCCGCGACAGGTAAAGTGAAATAACGTACGTTTCTTATTGCGATTATGCATCTCGCGTCTTATTTACATAGACATCCAGCGCTACACGGCTACGCATATTCAACAACACAAATTTTCTAAATTTATACAAACGAAACGAAAACTCGAAAGCTATCGTAAAAGTTTATAGAATTATATTATATTTATTTTTAGATTTACCCCTATATCTATAATTTTTTCGTAAATATGTAAAAAATCTTTCATGTAAAAAGTGCAAGTCAGCTTGAATTTTATTTATTCCTAAAATTTTTATCATGTCAAAATCACACACAAAAAGTATTAAGCCTAATGTTTTTTCAAAGTCATAATTTTTTCCGAAATAATATACGTTTATAATTACAATCTTCAAAGTACCACTTCTTCGTATCACTCTTAACAGAGCGGTCGTGGTGATGACATAGTCTTTTTTTTTTAAATGCTACCGTAAGATAAAGATTTTTATTTCAATATAAATCAGTCTCAAATAGTAACGTCACCTGCTCGTAAAGAAAAACGCATTAGACCGTTAGACGTTAAAATCCAAACCATCTACTTATATAGTTTCTCCAAAGGTTCAGATAAGAATATTTGTTAATTAGTTCAAAAACATTACTCTCAAGACAGGAAATTTGTTACGTAAATTAAAATATCTGTCGGTACAATTTCTTTAGTAAGTGTAAAATATGAAGCTAAAAATGTCCGAAAATATTTATTGTTATTTTATTTAATATACACTTTTTTATGTTCATTAAATATTTGTTATTAGGAGCACCGATTTCTTGGATTTAATCGACTTAATTCGTGTTATCGCTATTTAAATAGAAGTAAAGCGATTTTAAATGTTTACGGTATCTTACGAAACAGGCTATTTAATTTATATGTAGGGCCCTGAACCTGTCCCTTCTTAGTTAATTATATACCTCGGGCTAAAACTCCTTAGGAGAGGTTGGTTATCCGGATTGCGGTACACTTTTCTTAGTTCGATCTGTAAATTAAATAAAAAATACAGTTTTATGTAAATAATGCGTTATTTATGTGTAAGTAATTCTTTATTTTCCTTTCGCATTGCTTTTGTAACAGTGCCGGTGGTATCGGTTTATAACAGCTATTTTAGCTTCATTCTCATCGTATATCTTTATGCGACATTTATGTACTAAAAAAGTAGAATTCAGACTAAATGCTGAAAATAATTCAAAAATTTGTGTTTGAAAGTACAGGTCGTGTTTATTTTGCCTAAGCTTAAAAGAAATATTAAACATTGTTGTTTTATTGGAAAAAGTACTCTGAACTTTTAAACGAAAATTAATTTATCCGCTTACAGAGAAAAATGTAGCCGCCCCGCAAGCATTCATGGTCCGCGACGATAAAAAAATATGATTAGAGGGGAAGTTGTATCGAGTGTTTGAAAGGGAATTGTTAAATGGTACATAAAAAACAATGAATTGTCTATTGATTTTATACACAATTTAAAAATGTCTCGATGTTTATAAATCTCAGGCTCGTAATGTTTCACTTAGTTTTCAGTTACAAATGATTGCACGCCTCATGATTAATGGCATTGATAGAAAATAAGTAACCGTAGGGCAATGCATCGACCGACGTCCGGCCCTGTGCCTTTTAGATCGCGAAGATAACTTTTGCAATAAATCAGCCATCTGCGTTGTGTGAAGACATTTCCATAATATTTCTATAATACGGGTCCATCTACGATGTAATTGCTATACATGGAGCTATTTGCACGCTACACGAGGCCACAAATATTTGTTGTTTTTTACTTTTTTCCACGTTTCCGTTTATAGATACAGATGTAAGAAAAATAAATGACAAGAAAGTTGTTTTGTGGCCAGACGTTTCTGTTGAGAGTGTTCGGATTCTCCACCATTTTTGTTTTGTTCGTGCATGCCTTTTCTTTCTTTCTATATTTAGTCTGTACGCCATATCATATCCTTTGTTCTTTTTTTATCAAATTATTTGACTGTATTATAACTAAAATAATCAGCGCTTATTTGCACAAGAACTAAACTTAAAAAAAGGTCTGATTTCTGTTGTTATTTCAATGCTATAGAAGAAATAAACTTAAAAAGTAGTTAACAGATTAACTTTTAAAAAGACCTTCTTTTATTCGATAAAATAATGGAAAATATTTAGGTTACTTTATCATCTAAACACCTGAAATTCTTAAGACAAAATATATGACCCGAGATTGCATATAGCAGCCACTTAGGACGGTACGCTTTGAAATGAGTTTTTAACAATATTGCAGGCGAAATTCCGTGGTAATGAAGGTCTAACAAGCGTCGCGTGTCCTGGGCATGTTGGCCCTTTTTTTTAATATAACACGGTCCAAACGAAGGCCTTAAGCATGAGCAAGCACTTGGTATCACACGAGTACAAAACTCTCGGGCTGCATAACCTGTTGGATTTTTGTTGGGTGAGAAATATCTTGGAATGTACGCCTCAGAACATTCCAATTTTTCTCGCCTATCTAACATACCTACTTGAGAGAATTCACTTCACAAATAAAAATCACAGGTTTCGCTTCGTTAGATATATTCGTCAGATATATTTTTTGCACTTGTATTTTCATTCACTACGATATTCAATAAAATAGACGATCGTTTGCATCTCCGGCCGACAAGTTAAAATCTTAACTACTTAACCCGATTTACTTAGACAGCCTATATTACAATTCCTAAACTAAAACTGTCCTGAGAACAATCAAGTCGTATATCACCTAGAAGCGAACAAGATTATATGTCGTCGGGCGGTATTTTATAACGGTGGATGAATGATCGGCAGCTAACGCGATATGATATATTACGGCAGGGCTTCCATCTGAACACGCAGCACCTACAGGGCGTGGGCAGCGACCTCTGCGAGGCGCTAGGAGGCCTAAGCGACGGCGCCACTGTCGACATTCAACTGACTAGGGAACTCAACGGGTAAGTACGAGTTCTTGACGGACCCGTCAAGTGATACGTCAATGAAAGCAGTTTTATTTTTCATAAAGGACTTCGCCCACCATACGCGTGCTGGTCGACCGACGATTAAAAAAAAGGTATACAGGTTGCCCGGGAGTCGAGACGATAAATGATCGCACAGGCTTTATTTCTTGCTCCTACGATGGGGATAACTTTATGATTTTCTCGATAGATATTTTGTAACTGGCATCTCATTTACCACTAAGTATACACAAAGAATATTTTTTATCTATTCCTCTAATGTTACCGGCTTAAATGAAAATAAAACCTTTTCCACCGTGACTCATCTTCGTAAGATCGTGCTATAACCATTATAACATTGTATCGGCCCTTAAATAGCCCATAAATCAAGTAGAGCTTATTCGCGAGTCAATTTAGAATCTTTATGTATGAAAAAAGTTAATGCTTATGTTGGTAGTTATGTTGTAATTTATTTTTTTACTCGACAGAAACATTGCGATCAATTGGAATAATGTAAGCAAAAGGCAAGTTTCCTCCGTAAACCGTAAAGAATTGCATGTTACATCTAATGCGAAGTGTTTACATTGTGTTTCTATATTTATATATGAAATTACTAAAATGTTAGGTTTTATTTGAATAGAGTATACAATAAAGATTTACATAAAGCATGTAACATTATATATAACAGACAACATCAACGCATATAAAGAAATGTTTTATCCATATTTACGATGCATGTATGAAAATAACGTTGCAAACACTGGCTATTAAAAGTTAACAATGCGGTAATAATAAAAGCATTTTCCTTTTACAGCATTGCCTGTTCCTATACAATTTTCGCACATTAGCTTAAAAATTACTGTGTTATTCTCCCACCTCGCAATGGAATGGCCGCTGACAAAGATAATCAATGGTTTAACGAAAGTGTTCAAAGCACCAAATGAGGCGTTTATTTTGCATCGTTGTCTGCATGTAGAACTTATGCGGTATTTTCTTTTAATAGCCAACCCTAAGTCATAACCCTAAACGCGTAATCCAATACTAAGTGAAAGCACAAAAATTTTGTAGTCTTCTTTTTAAATTCGTTACTATTTCGTATAATCGGAAAATGTTAGTAATTATTTAAGTACCTGAGCAGTTCTTATAGTAGTTCTTATAGAAGTTCGTATAGTATTTCTTTACTGTCAGTTTTAAAGTTGAGTTTTATTTTCACTTAGAAATATTATTTCAGTCAATTTACTTCTGGAAATAGAAAGGATGGTAGATCAATCGCACACGATTAGTATTATGTAAAATAACTTAGTAATTACGCTAACGTTACATTGATACTAATACAGCAATGTGCAGTCGCAATGCGTAATAGGTCTTTGCAAAGTAAAAGGTCCTTAATCGGCCCCTTTCGATTCATTACCCCTCTTCTTACAACCATCAACTGCGATTATGTCTTGGGTGCGGGGAACGCTAAATCAATACAGCATCTATAATTTATTGCTCCAGCCGTGCTATTTTAATATTAAGCCCGGCGCACACTGTGCTTATTCCTATGATGAATCGGCGCAGGCAATTATGCGGTAAAATAACGTCACTACATGCGAATATCCTGGCTTCTTCGCAGTATTCTATTAATAAACCTCACGTAGTTCGCGTTTCGTACCGATGCGTTATTAAAATAGAATAATGGTGTCTGCAAGAAAAATCCACCGCAAATTGAGAAGACATTCGTAATGCGACGACGTAGTTATTTAAGATCGAATGGCAATTTAATGTTATCTCCCTTGTTTAACTAAAACTGATGCCACCATTTTTATATTGAAATTTTGCATAACCTGCATGATTTGATGACCGACTGTCAATTAGTAGGTACTATTTAAATAAGTTTGAACACTTATAATATAAGTCGAATCGTAGAGTTTATCAGATATATCCATTCATAGAAGATGGACGACAGAATTAAACAGTCTAGTGAATTTTTGTACATAACAACTCTTGAAGTAACATTTAATCCTTTACATGAATTTAGTACTTTAATTATAGTATTTGTCAATGATATTTTATACTATAGATATGTTACGCATACAAAACCTCCGGTCGAAAGTGTTCCTATTGCCATACTGAGTGAGAGCACATATTCACACGTTTCGTTCGAATGGTATAAAAAGGATAGCGTAATTAAATCAGATTGTCAATCGCCAAGTGATTTCAGTTTTAAAAATCTCGAGGACAAAATTACAAAAACGTCCCGCTTGCACATTTGAATCGATGTAAGCATTATAAAAATATCAACCATTGAGAAAAATAAAAATCAATGAAACATTACCAAAGAGCCTATAATTATAGTTTAACATTTTATTTTTTTTATTACAGAGAAAAAGCTGTGGACAGCGAACAAGGTTCAGGATCGGACAGTGTGCTCAAGACAGACTCAGATGAGGATTTTGATTGACGCTAAATAAATTTCAAGGAACAAATGCCTGCAGACGTATTCATAATAAAATCTACCTACATGTAACAATTTACAAAAAATGCATACACTATTATTTTTTCATAGGGCGTTTTCGTATACCGATACATCCATATTACTAGGCCTAAAGAAGTTAAGTCCGAAGCATAACTTAAGATGGGTTGAAATTAATACAAACAAATAAATTTCAAGTTTCAAATACAAATTTAGTTGACATTTGAATTATAAAACTTGATTTTCGATAACGCTCGTACTGCGTGCTTATAAAATTGTAACCTCTAACATCTAACTTGCAAATCAATCGATACGTCTGCAGCACAGGAGCTTTAAGTAAATAGGTGAATGTACTCCCGTGTTTTATATTACAATTGTAAATTAGTCATCGCGTAGAAACGATTATTGATTATAGCGACTGAGGTCCGTGAATCACGTTATTTCCTTTTATAATAACTATTGTATCGGCCATGCACGTGCATAACATTATTAACTTTTCTTTCATGTGTGAAATATTTCTTGTGTAACGTCTGTGTACGATGAATTAATTAAGAGTTGTTTTTGTTTGTTGTACATAAATTATTCAGAGGTGGCTTGTGATCTCAGTAACAATAAAGTTTATTTATCACACTATGTTTTTGTTTTATTATACGAATAAGTTTAAGTTTGTACAGTCACATGCCATAATTCAGAGAAGAGACCGCTTATTGAGGCAAAAATGTACAAGTTCCAGTTCGTCAGTAAGTTGAGATACTGAGCAAACGCGAAATCTATAGAAGTATACTGCTTGATTTTAATTAGTATCACGATGTAACAAATTCGAGTCAAATTGATGACCTAACAGAGCAAAAAGCAAGTGCGATATGAAGGAAAAATCACGTTTTAAATTCCAAATAATAGGTACAATTATTTGAATTATTAAAAATATGAAATACAATTAGAATTTTGAAATAATAATATACTCCGGGACGATCGGCGGCGTCTTCTGGGTGATGCGATGACCATTTTCGGGACAGACAACAAACTATGAGACAGCCCTTGCAAATTTTTAGTAAAGGTTATATAGCCGCGCTATAACTAAGCTCATATCGTAAAGAAGTAAAAGTGTTGTGTTTGCTATATACAGGTAGGCTTTTCTAAGTGTATCCATTTTTTTTTGTTAAATTCTGGACAAATAATGTAATATAAAAAATAATAAATATTTAAAATCACTCGTAATTAATTCAAGGGCGGATCCAGGGGGGGGGGGGGTCATGGGGATCATGACCCCCCCCTGGGCTGGGTCCAGGACCTAGGTAGACGACTAATTAAAATTGTTAAATGTAATGTTTTTAAATATTTTTTCCCACAGTATAGATTTTATGTAAGTACCTTCAATATTTAATTAAATTAATATAAAATTTTTAACCGACTTCAAAAGGAGGAATTTCTCAATTCGATTGGTATATTTTTTTTCAATGTATGTACACCGATTACGTTGAGATTTATAATCCGATTTACGTGATTATTCTTTATAGTTTGATGCAGAATATTTGCCATTTGGTCTTATAAAAATTTACCATAGTTTAGCCAAGTACTTTTCAATTTATGAACATTTTTACAATATTTTAATGTTAAATCATCAAATCAAATCTTGCAAATTTAATTTGATTTACTTCCCGGTTACCGGTTGAGCTGTAATTTTGTATACATGTGTAAATCGCGAGACAATGCAATATTTTGATGACATGGTGCTAATCTGGTGATGGAGCTGGAAGCACGCTAAAGAAAATTCGAAATGAAACGACAGAGCCTCATCACGTTTGGGTAAATTTGAATCGTATTGACGAGTAGTTTGTCTTTCATTGGTAACCAGGATCTGATGATGGAGCTCCATCTTCAGCAGTCCATGTACATATGCATAGGGTTTTTTTTATGCGAAAGTTGCCAAACGAGCAGATGGTTCACCTGATGTTAAGTGAATACCGCCGCCCATGGACATCTGCTACACCCGAGGGTTACAGATGCGTTGACAACCTTTTGAAAATTGGGCTCCGGCTACCTCACGCACCAGACGAAACGCGAAAGTATTTGTCATACTTCTCCACTTGACGCTGGTCTTCTGTGAGGTCGTGGTACTTACCCGGACGGGCCCATTCGTGCAACAGCCGAGGCTGCTGCGTGGCCCTACCACCGTAAAAAAGGGGTTGCAGATGCGTTTTCTCTTTATAAGGAGAAAACGCCAAATAAGGAGAAAACGTATTTCGTGAGTGAGGTACTCACCAGACAAATCGCAGAAGTACTTTACGCCGATCTTCTGTGAGGTTCTTATGACTACTTTGTAATGAAACGACTCAACCCCATCGAGTTTCGGCTCGTTTGATTCGTCTTAATTTTTAGATGGTCACCAGGGTCTGATCTGATGATGGAGCTGGAAGGTAGTCATATGGACTCAGTAAAGAAACTATGCAACCCTATTGCGTCTCGGCTCGTTCGATTCGTCATGACGAGTTCTTTGGTGCTAGATGGTAACCAGGGTCTGATGACAGAACTGGAATGTGGCCATAGGAACTCAGTAATTAAGGAACACAATTGCGTCGGGTTTGATTCGTCTTAATGGGTGGACCGTTTTTGATGGGTGGTGAGATGTGGTGGTTTAGTGGACGTGAGTATGCGAGACCATCTTTGGGAAATAAAGTTTGTTCGTTCCGTTTGTTATGAATGTGGATTCTGTCTTTGATTAAATGGATTAAAAGCGCTGAATATTATGAATGAATGAATGAATGACTGAATAATATTTTTTTGTTATTTGTGAACATTTTTTTTATGTGGACGATGTAATTTTATTTTGTGTACGGCTATTTTAAGAGTTTTCATTTGGGTTGATTATATATTATTATTAACCCGTGTCCGATAGTCTCGTCTTAGGCTACTTGTTATTGAAGTGGAGCCAGCTTGCGGAGTAGAGGAATAGAGAATATTATAATTAATAATTATTATATAATAAATAAATAAAAGAAATTCCAAAAATAAGTAAGCCTACCAATAGCTACTTAAAAAAAGGGTGGCTTTTCTAAGTGTATTCATTTTTTTAATAAATACTAAACATAATAAACTTATATAAAAAATGATGAATTATTTAAAATCACTCGTAATTAATTAATTACATTCATTTGAACTTATCTCAGAAAGTGCGTGATTTATGGGCAACTCATTTATTTTACGCGCGATCATTCATAACTAACAAGTACACCAGTTCGTTTCAAAAGTATACGACGCATTTATGAATGACTACCGCATTGTCAACAAGTTTGTTGTTGTTTTTAGGGAGCAGAATGCCAATGTTTTTCAAAAAGTTTGTTTTTATTTCAATAAACGATTATACTACCGAGTCTGAACCTCCTGTGTGAACTTGGGCACCTTTATAAAAGCCACCCTGTATAATATAAGATAAAAAGCAACGAAATGTTACGAACAAAAAAGAATTTTTCAAATCCGTCTATATATGACGAAGGTATGCCCGAACATACCCACATAAAAATATAAACATCCGAATTGATAACCTCATTCTTTTTGAAGTCGGTTAAAAATAAGTACCTACTTTTTACTTGTATCTATGATTGTAAAAATTTAATTATAACTTCTTATCACTTGACGACTACGTGACCCCCCCCTGGCACCAAAGCTGGATCCGCCCTTGAATTAATTACATTCATTTGAACTTATCTCAAAAGTGTGTGATTTATGGGCAACTCATTTATTTTACGCGCGATCATTCATAACTAACACGCACACAAGTTCGTTTCAAAAGTATACGACGCATTTATGAATGACTACCGCATTGTCAACAAGTTTGTTGTTGTTTTTAGGGAGCAGAATGCCAATGTTTTTCAAAAAGTTTGTTTTTATTTCAATAAACGATTATACTACCGAGTCTGAACCTCCTGTGTGAACTTGGGCACCTTTATAAAAGCCACCCTGTATAATATAAGATAAAAAGCAACGAAATGTTACGAACAAAAAAGAATTTTTCAAATCCGTCTATATATGACGAAGGTATGCCCGAACATACCCACATAAAAAATATAAACATCCGAATTGATAACCTCATTCTTTTTGAAGTCGGTTAAAAATAAGTACCTACTTTTTACTTGTATCTATGATTGTAAAAATTTAATTATAACTTCTTATCACTTGACGACTACGTGACCCCCCCCTGGCACCAAAGCTGGATCCGCCCTTGAATTAATTACATTCATTTGAACTTCTCTCAAAAGTGTGTGATTTATGGGCAACTCATTTATTTTACGCGCGATCATTCATATCTAACAGGCACACAAGTTTGTTTCACACAAGTTAGAATCACAATTTTTTTGAAAAAAAAATGTTCGTCTTTATTTCAATAAATGATTATACTACCGAGTATGAGCCTCCTGTGTGAATTTTGGGCACCTTTAGAAAAGCCACCCTATATATTCACTGAGATTACTCAAGCAATTTTAATTTTGAATATATATATATTTTAATAATGAAATTTATATGCCGGTGTCGACTGAAAACTGGCGGTTGTGATACCTGTACAACCTGACGCCCGGAATCCGTAAATATCCGGAGATCAATTGTTTATACTAAAGTTAAAACAGTCATTGTTACAAGCAAAAACATGACTTTAATTGTAGAAGCATTTAAATATGTGAGGAGCTTTTTCAAGTGTTTCTAAGAAGTAGAATCGAAAAAAAAAAACAAATTAAAAGAAAATGAAAATTTATTGTAACTCTTATTAAATATATTATCATCAACTTTACGTTACACTCATTTCGTAATAAAAAAACAAGACAAATTAGCAGACTTAAACGCTATGTTAAAATATAATTAGATTATAATTTTAATGCACACTTCATTACTGCAGAGAATGCAAATTTACATAACTGTAACTAACACCGAAGTAAAAACTCGCTTCCAATGAACTCTTCTGTAGTTGACCTTTTAAGAAAAAGGGTGAGGGAGAATCTATTCAGTGGTAATAATTATACCAGTGGTTTTTATTATAATCCATTACATTTAACTGACATAAAAGTTGATACAAAAAGGAGCTCTTAAATATTTTTCCCTATAAAGGGATGCTTTTCTAAGTGTATCCATTTTTTTTTGTTAAATTCTGGACATAAATAATGTTATATAAAAATGATAAATATTTAAAATCACTCGTAATTAATAAATTACATTCATTTGAACTTATCTCAAAAAGTGCGTGATTTATGGGCAACTCATTTATTTTACGCGCGATCATTTATAATTAACACGCACACAAGTTCGTTTCAAATGTATATGACGCATTTATGAATGACTACCGCATTGTCAACAAGTTCTGATTTTTAGGGAATAGAATCTTTTTTATTTCAATAACCGATTATACTAACGATCGGATTTTTATTTCAATACGAATTTGGGCACCTTTAAAAAAGCCACCCTGTATATCAGTTGCTAAAAATATAATCGAACTTTTTAAGTACTCAAATAAAAAAGCTAAAGAAAATTACTTTACCAATAAGGTATTGCCTATTTTCTCAAATGCATATTTATTCTTACTTAGAAATACTTTGTAAAAGCAAAAGTAACAAAATAAAAGCAACAAAATGAAATAAAAACCTTATTTGAATATTTTGTGAATTGTAAATACAAATCGATCTAATTGACTATATTATCTATGTATATATAACTTGTTCGTTCCCTCTTAATGCTTATTATATAAATTAAATAACTCTGTACTTCCTTGCCCTTGCCTTTGTTAGGCGAAAAAATAATTTGAGCATGAGAAAATTGTAAAAATATTAAACGCATGTCTAAAATATGCAATAAATGTCTTTTATTAAGTTTATTTTAACACGACAATTAAGAAAAATAATAAAGCACTCTTAGGAAACATGTACAATATACTATAAATACATATTTACAAATTATTATTTTTAGTCACCAAATATTACATTAATTTTTCTTTTCAATAAATACTTTTCGAATACTTCTTTACATATCTTCGATCTTTCAGCATTTCATTAATTCGAAATGCTTAAAATATTTTATCTAACGATAAAATTATTTCCAGATTATTACATGCAAGTCATTCGTTAAGGCAAACTTTTTCCGCAACAGCCGATATTTTTTGTTCATTAGATTGTGTATAATTATTTCAAAAATACTATATTTCTCTACTTATTGTAAATTACAAATATTCATGCACTTTAATAAATATGTACGTATTGAGAATTGAAGGTAAACCAGTCAATTGCGTACTAGAATTGAAGGGACATTCTACTAAACTAAATTGGATTAATAAATAAATCATTACAGATATCCATAAAATACACTGTATTATTATTTTAAAATAATAAACCATTTACACAATAGTAACCGGGAAAATTACCTAAATACGGTAATCATTAACAATACTCAACTCGAATATAATATCTGAAATGTGACAAACACATTCACGCATTTTAAATGTATGTCACGTACTTTTTTAAGTAATAGTTTTTATTACATATATGTATCATATCTTAAATCACTGGTAAGCGAATAATTCAATACAAAGGTAAAGGTGAACGTAGCACGGCTACGTTCCAACATGTTACATTGAGAAGGTCCACGAGCCACATGAAAATGCGGCGAGACAAATGTATGGCGCGCAAACTTAAATGCACCTCTGAAGTTCGTCCGAGTCATTACGCAGTCCGCAGTAAACAGGTATCAAATGCATGCACATTGCACATACATGCTATACTGCAGTGTCGCCGACTCGTTCACGCGCAGTCTAAATCGCTTTCTGTCTTGCTCTTATCCATACAATTGATTATTCCGAACGGTCGATTTTGCACTGCAGTATTCACGAAATCAAATTTACACGGGTGCATTTAATTTTTGCGCGACTTATGTAAGGTAATACGTATTAAGTAGCCACCATAAAGGACAAAGCCCTTAGACCCTACTAATATACGATCACACATTTCCAACGTCACGTACCCTAGCGTGTAAAGACGAGCACACAAAAGTAGCGAAAGTGACATTGGCAAAACGTGACGGAACTTGGTGAAATGATACAGGCTCAGTCGTATTTACTGAAGAGCGTCCTCTTGATTCGGCGGCAAAGTTCACTCGACGGCTCGGCGCGGCGTCCGAGGGGTGCGGTGCGGGGCGGGGCGGCGGCGGCGGGGCGGAGGGGCGGAGGGGCGTCAGGGCGCGGGCGTGGAGGTGGCGGGGGGGCGGGTGCGCGGCTGCTGCCGCCGCTGGCGCGCCAGGAACGAGTGGCCGCCCGCCCGCAAGGCGAAGCGATGCTCCACGGCCTCGCGGTGGCACCTCATGCCGAGCTGGTACCAGGCGGACGCGAGCAGCCGCTGCTCGTTGCTGCCGGCGCGCGCGTCCTCGCTCCCACTCCCGCTCCACCTGCGTTTGGGAGAGGGCGATGACAGATTTAATTTAATCTCTGCACTTAAGATTAAACATTAAAATTTGTAGAAAAAGTACGGAAGATTGTCACTATCGCGGCCGAAGACGTGGCGAACCCACGTCTTCGGCCGCGAATGCCGAAGACGTGGGTTCGCCACGTCTTCGGCATTCGCGGCCAATCACTTTTAGCCACTAAGCTAAACGGCTGATTGCCACACCGGCGAAAATCTTTTTGTACTTTTTCTACAAATTTTAGTAGGCGATTAGTGAGCCCGCAGCGCTTTTGATAGGGATGCGATTGGTTCTGGCGCGTTGGGAGAATGTCAAGTGTCTACTGACAATAATGCGTCAATCACAATCATGCAGAGGTTTCCGCTTTCTTCGGTGTGTTTAGATGGGTTAAAAAACGTTACGTTTGTTACGTGTGTACTTTGTACGATTTATAAAATTCTCCTCAAGAAATATTTATATATTATTGACATAACTTGTCATTATCGGGTCAATTTGACGACTCAGCAGCGAATTATTATGGGAATGCGCCCTAAACTATTACGATATGAAAATCTATTAGAAGCGAAACAATGTGCGAAAAGAATTATTAAAAGGGGAAGAGAAGAATTACTCACTCGTGTCGATTGTTGTTGGGTGGAGGCGCATCGGGTCGGGCCGCGGCGGCGCTGTTCTGCGCTCGCGAGTAGCCCAACGTAATGTCGGACAACGATTGCTGACCTGAACACGCGCAAATCAATGTTTTTGTTATAACACACGATCTAAGGAGTAAGCGTAACACCTTATAATAATTAACCATCGTCTATGGACAAAATCTAAAGCGGTAGAACCACACAAGTCTTCTTTGTTGCACGAATGGGCGGATCCGTCCGGATAAGTCCGAGTAATACCTCACAGAAGACCATCGTGAACTGGAAGTGTTACATTTCTGCGTTTCGTTTGGTGAGTGAGGTGCCGGGGCCCATCCGGCAACACAGTTGCAACTCTAGGAGTGTTGCAAATATCAATAGGCATCGGTTATCACTTAGCACCAGGTGAACCGCTGACTCGTTTTTTACTTTCTCACATAAAAAAGTATAAGGGTCGCAGATGCGTTGCTCACTGCTTTAAACGAGTCGAGATCACCTTTAAACATGTTTTTGACGGATGGTGAACTTACTTAGATAACCCACTCTGAAAACTCACATTTCAAGGCGGAATGAGGGCGGGACGAGGGCCGTGATAGAAGAACGAGAGGAGAAAGAGAGGAGAATGAGAGACGGGAATCGGGGGGAGAATGAGAAGGAAATAAGAACACGCACCGGGCGTCACCGTCCTCGGATCGAGCGACTTGATGACCTCCTTCGCCTTCTCGACGCACTTCTTGTACTTGTCCTCGTGCGCGAGCAGCTCCGCCTCGCGCGCCGCCAGCGCCTCCTGCAGCTTGCCCACGCGCCGCCTCTCCTCGCCTAGGGCCGCTTGCAGCTCTTCCACTTGCAGCGCTGGAGTCGCCAAAGCAACATTATTACGTGTCTGTCTGTTCTTCACGTCGCTGCGGAATGACTGGCATTATATTATTATAAAAAGTTGATGATGGCTTAATGAAACCAATTGATATGGAAAAGTTGAGAATGCGCGTTGATTAAGCTACCCGAGTTTGCATAATGCCGGCAATACTGAAATTGTGGTGGAGGAAAACATCGCGAGGAAACCTCCATGATCTCGAAATAATAACAAAAAAAATATTTCGATGATATGGGGTGTCTGCCAATCCGCAGAGGGGTCGCGTGACGGACTATGCGCTAATACTCTGTGGCTGCTATTTAATTTTACTTTCAACAGATTTCGCTACTAAACAGTATGAGAGTGATGGCAAAAAATTGAGATCCGTTATGGAGTGAGGCTGAACAAGGCTCACATTTCCTTTGGTTGTCCTCCATTGCGCTAGCGAGGCGTGGGTGCGGCGCTTCCAGTGTGGCCTCGAGCTGCATGATGCGCTGGTTGGCCTCGCGGTTCAGCGTGCGCTGCTTCTCCAGCCGCGCCGCGTAGTCCTCCAGCAACGCCTGATCACAACCGAAACCGAACTTTATACATTACAGAATAAGAACATTTTTCGCTTGCCATGAACACGACGGATATTAAGTCTGTATGCAATTATTGTATCTAGTAAATAACAAAATGTCATATACTAGCTGCTGCCCGCGACTACGTCTGCGTAGAATAGGTTGAAGGTGTAACATTAAGACAATAATATACATAAAATATATATATAGATTATAGCCTATGTCATATTCTGATGTATAAGCTATATTACTGTATATTTCATTAAAATCCATTCAGAAGTATTTGCGTGAAAGAGTAACAAACATCCATTCATACATACAAACTTTCGCCTTTATAATATTAGTAGGGATTAAACTATACAAGCCTTTATAATATTAGTAAGGATTAAAAGATAAGGTGGGTCGTAAAGTTTGATAAATGGAGAGATCCGTATCGTCCGAAATCATTAATAGTATTGAGCTCAATAATAATGTTCTATACTATTCGGTGCAAAGGTTATCATCATATTTTTATATTTTGATAATCTTTGATTATGTTTACTGAAAGTTATATAGTATAGTGATGAATAATTAATACACAACATCAATAATGAGCTTATAGTCAAAATAAATAAGGTCTAAAGGAATGAACAACTATAATTTGAAAGGGTAATTCCCATACCTGTACCGATGCTTGGTCAGCTTGAGCTCCCTGGTTTTGGCGCAGCAGTTTATTCTCATGTTCGAGTCGTATCAAACGGTCTTTGAGATCATTCGGCATAAGCTCTTTAGACACGTTACCTTCACTGGCACCTGATAACAAAAAACAAACACTATGGTAGTGGTGGTACCAGCGCACTCAAGCAGTTCATTTAAATATTATTAGGTCGAGTTTAGGAAGGAAGTTTCTTCGTATATTTGTTCGATAACTTATTGCCATCTTGTAGGGTTAGTGACATAATCCCGTTGCTGTGGAAGTTCTGTGATCTTTGATAAAAAAATGCGACAAGTAATTTTTACAGTTCTCTCTCAATGTTTACCCTTGCATTAGAACAAAATGCCAATACCAAAACAACCTAACACTACTCAAAACATTATTGTTACATCAAAATTTGTAGAAAATCGTAATGGCCCTAACTGTGGTAGGACCACGCAACAGTGTTCGCTGTTGCACGAATGGGCAGGTCCATCCAGGTTAGGACACCGACCTCACAGAAGACCAGCGTGAAGTAGAGATGTTACACTTCTGCGTTTCGTATGATGAGTGAGGTAGCCGGGGCCCAATTTATTAAAGGTGGCAACGCATCTGCAATCCTACGGGTGTAGCAAATGTCCATGGGCGGCGCTTATCACCTACCATCAGGTGAACCACCAGCTCGTTTGCCACTTGTCACATAAAAAAAACTATTGATTGCATAATATTTTTAAGGGTTTACTGGACCTACTTCTATGTACTATTGCTATTGGCCATTTGTATGTACGCCGTAAGAATTCACCGGCAGGCACGGCGAAGCAGCGCAGCTTGGCTCACTTTTCTTGTGGTTTACGCTGACGACGCCGATAGTATTCCGGTACTGTCGTGGCGTGAACGGTCACTAGGCTCAGCGCTCGAACGAAATGCCAGTACAGTCGCGCGGTTCACATTGACGAAGCCGATAGTATTCCGGTACTGCCGTGGCGTCAACGGTCACTAGGCTCAGCGCTCGAACGGCACGCCAGTACAGTCGCGCGGTTCACATTGACGAAGCCGATAGTATTCCGGTACTGTCATGGCGTCAACGGTCACTAGGCTCAGCGCTCGAACGGCACGCCAGTACAGTCGCGCGGTTCACATTGACGAAGCCGATAGTATTCCGGTACTGCCGTGGCGTCAACGGTCACTAGGCTCAGCGCTCGAACGGCACGCCAGTACAGTCGCGCGGTTCACATTGACGAAGCCGATAGTATTCCGGTACTGTCATGGCGTCAACGGTCACTAGGCTCAGCGCTCGAACGGCACGCCAGTACAGTCGCGCGGTTCACATTGACGAAGCCGATAGTATTCCGGTACTGTCATGGCGTCAACGGTCACTAGGCTCAGCGCTCGAACGGCACGCCAGTACAGTCGCGCGGTTCACATTGACGAAGCCGATAGTATTCCGGTACTGTCGTGGCGTGAACGGTCACTAGGCTCAGCGCTCGAACGGCACGCCAGTACAGTCGCGCGGTTCACATTGACGAAGCCGATAGTATTCCGGTACTGTCATGGCGTCAACGGTCACTAGGCTCAGCGCTCGAACGGAATGCCAGTACAGTCGCGCGCTAAAAGTTCACCTGCGGGCACGGCGGAGCAGCGCAACTCGTCGACGGTTTCCCGCAGCCTGGCGCGCTCCTCCAGAAGCGCGTCCCTCTCCCGCTGCACAGAGGCCGCGTGGCTGCTCAGCTTCTTGTTCTCAATCTCCAGTTTGTCCGCCTTCGTTATCTCCGCGTCCAGCTTCTCGTTCAGATCGGTCACCTGGAAGCATTCACATCGCAGTAAGTCTGAATGAATCTCTGTTTCAAATTCTCATTGTCTATTCAAAAACTAAACACGTTATGTCTGTATTAATACGTGATACCTGTCTCTGTTCACTCCATCGAGGTGTTATTCCGAGTTGTCATGATAAAAGGATAGCGGTTGACACTCAAAGGTTTACCACGGATAATCCTATCTATAATCTTCATCCAGTCGTGTTAATCGATTCCCATCCAAGCAGTTTGCAAAGTAGTCGGTGCAATTATAGTTTATATAGACGGCACATGACCAAGATATTACTTTTATTGGATGAATATAGAATGAGTTCAAAGCTTGTAATTATTTATTCGTTTATCTGTTACTTAAGATCTCCAAGATCTCTCCTCTTAAGATTATTAATTTCTTACCTGTTTCTTGTATATATCGAGTTGTGCGCGTATTGCGTTGGCCCGGGTTGCCGCCTGTTCGTGCTCTATGGCACGCTGCAAGTGCTCCATGTTGACGCGCTCTAGCAGCTTCACCTGTCACGCGAAAATTACCTTAAAGGCTACTTAAATATGTTTTACTTTTCCCTTTTCCCAGTATATATAACGGTATATTATTCCAACTTCTAAAAGTCTCTCGGTACAATGAAAGAGTCGGAAAACTAAAATATACCGCGATAAAATCCGTAAATAGGTTTTATTAAAACTACGTACATTAACAATGTAAAATATTGCTATAACAAAATCCCCACTTTCAGTTACGGAAAACCGAAGAACATTTATTGATATGCGGTAACTTTACTTTTTGCACGTATAGCGTACGTTCTCATAATCATCTTTACTATACCTACAGTTTCTTTCGCCTGTTTCTTCTCCGCTAGAAGAACCACATTGCGAAACGGTGGTAGATTTAAATTATTAACGAAAAACAAAACCGACATCAAATATCTCGGTCTGCATTCGTTTTACGTGATTTTAAGGAGTTCCCTAAGTATCTCCGAAGATCCAATATCAATGAAATTAATATGGGACCACATTGGAAGCACCAGCTTTCAAATATAAAAAGAATCATCAAAATCGATTCACTCAGTCGGAAAGTTTTGAGGCAACAAACTTAAAAAAAACAGTCGAATTGAGAACCTCCTCCTTTTTTGAAGTCGGTTGAAAAAGTGACCATCGATAGATGAAAAGCATGTTTCTTATTTCGATGAATAAATGACTTGACTTGATTCGATTTGATTTGATCATTAGCAGTGAGATCAGTACCTGTCTCCTCAAGTCGACGTGTTCTTCCATCCGCTTCTTGTAGGAGGCGACCGTTGACTCCAGAGCGGTCGCCTTCGCGGCGGTCTCCCGTAACGCGTCCACTTCATCCTTCAGCGCTACGTTCTCCGAAGCGGCGATCTGGCAACAAAAGGACTCTACTTAATAACATAATTGGCAAAGAGCTAAGCCTTATTTTACCCTTATTACTCATGACTCAATTCATGGCGGTAAGGCCCAAGCCCGTGGGTTCTGGCTAGCCCACTGGTTCTGCGTCAGATGAAGCTTTAATAGTCCCGGAACTGAAAGCAAAAACATCAGTTAATACAAGAAGATACAAGAAGTGGCGGTAAGAATAGAGTGAATAGGCGGTTCACCTAATGTTACGTGAATACCGCCGCCCATGGACATCTGCTACACCCGAGGGTTGCAGATGCGTTGAAAACCTTTTGAAAATTGGGCTCCGGCTACCTCACTCACCAGACGAAGCGCGAAAGTTTTATGCTTTCCCGGAGAGCCTGCCCATTCGTGCAACAGCCGAGGCTGCTGCGTGGCCCTACCACAGTTATGCTACCACAGTTACCTGGTACTTTTATCATTTGCGGCGACATCGTCACTCGTGAACAAGTTTTTCCCTTCGTGGTGTTTCCTCCTAAGAAAAAATTACTACCGTCGCCCATATATGCCTCATCAACGCCATAAGAATTGCTTTACGATCCTTACAAAGCGTGACGTCATCATCCTCCTGCGCTTATATCACCTAGTTCAACTCAACATGTGAATTATGTTGTAAATGGTTTTGGTCAGGTCTTTTACGACCGGCCGCCTGCTTGACGTCAACCCGCCTCGGTAACCAAATATGACTTGTAAGTGATAAATGTTAACATTTTCGGTTTCAGCTTTGGTCTAAGTTACTGAAAATCGTGCTTGGAGCGTTTATTTGCAAAAAATATAACATATCAGAACAACGTAATGGATATTTAACTATTTTTTTTCAATAACGCAAGAAATCTTTCATTTAGTGGGGAGCAATCTACATAAAACAAAGGCAGCGTTATAAAATAATCAAAAGAGTTAAGGAATACAACAACATAACCTATTGTCGTGTTAAATTAAATTATATTACAACTGTAATGTAATTCAATAAACAATAATTAATTATTTGAATGTAACAATAATTAACTCTTCGTTTATGTAAGCGGTGCTCATTACTTATGTAATAACAGGAAACAAATATCGAATAGCGGGTTAATTAAAATCGGGCAGTATCATTACTTAAGCAAGAGATTTATTATTTTTTTAATTAGGAAAAATAGCATTTGCAATACACTCACATAATTAACTTAATTTAGTAGCAAAGGTTCTATAGCATAGTATTCATATATCAACGCAAACATTTTAAACGACCGCGGTGGAGCTCCAGCAATTTCCGCTGTTTCAGTGCGCAACGTACGTACGTATTTGGGGAACATGGCGTTAATAACATAAACGGTTTTATTTAGCTCGACCCGTACGGAATTTGTTTGTTTATTTGGGTCAAAATTAGAAATTGAAATTTAAGCACCTTCCCGTTGTCAGATTGATCTGAAATTTGGTACACACATTTAATTTAGATGACAATACAATATTGTAGTTTTCAGTGCACATAAAATAAAACCGTTTAACTTTAAAGTTTTTAAACGGTTTTATTTTTTACAAATAAGTAGGCAAAACAAGCGAGGATTTCATCCAATAGTAATTTCCCCACCTGCAGCTCCTCGTTCCTCAGCTTGAGCATGGCGAGCTCGCGCTCGAGCCTGTCGGCGCGCGCGCGCTGGTCGTCGCGCTGCAGCTCGAGCTTGTCGAGTTCGTCCTTGAGCGCGTCGAGCTGGGCGCGCATGTGGCTGTAGCGCAGCGTGCCGGCGTGCGCGGGCCCCAGCGACGCGCCCCCCTCGTCCAGGTCGCGGTCGGCCCCCTCGCCCCCGCCGCCCCCGCCGCCCCCCGCCTGCGCGGCGCTCAGCCGGCTCACCTCGCTGAGCAGCGTCATCTTCTCCTCTTGGAGGATCTTCACCTGCGCACCGATGCCAAAATGTTCATGCACGTTCTTGTACGGATTCGTTAACTAGTATAAGCACCTCTAGAGGAAAAGTATGCATAGGCCAAAGATGATTATGATTTGTGTGGAAGGGGTTGGGTAGTAAGTAACAACGAACACTGCGAACTTGAGGATCTCTTGTACTCTTCCCTTTGAGTACAATAGTGCTCTGATAGTCTTCTCCAAATCAACAACTCTAACGAAGTTGACGGTCGATGACTAAGAGCTTTTTATTGCTAAGCCATTATTGGCACCGGTGGTCGTGGGCGGGAACCACACGGGACAAGTTTTAAAACAAACAAACATAAATTAAACAAAAAACGAGACGTCATTGAAAAAACCTTTTTTCGCAGACACCACATTAAAATTATATACTCTCACAAATAATACACCTCACGTGTTGCAATTACTTTAAAAACCCTCGCGAGGTTTACGCTGTAGTGTGCCAAAGAATTAGACAAACATAAATACATAAGTCATAGACAACTTATTAGCAATTATGATAAGAGATAATTTTTAATATAAATAATAATATTGCCCATTTCACTATTAGGTGTAATGTCCACCGACGCATAAGACGCATGGCGATCTGCATACTAAAGTTTAAGCAATTGTCTGCCGCGGCTTTACATAAACTGAGAAAAGACCATCATAGTGCATTATCGTAAATATGTCGTAGTTCTTCTTTTCTTGTAATTAAATGTGCCAAATGCAAATTATTTTTATTTCTTACATTCGTATCGGGAAGGAGTAATTTTTAAAAAAAGAAAAACCCGGAACAATTATCCACAGATATTGTTTCATTTATTATACATATAATATTTGTCATGTACGGAAATCGAAACAGGGAATCTAAATACGTAAATTAGCGTAACAAGTATCCTACCCTGGTCCATTCGTTGTAATATCAAAAGGGCATGCACCAAAATAGTATATTGTTTAGTTACCGTGACCCAGTGGTATAACTGGCTTGATCTAGTGATCAAGCCAGTTATACATTAAGTATGTCACGTATCCTGCCGTTACCATGTTCAATCGGAGAATTAGATAATAGCCAATAGTTATTCAACACTAACACTACTCTAATCTAACACAGAGCTTACAACTTAGTAGACACGGTCTAAATTACATTACATTATTGAGTATCGTAAGTAAATAACCCTTTAACTCTTCAATGGCATGAAAATGGAAAAGGTCTTGACCATTTATTTATTAACGTGTTTGGCTCAAACGGTTTTCAAAGATGGCAAGCCTTAGATTGAACATAATTTCTAGGTCATTCCAGAAATTAATAATCACATTTTTCGTTCAGAATTATGTGCCGAGCCTAACACCATAAACTTCCGTAACCTTCCATAAGTGCACATAAAAAAATTCACAATAAATAATTAGGTCCAAATAATGAGCTGTGAATAATAAAAGACAGTCGTGTAGGCTCTCATGGTCGACTAATAAAGTAAAAGTTACAAGTCAATACATCTAAGCAGCATTTATTTATAGAGTAAGACGTATTATATTATCTGTAATGTGCTTAAGCAGCCAACCGGCCGCCTTAAAAAGCTTACACCCTATACATATTATCGATGACACAGCTGTGAAGTTGCCAAGGTTTTGGATTCAATACCGGGGCTCGTGGGCTCGATTTACACACGAGACACCTATTTATGTGACCCACAGATAGTTGTTTCGGATGATTGTTTCGGATCTGGGTGTTTGTCCACGTGAAATTTATCTATGTAAAACGTCCGCGTAACGTGTTGTCGTACAGTGAGGAGTAATGTTTTCGATGGGGCGATTACAATTTATCTTAGTGCCCAAACCCCTTCCACAGAAAATACAAATACACCAATATTATGTAATGAATAATAATGAAGAACGACATAAATCGGAAGTAATTTCGTGAATTGTTCGAGTCATCATTCAATGCTAACAAAGATCGCACTTAAGCGAGGGTCAGTAAACATCGTTCAAATAGTTAACATTCCTTTAATATATATTATCTATATTTTATTTCTTATTAATGGCACAGCTCTAACAACAAAAGCACCGAATTAATCAATATATAACTAAGTAAAGTTTTGATAAAATAAATAACACCACATCAGAAATCCAGGAATGTATATTGGATACAGGTAATATACTATTGGGCGAAGCGACAGTACTACAATGAATACCAACTTCAAAATCATATCGAAACAATATGTAGGACGAGCCACTAATCCATTCAAGTGTGAATCTAAAACATGAATAGATTATGTCTTTAGAATACTCTTAGAATTGTTCCCTGCCTATCCAATAAAATAATGTTACCATAGACTCAATTGACACAATATTTTGTAGTACTACGTACTACAAAAGTACAAGTACTACAAAATATTACATGAAAAGCCGTTATAAACAGTAAACAATACTTTGAAAAAGGTGGAACAAGACACTATGAAGAATATTATATCTAATATTGTACAACGTACCCTTGTCTAAGTTAAGTAAAGTAACAGCCTATACATGTCCCACTGCTGGGCAAAGGGCTCCTCTATACAGAGGGTATCAGGGCATAGTCCACCGCGCGGCCCCACTGCGGATTGGCGGACTTCACATGTCTTCGAAAAATATTTTCTTTTGTTATTATTTCGAAAATATGCAGATTTTCTCACGAAGTTTTCCTTCACGGCGGAGCACGTGACAAGTCAGCACTTAAAGTTTAAAATTTCATTGGTGCCGCCACCGGGGACCGAACTCAAGTTGCTCGAGTATATTGAAATAAAGGCGAGCGCCCGGACACCGAACTATCACGGCTCTACCTTATTGTCTACTATGATATTTAACATTATACAACGTACCTGATTGTCGAGTTCATGGCATCGCTGAGCCAGGGCCTCTCTCATGTCAACATCGGTTTCCGTGACCGCCGGCTCCAAATGCAAGCTGCCGCGGTTCGGTCCCAGCGTCAACGTCTCAAGTTCCTTCCAACCAATTGTCAAATTTGAAAACCATATTTACGACGTTCAAATCCGCGACGTGATCGCTCACCAATCTCACGTAACACGTCACATAAGTAAACAAAATAAAATTACAATGGTCACTGAACTAATTGCATCGACGCTGTAAGAGGCGAACGTTTCTCTACAGTGTAATAGACTTTCCACCGAGAAATATCATAATGCAATAATTGAACATAACCGCCGCAAGTTGCGAACGATCGCGGTGCAAATTGTTGCTAATCTTGATTTAGCAGTGCAACTGGCGCGAAACCCAAGTGTAAACTGATGTATGTAACATGCGTCACGCCAGCACTTTTCGTGATCCAAGGACGTTAAAGACGCGTAACTAAATTGTACGTGGCTCAAGTGCGAGTAACGAGCATGCACCGCTGAATGTGATGTTAGGTAAGATATTTGCCTAATACATTTTTGCAACAAACATTACGTTCATAATGCCCCACTTAGGATTACTACATTAGTTCTTATATGTCTTTTTGCTAACAATTAAGGTGAAGCCAAAATTTTGCAAATGCAGTAATGGAGTAGATATGTTATTACTATGCAAATTACATATTATATTGAGATGCGTTTATGAATTATCAGATTTTGTTATCTCTATCTTGTATGTTTACAGTGTAGATCATGTTTATAGTAAATAAGTTCCATAACTACAATGATAATTATAAAGTTTAACATTTAAATTATGAAAATTGTCAAACCTGTATTGCCTGCATTATTGAGCGCTGACATGATAACTCAAGCCCCATAATGCGAGTGATATACTCTTCCTTTTTATTGCAGTTAACTGCACAACCTGACAAACAGAACAATATTGGTTTATGATCAAGTAATACTACTTATAATTTTTGCATTATATGTATGTACAAAATGGTTTTCGGCATAAAAAAGTGTGTGTGGTTATGTACACGCGTTAGAAGTTATACTTCTTTGGGGTAACAAAATAAAAATCTTTTCAAAAATTTTATCTTTCGCCTTATTCTACGTTTGTAGAAAAAACGACACTAACAATAGAAAAAAGGTATTGTATATTTAATACATCTAAAGTTTTATCATAAAGCATTATCTAGTTAAATAAAGTTCATTTAAATATCACAAAATAAATATCATGAATACAGTTGTCAGTTCTCACGCAAACAAATGTAGATGTCTAGCTAACTTCAGGGTGTCGGTTTTTCGTGACGGTGTGCGCGCAAATCGTAAAAATTTACTCTCATAATTTTTCTAACGCGCCAAAAGATGTATAACTTCAAAAAAATTGAAGAATAAAATATTTTTATTAAATACAACTACTATAATGCATAGAGGTATGTAACAAACTTATTTGGAATGCTAAAAATTATAAACATTTACATAAATATACTTAACCTTGATTTAAAATAATTAAATTTCAATTTAATAGATTCTCAAAAAGTAATACATATATACTTACTGAGAACCAGTTGCAAAAGCCTTCCCAAATCAGAAGGGTCAGCATTTTCAGCTATATTGACAACATCAGGCCTTGAAAACTCCTGTAGACTCAAATTAAGGATATCTTGATGATAATCTGCAAGGTGAAATTCATAAAAAGAAATAATGTATGAGACTTCAAACTTGACTAAGAAATAAAAAACAGTAATTCTAAAACTTATATCATTCAACACATTGTCTATGAGTTTAGGTTCAAATCCTATTGGCATGCATTTATTGTTTTCTTTTTTAATTTCTCAATGTAACACACTGACTTAAATTTGTACCAAATAAATGATAACAGGCATAACAAAGTTTGAGATTTAATAACATTTTTATGTTGAACTGTCAGTTAAATAGTTACATTTTAAAAGTAAACTCTGAGTTTCATTGATTTTATTATAAGAAATAAACCATTTTAACACATGTACAACTTTTCTAGGAAAAATAATATTTAAATCTTTTTGCGTTTATATTATACAGCGTGTTGTTACAACCACGACAATAAATGAACACACTTCTAACGCTACTTGCCAAATATCATAAAAAAATATAAAACGATAAAAAAATCCATAATTAAAAAATTATATTTTTCAAACAAAGTAATTAAATAAAAAAGTAACAAAATTTGTAATATCCTATACAACTACAACTGACTGATTCATACATTCAGACTTTTTAATTTGTTGCCACAATGTTGCATTAAAAGTCTCACCTTCTAACAGTATGTTTTATCTCATTTAAATTCATTCAACCCATTCATATGCTATGTGACCTTTACAAATGAACTTTTACATTACAGTTTTATTAGTAAGGGTGTTCTAAAAATGTTTGTTTTGTAAAATTTAATAACTCGGTAAATATTGATGCTTAAAGAATGTAAATGCTTAATACAATTATAAAAAGTTATCCTCTATATGTGTGTTCAATTATTGTCGCAGTTGTAACGACACGCTGTATATTTTCGGGCGAAAATTACTGATGTGTGATCATTTTAATTTGACACATTATTATACATTGTAAGGTATGGAAGAAATGATTTTAAACCTTACAAAGTAATTTTACAGTATTCTTGGTTTGGTGACAGAACATTTTAAGTCCAATAACATTTGTATAGCACTGTGGCCAGCGGACTTAGTGGCTATATGCATCGACTTACGGCTATAAGACACACTCAAATCAATCCTTTGTATACCATTTACTGCTTTTTCAGCTTTCTTCTAAGCTAAATATTTCTGTTAGCTGGTTAAAACATAGATTGCACTAGATATAGTATATAGCTCAATGTATAAAGTAAAAATATATGACAAAGTCATTTATATTTATGTTATGTGGATGTGACAAAAAAAGTCTAATAGAAAAAATGTATGGAGTTATATCCAAATGATTTTTATGATTTAATGTAACAAGAGCTCTTTTTTTCTTATTTTGTATTTGTTTTGTTTATTTTTTTTAAAAACATAGCCCTTAACTTTAGGATAACATTATCCTGTGTAGTAAGGACGTTTTACAAACATAAATTTCACATGGACAAACACCCAGATGCAAAACAACTATCTGTGGGTCACACAAATAGTTGTCCCATGTGGGGATCAAACCCACAACCCCCGACACCAAAGCCAATAACTTTTTTATTTTTATTTTTTTTCCATCATCAATTTTACTATATCATAAAATACAATTTGTAAACAGTTGGTGTTATTGAAGTTTTCATTTGACAAATTTCATGTTTGAGACATGTTTGAGAAAGTTTCAAGCAAACCTAGAAGAACAAATCCTCAAGACTCTGGAATGATGCTCTACAACTGTAACCTGTTCTTTTTAATACTATATCTGTGCATAAAACGATTCACATTCACCATTTCATTTACTTGTAAACTTGAAATAGATGATTCACTCAACAATAAAATAGTAATTACAACATAATACATCTAGAACCACCAAAACTTATGATATAGGCATAGCAAATGTTTCAGAAAGACCAGAACTTATTTAGACATTCAACTTGCCATGCTACATTTGATAATTCTGACTTGATCTTTTTTAGTCAGTGTTTGCATTGATCATCTGGGGAATTTAATAATAAATTTAATCAGCAGTTATTTTGAATTAAATAAGATATCAATTATAATCTTCAAAGTTTTAAAACACAGAAATGTACATTGTTAAGTATGTTTAGACATTTTCTGTACAAAAACTATTTAATAAAAATAAGCATTCACTTATTAATAACCAACAACTGAGGGTTTATGTGTGTAACCTCTAAATGAACTTTCATTCACAATCTTTGCTATTTGAATGAAGGTCAAGTGCCAATACTTCATGTTAATGAAGGTGAAAGTAATAAAAAAAAGTAAGTTTACTTATGAATGGATGTAGGAAGTTATACTTCTTTACTGTAAAGACATTAAATTCAATTGAAGATGGTTTATTTAAATAACTTGGTTTTATTGGTAAATGTCAAAAAGTTGTTACCAAGCAACATATCACTTTTTGAGGGTTAAGTAAAGTATTGTAACAATTTTACAATCAATTTTTCCAAAAGCGCCATAAGTGTTGTACTTAAATCATTAAAGCTTCACAGCTTATTGATACATAGTGACTTAAAATACTATATTACTTACCAACCACTCCCTCCAAAATCTTTTTCAGATTGCTTACTTTCAATCTCCAATTTTGTCCTACATCTGTCTTAATTTTTGAAACCCAAGCAGGTGTAAAATATTCTGGTGCTATTTGAGTAAGAGCCTCAGCAATTGCCACACCATCTGATAAGTCTGCAAGAAAGACATCATCATAATGTTTTAAGTATATAAAATATTGTTTTTAATATGTTATAACTTATTCCCCGCTTACATATTTTTTGTTAATTTGTGTGTATTAGTGGGGAATAGTTCATATTATGTCATACAATCAATAGAAGAAATAGTTATTAGGAAATAGGAAGTGACAGTATTTCGACTAAATAATTTGGTAATAGACATCAGATTGCAATGGTTCGACATTTCTATACAATATTGTAAACAACAGCGGTATATGCCATTTAATATAACTACGAGGGCAAAAATCATACCCGATGGATTTCCATGTTTAGCGGTAAGATTTAATGTCTGTAACCACTTGATTAGATTGTCGCATAAAATAACACCATTCACTTCCATTATTGAAAATAGCTGTTTTCATACGAAAACTGAAGAAAGTAACAAATTTTCTTTCAAATATATTTATAAACTATCATTATATCTGCCACATAAAAGAAAACATTTATATAACAAAGGTTTATTAAAATATTTGGTTTTCCATATTCTTCGTTACTAATGTATGACGTTTTCTTATTTATTTATACACGGCTCTATTGTCTATTGAAGACAATTGTCATATTTGACAAAGAATGAACTAAGAGTTCCACAGAATCATAATATATAATTAGAAAAAAAAGTATGAAAATAAGTTATGAAAGGGCCATCTGCGATTAATCTTTTTTTTAGTTAATTAACTTGCTGTTAGCCCAGCAGCGGTAGATAGTCGAAATAGGTACACAGGCAGACAGTCCGTAGACTTAGAAGAACAACGTAGCTGGTGCAAGAAGACGACACGATGACGCCATCTGCTCCTGACCTTCTGCGACCCTTATTAAGAAAAGATGGACAATGATGGCATGACACCAATCAGACCGCGGTTTCAACCTCGGCTCGGTTGAACTTCGATCGATAGTAAAGTATAATAATACGGTAATAAGGTCGAAATTGTGATCGATAGTAAGCAGAGTTGGTATTAACTAATAACAACAAGACGATAAATGAAACTAATTTAGAAACGGATTTATCGCGTTTATTTTTAATTTTAATTCCCGACGTTTCGAACCTTTCGAAACCTTTACAGCGCGCATGGTCACGGGACAGACTGAGGCGTTGAACGTCTGATTGTCATGGTCCAGGAGCCCACGGCCGCCAGACGTTACTTATTTTCTGAGTATAAAATATATCGTACAGAGTAGTATTAGAGTATATTCTTAAGGTATACATATCTGCTAGCTTGGGTCGCCGGCCAATTCACAGGTACCAGGTGCTAAAGGTACATAAAAACATCGCTCACTTTTCTTAAAGTCGGAGTGCTGATTTTTATATATATTTTACAAAATTTTATTAGAAATTTAAAATCAATATTGCCAGATAGTGTTCGTCGACGGTAATTTCCGCCAGACGCTTTAAAGTTTGCGAAAAAATAACGTAAGTTTACTTACAGTTTGAGTTTTGATTTTTATATATGATGTTTTGGAAACTATTTCAATACTATTTGCATGCAGCCAGACAAATTGTAATGTTGTGTCCAATTGTGATGTTAGCCCTCTGGTCGTGGGAGGCCCCCAAGTGCATTCAAACTCCCTTGCACAAATCCTAAACAGGGCTTTGAATATGCTTTATCTAAGAGGTTGGAGTTGGGAGTTAGAGTCCCATACAAATATCATATACAGCTGCTAAGAAATACAGCTGGAACTGGTATTTTATAACTTATGAATAAAATTACTATTACTGCTAATCAGGGGTGTACCTATCGTAGCAATGATAGGAGGGCCCCGGGCTGCAGCTACAAAAAAGATGAATGTTAAAATATAATTAACATAGAGCTACGATTTTATTTATAATGCTTGTCGCCTTTTTTTCTTCACAGTATGAAAGCATCAATACTACAGCTCTACAGCATGGAAATAATGACTTATAGGAAGCAAGTAATCTTTTACATAAATAGACTGAGCTAAATAAGAAATTAAATTTCATCAGATGTAGGCTTAACGAGTCCAGAGATCGTTGTTGCCTCCACAAAATAGTAGTGGTAACAAAAATAAAAGACTGAAGATAAAGAATTTCAGACCCGGAATCGTACTTCAACGTCAATCACACATTACTATTGCTGTAAATAAATTGATTTCTCAAACTCAAGAAACACTTCAGACTACTGAAGCGAGTAATACGGTCGAAGTAATACCGGAGAAACAATTTTTTTTCAAACGAAATAGGTGATTTAAAAAACCCGTTCAAGTGCGAGTCGAATTCGTACGGCGAAGGTTCAGTACCTACCCATTATACCGCCATAATAAAATTGGTAAATAATCACCACCGATTTTCTCAGGAACGGATAAACCTAGCAAGTTAAAACTTCTTAAACTAGACGCCTCATTCAGCTTTACCGCCCCGGGCCTCTGAAGGATTTACTCCGCCACTGGTTCTGCGGCAGACGCTACTCTTGCAGAGGGCAAGGTATTGGGGGCGAAGGGCGCAGAAGTGGACGGCGGTATTGTGGCCGGTGCAGCTGGCCTGCCGCTCGCGCATTCAACGACTTGCTTACGTTACGCCGCGAATCCGAGATTTTTTCCCGTTTCCGGGTATTTAACACGCGCGAATTCTTTGAATATGGGACCTCGTTTTATAGCCCGTCAATTCGTGCTCCTTTTCTGTTTTGTTTTTGGAAAATAACATAAAAAAACTTAGTGGGATGGGAGGAGAGCGGGCGGCATGTCGCAGACACCGGAGTCCGGAGAATGTCAGAGCGTGACCACTGTTCCCCACCGACCACATATATGCGGGGAGCGCCTACAATATTTATGAAATAGCGTATGAATTTTTCGCCGGCCACAGTCGAGCGGATTGTTTGAACTGATCTTTAGTCATACAGTAGTTGTCAACTTCACTTATTGACTGTGACCGGTTCGAAAATAGAGGCGGTAAGTAGGGTCCTGGTCTTAGCCCTGATTAGATATCTTATTGTTTAATGAATTTATTATTTTCCTTAATTTGTAATATTGCAATAAAGGTAAAAATTATAAGAATAATCTTATTAAGCAAAACTAATACATTTTAGTAATAACTCAGTCATCCAGGTGTCATGACAATTTTTATGCAAAAATAAATAACAGACATTTTTTTTAAATAAAATCAAAATTATAGATATGCTTAATATTATATTTATGCATCATTACAAAAACCAGGAACATTGCATCCTGTATATTTGTCATCTTTAATTGCTTTTGCAATCACTCGTTTCCACAAAGGATCCATGGAAAGAAGATGAGGGTTACAAAATAAAATAGCAGTAACTTGAGCTCTTGTTAAAGCAACATTCAATCTTTTAGGATTTTTAACAAAGCCCAAGGTGTACTTCTGATCCTCTTGGACTAATGATTCTGAAGATCTTACAGTTGTTATAAGAATAATGCACCGCTCTTGACCTTGAAATTCTTCAACAGTCCCAATTTTTGGTTGAGCTAAGCCCATTGATTCAAATAGAAGGCGCAAATATTTTATCTGAAATAAAATTCTGTAAGCTATACATGTTCTCATACTATTCATACATATATATAATATATTGTTTTATTTTCCTTTTTTTCGATTAGCTGCATGTGCAGACAGTACTTAAGATACAAATATATAAATGAATGAAGAAAAACATGGAATAAATATGAAATATATTTACCTGAGCTATATATGGTGTAATAATGCCTATGTCATCTACAGTTACACCTCTTCTTAGCAGTTTGCAAGTTGTGAGTGCCACCATTGATGCCTCTTGTGGATTGTACCATGAAGGGCTCTCCTCAGATCTTGCATTGAAGCCTCTTACTCCATGTACAAACAAACCACCTGTGTTTATGTTATCTAGACTTAGAACTTCGTGAGTGGCGGAAATAATTTTTGATATCCATGTTTGATTTCTATCAATTCTAGCCACCAAACTTGCATCATAAAACATTTCACTCGGTAATGAAATGATTTCTTCTACAGATCTGTAGTTATCATTCAGTTTTGTTATTAGCCTATTGTCAAAACCATTTTTGTATGCAACATAATCTTTTTGATATGGGTAGCATTCTAAAATTCTAGACATGTAGGATTCATCCATACCAAATTCTTTACAATATTTTGATGTCACTACTGGCCCTAATTGCATTGGATCACCTGCAAGAATAATTTGGCCATTATTTTTATCAACAAAAGTCATTGGGATCATTATTTCAGGTTCGGTGGCTTGTCCTGCTTCATCTACAATTATATGTGTAAAATGACCCTTAGGTAATCCAATTTGTGCCAATGAACCTAGGCAAAAACATGTTCCTATGGTAACACGGTGTCTTCCAATGAATGATTTATGACAGTTCATATTTATCCCATTCTTCACAAAATGTTTTGACTTAATTGTTTCCTCTTTGCCAATATCAAGTGTTGCACAAAAAGGCTTAATAACATCTGGAATATTATCTGAATCAACCAAATAGTTAGCAATAAGTCTTACAATTGAACCACTGAATTCACCTTTATACTGTATCAACCTTTCTGCTATTAAGTTTGAAGCGCTATTGGATGGTGTAGCTACAAGAATTCTGCTATCTGGTAGAAATGTCAATATTTGTAGTATGGTTTCTATAACTGTAATTGTTTTGCCTGTTCCAGGGGGGCCGAAAATACAATACGGCATTGGGCGACAATCTGCTACTAATATGTTGGTAACAGCAGCTTTTTGCTCTTCATTCAAGCTTTTGTTAAACCACTCTATTGTTTTGATTCTTTCTTTAACTATTTGCGGTTCTTGAACTATATGAATTCGTGATGGAAATAATATATCTGGTCCTAAATTAGATATAGCATAGTTAATAGCTTGATGTGATCGCCTAAATACTGACCTGTTAAAATGAAATTCCACTGAGACATCACTACCATTGTATCTTTCGTGAAATTGCACATTGAATTTCATCTGAACTAAGTTGCCTTTAATGGCATGAATATATCCTTCATATTCAGGTGTATCAATACCCCAAATATCCTTTATAATAGCTCTGTCACCTTTAATTAGTGAGGGTCTTCTCTCAGACAATCCATTTATTTCAACACAAAGATATTCATTACACCTTATAAGAAAAACTTTGGCCATATCATACACTCTGATATTTATATTTGTTTGTATTTCCTCCATATAAAGTAATGTATGCCATTTATCAGTGTAATTAGAGATATTCAACTCTTGTGATAAATAAGGAAATTTATTTTGTATTTGATCAATTATTTTATCATAATCATTACTATATATAGTCTGATCTGAATCACCTAAAACAACATTCCATATCTTTTCTGGTATAGTAAAGACCCCAAGTTTAACTGATACAAAAGGTGGTGGCTTGAATGGTTTCTCTCCAGGAATAAAGCCCTTTTCATTTTTTCTAATTCTCTTCATATTGTCAATTCTATCAATTTGTGTATTATAAATTAATTCGTTATATCCTTTTGGCTCCTTAAGGAATAATTGCTCCTCAATCACATTAATTTCAATGTATCTTTTTATTTGAAATCCTCTGAATAGAATGACTAAACATTCTGTTGACTTGCCTAAAAATTTGGGCCTACATTCTATTGTGAAACAAAATGATTGTCCAGGATAAAACTTTGTTGAGTTTGTTATCAGTGGTTCTATTTTAATTTGAGAATCTCTTTTTTTACCAAGGATAATCCATTTGTTAATAACATACATTTCATTACTGTTATTGGTCATATTAAGTGATATTTTTGGTGTTTGATGAAAATATAAATTCTCAAATTTCAGGGGATATGTTACATCAATATTTCTTTCTTTTTCGTACATCAAAGTGTTATCATCATTACTCTCAGGTATTTTTTGCTTTGTGGGATTCAAATGATTTTCATTTTCTTTTATTTTTATAGCTCTCCACGTACATAGGTTTTGATTACTTTCTATAGCTTCCACAAAAACCTAAAAAAATTAAATTAATACATATAATAAATACTATATTAATAATACTAATAACATATAATAATTTCAATGACAGTACTACAATAATTTGGCTATAAAGATACCCACTTTTGAACCTATTTCAGGTTCAAATCCATTTGACAAAGAAGTTTTATCAAAATATATCAATCTATCACATGTACCATAAGTTCCTGTCCAATTATCAACAACTGCATTAATGATCTTGCTCCTCAATGGCTTAAAGGATAATACTGTCAAAACCTAAAATATGGTATTACACTGTGAAAAATTGTTTTAAAAAGATAGTTTTGAATAATTCAGACATAGGGATAAAATAGTCATCAGAGCACACATATGTTTACTATACACAGTTTAGGTAATTTTATGGTTGTAAAAATTAAATCCAAAGTACTTGTTATTGAAATGATGAAAGAAATACAAAACTTTACAAGTATAGGTGTTTGTTTTTTTTTTACTGATACAGTAATTGGGGCTATCACTACATACCTGTTTTATTGAAATGTCCGATGGATTTTTTTCATCTAATTGCATTTTACATTTTAGTTCCAACCAATCTCCTGTGACTGGTATAAATGTGCCTTCAACATCATCTAAATTGAATTTTAGGTCACTTTCTTTAATATAAATATTCCTTTCAACTCTGAAGTCTACTTCTCCCAGCATGATGTGCTCAATAACTTGAAACTTATTTTCTTCCACATCATTTTCTGTGCCCCAAAATAAACCTTTGTTTTCCAATATTCTAACAACAATAATGGAGTCATTTGAGTCCTTGTAACCTAAATATAGTACTTGATCATTGACATCACAGTGATGTGGACAGGCTGATATATCAAAATAAAGAATTCCATCTATCAAAACATAATTATCATCTTTAAATGTTATAACACCTGAAAAACATAAAATAATGAGCTTCTTTGTTTATATAAATAAATCCATTTATATAGAATTGTCTACATTCATTTTTAACTACTCCCACAATAGGGTAAAGAAAAATTGAGACTTCAAGGGAGGGAATATTTGTAGATCTCACAATTTTTTAACTGTACTTAGAAAAATACAATTGGTGAGGAAACCACTTAAATTATATAAATTTAAGTGGTTCTTTAGTGGTTTTAGTCAAAATTTATGTAATTTTATTATTTATAGCAAAGCTCAACACATTTAATATTTAAATAGATTATAGAGAAAGAATATAATCTTTAAGTTTACCAGTTCTTTGAAAGCAAATAGCATCATTTGGTATTGGTGATGCATCAATTGATTCACTGGTCTTCTCTTCGTGTCTGATAATATATTCTAAATCAACAAGTTGTTCAGCAAGATAATTTTCTTTACAATCATCGTCTGAATCTTCATTGCTCTCTTTATTAAATAAGTAATTAAACCATGAAGATATATATGATAACATTTTTAATGATACTGGCTAAACTATTGTACAAATCCTTTATCATATTCAAATTTCCACTCTGTTGATTTCAAATAGTCAAGCTCTTTTCTTATTGCTTGGATTCTTTTCTGGTGCATTTCTTTTTGAGCACTTTTAAGGGATTGCTCTATACTATGCCCCAAATCAACATGGTTTAAAGATTGATCAAAATTTGGTATTCTATTTTGAGTAGTACCCTGCAATTTCAACATGCATTTCATACATTTCAACATGCTTTTAAAGTAAAATATTTTGTCAAAAATGTTATATTTTGTGATTTTAATTTGAAACTTAATTAGAAGAAAAGTAAGACATAATTACTTCAGGTGTTTCTGGTTCTGATGGAGAATAAACAGATTGTGAAATATTACTTGATGTAGACATCACTTAAATATTTAAATCAATTATTTGTAAACTTTTATTTAAATTATAAAACTCGCACATTCTTAGATTCTTAAGTATTATCCATATAAAATCAAACTAGAAAATTGGTTAAATTACAAGCAAAAATTCAAATCAAAGGAGTCAATTTTTCAATTTTATACTTCATACTAGGGATGTGAAAAAATATGATTTTTTTCAATAATAAAAATCGATTGTCAATAAATCGATTCTATCAATATAATTATATCATTATAATTCAGATTTATGATTTTGAACAGATTAATTTCTTCTAATAAACTATTCATCATCATCATCCGTGAGCCCAATATCCCATCCCATCATCATGAGCCGTGATAGCTCAGTGTCCGGGCGCTCGCCTTTAATTCAATATACTCGAGCAACCTCGATCCCCGGTGCCGGCACCAATGAAGTTTTTGACTTTAAGTGCTGACTTATCACGTGCTCCGCGGTGAAGGAAAACATCGTGAGGAAACCAGCATATTTTCGAAATAATAAAAAAAAATATTTTTCGAAGATATGTGAAGTCCGCCAATCCGCAGTGGTGGACTATGCCCTGATACCCTCTGTATAGAGGAGGCCTTTGCCCAGCAGTGGGACATGTATAGGCTTACTTTTACATCATCATCATCCGCAAGACGTCTACTGTTGAATATAGGCCTCCCCATTAGAACGCCACAAAGAACGACACTTTGCCATTTGCATCCACCGGTTGGTCCATCGCTCGAAGAACTGATGACCGATGGGGAGTAAAGGTTCTCGAGTGGCCACCACGAACCAGAAGACGTTACGTTGGAAGGCCTCCCTAGGTGGATCGACGACATCCTATGAGTCGCGGGCAACCGGCCGATGCAAATAAAATGTTAAATGACATTGAATATTTATGGCAAAAATAATTTTAGTTTTTTATTGTTTAAAGTTTAAAATTTTATAAACAGTTGTTTTGTATTTTAGTGATGAAACCTGAAGGTTGTTGTTTAGGTTGTTTTTATAACAATTTTAATTCACTTTAATACTGATAAACTCTTAAGATTCTCTTAAGATTAGTATAGTGTTAACAATTTATCAACAATTCATCAATTATAGAACTAAGGTTCTGTTACTATAGGTATTTTTCGAATCATCCTTATTACCATTTTTACAGCCTCTATGAAACCACTGCTGAACATAGGTCTCCCCCACAGACTGCCACGAAGCACGATCCTGAACCACCGGCATCCATTGACTTCCCAATCACTTGCACAGGTCGTCATTTCATCTAGTGATCCCATCCTGTAGGATGACTTCCCAGCCATCGAAAACTTGCTCTATTATATGGCCGGACCATCGCCACTTCAGATTACTAACCTACTGAGATGTATCGGTGATCTTTGTTCTAATGAGGGTTCTGTGTTGTGAAAAGAGAGTTGTGAACTCTATCATGCCTCTACATGATAGAGTTTATCATATTTATCTAAATACTGAACATAGGCCGCTCCCCATTTCATTTTATTATAGTTTTCGAATAATAGGAAAGAAGAAGAATATGTAATACAGAATTAATCGATTTTTTCCCTCAATGTCACATCCGTACTTCTTTTTTTTTTTTTTTTTTGGATTTTATGGCCCGGTATCAAGGACCTGCCAAACCGTCCGTACTTCTTAGTTTACACAGATATGGTAGGGATGCCAAAAAAATATCGATGTATCGATATTTTTTACTAATTATATCGATATTTTTAGAAGATATATTTTTATCCGATATATCGATATACAATATTCAATCTCGAAATCGTATCAAAAACGATATTTAATTCAAATTCGAATCGGGACAGAGTCCGTTCATCAACCACACGATTTGGACTCATTGAACGCCGCAGCGTTAAATAAAATCATGCAAACTGACAATTATCACGCTAAACAGTTGAAGAATTTAACTAGTTGATCAACTTCTCATGATACTGAATTTAGCCGACATCTAATAATATTTGAAACTTTTTCCAACGATAAATTATAAAAGAAAATATATAAAAAAATTACTTACAGTGTTTAAATTTCTACCTATGCAATCTTTTTCTTTTTTTGTAACTTTTTTGATTTGTTGAAAAAAAATCCGAAAATTGTTAATTGTTTGTTAACTGCAGGGTCATACACGTCTCACCCTGAAGGCTTAATAGTATTAGTAATTAGTATTTTCATGGTATTGGCTTAAAGGTCTTGTCACAAGGCCATATAATCTTTATTAAAAAAGTATTATCGTATACGCACTACGCATCCAGACACCCAACCAGTTAAAAAAAATATTGAAGTTGATACAAATTCGATAGTCGAAAATAAATATCGAATATCGATATATCTAAAATAAAAATATCGACGTTATGTATCGATATTTATTTGGAAAAATATCGATATTTTTTGCACATGCCTAGTGTCAAGTATTAAATATTTGACAGTTTGCCTCAGTGTTGTATTCGAATTTGAAAGAATATCGTTTTTGATACGATTTTTCTGGAAATAAACGAACAAAAATTATGTGATGTTCCTTTAGTGCAAAGAGCGTGTCCATTTTCTAGGCACTCATCTAAAGAATCGAGTTATTGAGTTCACATTTTATCATCTATAAACTTGGGTACATTACTTGACGACGAAAGCTTAAGCATTGTTTTAATGTTGTAAATGTTGATATTGAATATTTTTTATAGATATATAGGGTCTAAATATATCGGCTGAAAATATCGATGTATGAAATAAAAAATATCGATATTTTTCGAGTCTCGACATCATTATTTCGTTGTCCATGGCCACGAAGATGAAAATAATTACTTATTTACCTATCTATCTGAAATATTCATATTTATAAATTTCAAATTTGTATTGTTAATTGATCAAGATCATAAATTCATAATTAATATTACTCCTGTTGCTCATACTAATGTTAATTTGTTAGATTAATATGCATTTAAAATGCAAATTACGAGTATAAAGTAGCTACCATACATGGGAGTTAAGAATATGCTTAAAATTTATTTAGCAAGTGAACATCTTATGATGTTGTGTAATTAATTATTCAGAAATACAAAATATGCCTAAAAAAAAGGTTGTTATTAAGACTCAAGTCCGGGATATTCACAATACCGATCCCTTAATGTCTCCATGTTTTAAAATTAATTCTGGTGTAGAACTCAAAGATGTCCCAACCACCGGTGAAGAATATCTTTTAAAAGTAATTAAAGAACGTGAAAATTATTCTGAAGTGACAAAATGTAATAAAGACTTTTCTAGTTTTGCTAAAAATCAATCATGTTTTGTTAAAGAGGTAATATTTAGTTTATTTTTATTTTTAAATATATGAAGTCTTCTAAATCTCCCAAATTACGAACGTTTTGAATACCTAATTGTTTTTGTTTAATATTTTATACACACATATTTTCTTAAAATTATAGGTACCCCGTGCCCATGTTTCTGATATTCTCAAACCAACAATAGAATGGCAAAACATTCAAGTCGCAGATTTTTCAGATGTTCGATTGTACATGTCTGCCTTATTAGCCAAAAAAATGAAGTCAATAAAAATAATGGAAATTGAACAAGATAATTTGATTGGTTGGAAGAGATTCTTTGAAGTAAACAACCCAACATTAACATGTATGTTTGGATTACGCCACACCCTATATGACCGCGCTTTGGAAATTCTGACAGATATTATAAATGAAGTGAAACCAGGACAAACTATAGACCGTAAAACAGGTATTTACTAAGATCAGCTTATATTGTAAGTAGAATAATAATAAATATAATAGTTTAATTTCTTACAGCATGCATCACTAGGTGTATTTTAAACAAAGCATTAATTTAAATCTATGAGTTCAATAATACCAAAAGTTAAAGGGGTACTTTTCATAAGCCAAGCGCAAATATCATTTATTTTTTTTTCATTAAGGAGCCCCTTAACCTAGTTTTTAAATCTAAATCTGTTTGTTGTTTTATGGAAAAAGTGTAATAAACAAAATAAAAATGTCTTTATATATATACTTGTGGAGCAATCAGACATTGTTCTGTACAGACAACTTAAATCCAACAAATTAAAAAAATATATAATGGTGGTGGTAACACAAAAAATTTCATTAAAATCAGTATAGCCGTTTAGGAGAGAGTTCAGTGACATACAAACATACAGAAGAATAATATATACTTACTAGCTGACCGGGCTAACATTGTTTTGCCCTATAAATTAATTGTAGGGTAAAAAAAAAGTTTAGGGGTTCTCCATAAATGTTAAAGGGACTTCCCTTAACAGTTATGGGGATGAAAATAGATTTTGTCCGACTCGCCTCCCTGGCCGATATGCACACAAAATTTCACGAAAATCTGTCGAGCTGTTTCAGAGGAGTTCAATAAAAACACAGTCACACGAGAATTTTATATATTAGATAAAGATGTGTGGAATTTTTTTTTCATAAAACAATAAATAAATTAAAATCTCTAAAAGATGTAGCTTTGTATTTTAATTTATTTTTTGTCAACCTGCGTCAGACAAGGCTTGATATATAAACTTGATATATAAAAACTTAAATGACATTGGTGGAAGAGTACAGTTAAAATGTAGGTCAAATAAACATTTGTATGCCAGAAAGATTACATGATAGGAATCAAATTCTTTTTATGATCACTGAATCGAAAATCTTTATATGATGACTTGAATTCAAGAAATTCATCTTCTATAACATATATACCTACGCAAACTATTTTATCTCCCATTAAGCACTTTTGTGCAGTATTTATATATTGGTTATATCAAAAGATCAAGTTATTTTTTTGCTTTTATATTTACAGGACAATGGATTTATGCTTTCCTTGCTTGCACACGACAACCACTGTTGTCTGACACAACAAGTATTTTAAGAAACTTGGCTAGAAAATGTGCGGAAATCAGGTAATATCTATGTATGTTTTAATTTTAAAATAAATAAATAATTTATCTCTGTTTATGGCAGGCCTTGGAGATGTCATCAGGACTTGTTATTAATTAAGATAAATTGAGTTCTACATTTATCATATCATAAAATTAGGTAAGGTTCAAAATGAGCCACAGATCCCACACAGTGCACCCCGACTCCATGTGGTCTTATGGTCCCTACCCCTAGAGGGAACATAAAAAGCCAGAACCTCGCGTCGGAACTGATGGCGCAAAAAGCCTAGTGGAGCGAAGGGGCGAGGTGGCGAGCGAAGCGAACGGCTAGCGTCGAGTGGGTGAGGATACTCAGGGGCATAGCGAGTGTTCTGGCGAAGCACGTGGGAGAGTCAAACTTAATAATGAAGTCATATTTTTTTATATTTCTTATATTTTTGATTTTCATTTATTAAAATTACAAAGCTTTTAAAATCTACATCTTTAATTTTTTTTTGTTGTTTTATGTAAAAAAATATACGAAATATTCAAAATTTATTACTTCATTGTAAAGTTTGACTCTCCCACGTGCTTCGCCAGAACACTCGCTATGTCGCCCCTGAGTGTCGCTTCACCCACTCGGCCTTCGCTCCGCTACGGATCTCGCCGGCGCGAGGTTCTGGCTCCGCCTTTTTATGTTCCCTCTAGGGGTAGGGACCACAAGACCACATGGAGTCGGGGTGCTCTGTGTCGGATCTGTGACTCATTTTAAATGTAACTTAGTTCATTATTATCATAGATTTATAAAAATCACATATAAAACCATCAGCTTGAGTTACGTAAGGACGAATTTAATTTAAATCACTTTATAATACACCATGGTAACATTAAGAGCTTTTAACAAAAACATTTTATAAAATTTGTAATCGAGTTTTGAAATCGATATTAGCATATTGGCTGTATCATTATTTTTGATGCCTAATTGTATGTCAAATTTATAACCGAAAGTATTTCCCGCTCATTTTATATTAATCAAATAATATGTTATATATATTTTTATTCCAATCAGAATCAAATCGTTCAGTGCTTTTAAATTTTTTGTGTTATCATGAATTCTTGTAAAGAAATTTGAATGTTTTAAGTGTGGACAAGACAGTGTTTTACGGAAGGTTTTTAAATATGAAAATGTTGACAATAGTAAAATGGCGGATTTTCTTAGTGAAAATAACAAGATTTAATTACGTTTTTTTTCTTAAAATATAGGTGACTATCATTTTTTTATTGATTACTTAGTGATATGTCTCTATACTTATCTGTCGTTTAAATTTTTCTTTTGTTTGCTATATAAAAGTAGTGGGCTGCTGAAATTTTACCACATACTACCTAATTTTTAAAAATTCTTTCTATAGAGAGCTACATTTTTCCGGAGTGTCATGAGCTATATTTTAATTAAAGATAATTATGAATGATATGAATGATAGTAAAGCAAAAAATTTAAAAGTGAAATGACATTTGTGGTGACAGCTAATTGTAGATGAATTATTTCATAGTTATTCTTTTTTTTTAAAGTGATAACCACCTATCATGGGCATTTGCCACACCCGTAGGGTTACAAATGCATTTCCACCTTTCAATATTCCATAAAGTGTACCCCAGTTACTCACTCACCAGACGAAATACAGAAGTATAATACGCCCAAATCATGCTAGTCTTCTCTGAAGTTCAACTACTTCGCTGGATGGACCTGCCCATTTGTGCAACAGCAAAGACTGCTGTGTGGCCGTATCACTTATAAAATGTTGGTAATGATTATTACTATGATGAACAGGTTGTAAAAATGTATTAATTGACATATTTACAGGTCGCACTTAAATCCTGAAGAGGAAAAATCAAGGGAAGCTGCAGCACCATTAAATGTCTTTATATGTTTGGTATCGAGATATTTTAGGCAATATGACTTAGCAGATTAATAAATTAAGATGACAATAATGAATTTTGTTGTTACAAGTAATTGATTCATTTGGTCATGCGATTGTGTACAGTTCTTATTTGTCAATTAACCCAAAAATTTAACTATGGTAGTTTAGAATTTCATTAGTTATCAATTTAGAAATTTATTTTTATTTGATAAAATTATATTTCTAAATTGACTAATTGTATGTTTTAATTATTATAAGTAGTTATTTTAGTGTACATGTATAGATAGAACCTTAAAATATTTGTATTAATCCCAATTTTTTTAAAGATTACACTTAATAGGTTCTTAATTTCATTTCTTCTTAATAGCTTAAAAAAATTGTTAAATGTAAACAGTGTAAATTGTTGACTTTTGTCGGATTAAATAGTAAATTGTGAAAAAGTATCTTTACCTTTTGATCGGGTTGGAACATATTTTACCACTATAATAATTTTTTTAACAATAATAAATTTTATTTTATACATTCCAGAAGTGATACAATGCTTACAATTAAATAAATTACACATTTTCTAGCAAACGTAGACCACCTATGCATTTATAACATTCAATTGCATTTTTACTATTACAATGAAGTCTGACTAGGTGTTAGTGCGTTAGGCGTAGGTGTGGAAATTGCGCGTTGTGTGTAAAAAAGTCAATTTATTTTCTCTGCAAATACACAAAATACGCAACACTGGGTGTAGCAGTTTTTTAATAAGTCGTTCGTATTACGAACAGTGGGAGTCGAGGATTCGATCCCACCATACATAGGGAGGTTTATTCGTGTGACCAACAGATTATAGTTTTCCGAATCTGGGTCTTTTTCCTAGGGAAAGTTGACATCAGGCAGGCGGCTGGTCGACAAAAACCTATAGTACCAGTACTGATATGATTCGAATGCGCTCCGCTCTCACCTAGGTAAGGCAAGGGCAGGAGTCACACATTCTAAATTAAAAGAATAAAGTTATTATCATTTTACAATAGGGATACGCTGAATGCTCGTATTCGGTATTTTCGCCGAATATTTAAAATTAATTGTGTACTGCAAAGGACATAGCAATAGATGGCGATAGGCCTTGCCTAAATGCTAAAAACAAAGTAGAAAAAATACTTCGAGATTTTCGTCGGCGTGGCAATTAGTCGTTTAGCTTTGTGGTTAAAACTGGATTCGATTCTGGAAGATGCGGGTTCTGGAAGATTCCAGCGGTGGCAAAAAACTTTGTCCATTTTTCTACTCATCTTAAGTAGACAAATCACAAGTATAAAAACATTATATACAATTTAAATTGCAATAGCAAAGGCGACATCCCTTTAGAATTTAATTTTAATGATCAGAGGAAATTATATAAATATTAAAAATATTGTCTGTGACCACCAATTTTCAAAAATAAGTTTTTAATGCATTTCGTAACTACATTGTACCTCAAAAATCATTTAGCTTGAAACATGGCTCAATTCCTAATTATTTTTAATATAAAAATAGGTTTAGCCTTAGTTTCGTCCCTTTGAATTGAATATCAATAGTGCTTACACTTCGCCTCACTTTTATTTGGAACTATTAGAAACAAAGAGCCGTTATATCTTTACAATAAGTTGATTTGGGCTAAAGATCAAAATGAGATGTATAATACGAGATCATCTAATTATAAATTAGTTTATCCTTTCTACCGTTCGGCCGCTTTTAGAGGCAGTTTCAAATACAATGCCACTAAGTGCTGGAACAACCTCCCGCCTCCCTTGCGCGACCTGAAAACAATAACTGGTTTTAAAAACAAGTACAAATTGTATCTACTTGTAGAACAAAAAAATGCTGCCGTTTAATTCTAATTCTTATCAGCTTAATTATACGCTATAATATAATATAATAAAATACAATGTAATATGATTTGATACAATATAATTTAATATAATATATATATACATAATATTTTTTTTTATAAACATATATCATAATTTATATATTTATAAGACACTCATTTTGTTACCTTTATCATGTGGCCAGCGCGCAACGAGGTCTGTCTCGCATTTTACGTTTCAAATTAAGTCACGTGTCCACAGCTCGATCGGTAAATGTCACAGTGCCACAGAGTAGGGATAAATATTGGTAACCTAAAACAAAAATGGAAAAAAAGCAGCTGACACCAATATCAAATAAGAAAACATTAGTTCTAATTTTTAATTACCTCTTCAGACGAATGATATCCACTGTCTATATAATTTAAAGGTTCAAACAAAAATAATTTAATTATCGCTATACTGCGTTGTAGGTATGTATTACAAGTGCACTGACGCAGCCGTCCGAGTTGTCTCGAAGTGCGGGCGGACTGAAAACCGGCGTCGGGATCAGAACGAATCTTAGTTACTGTATCTCGACTTTTACCGAGTCCCGTCCGTTTCACGGTCTTATGCTGCTACACAGACCTTTCACTTATTAGTATTATTTTTTTTTTTTTAGTTTTTTGTTATGTTTACATTTATTTTAAGTTATTCTAATATTATTTTACATAATGTGTAGTTACATTATTATTTTTAAGTGTTCTTTGTATCTATTGTGCTTAGACCGTGAATAAACGTTTCTTCTTCTTCTTCTTCTTCCTATGTCCAAATTAAGCAATGACGGGGTTTGAAACAAAAAACTGAGAAGTGAGATTTTTTCATGGTTGTAATCCAGGTCCCAAAATCTATTGAAATGTTTTTTAATCATTAAATATTTTTATTTTAGCTAGAAACGCGGATTTAAAATTCTCAAAAATTGAAGCTGCTAGATTCAATGCGATACTATTGCTTAGTGTTTTCTTCGAAACATCGACCAGGATGCCATTACAATTAAAACAAATTACCTCGCCTTAGTAAACGATGGTGTCAGGCTCCTGGACTCGTCAATAATATCGATAGCATTACAATGCAAAAAAAACGCAGTGATAGCAGCAACCTGAAAAATTCGATAGTAGTTCTGCAGAGCGACAATAAAACTTTTATAGCTTACATCAAGAACAAAGGAGGTACAAGGTCACAACTCCTTATGCAATTGAAAAAACAGTTTTTGGGGCATTGGTAGACAGCCTCAGTATTGTTCTTATCCCTTATCATCTCCTGGGAACGCACAACACTGAAGCCAATTGATCAATGGTCACGCAATCGCGTCGGCTCCGAGTAGCACCTAAAGGCGGAAGCGGTGGGTCACATTTTCAATAACGGGGGAATTCCAGAAATAGACCTTTTCGCTTCTCAGAACGCCCATGTACAAAGCTATGCTTCGCGCGACTTATCAGTTTCGAACGCTTGCTTTCACGACGCAATCAGCAGAGCTTGGGATCTAGCCTGGGTGTTCCCGCCACAGTGCCTTCTGCCCCAAGTTCTTCTGCATCTCAACTCAGCAACAGGGCATTTCGTGATTGTAGCACCCAAGTGGCAGTTCTGGAGGCCAGATCTGACTCAGGCCCAGAATAATTCAAAATTTGGAGTTGAATTTGGTACATACAGTGACGCACTGACCGCGAGCATAAGTCAACGTACAGTTGGAAGCCTGGCTCATTTTGGGTGCTTTTCACTAACTAAAGATTGGTCGCCCGAGGAACAAGCTCTACTATCTCGTTTCTGGCGAACGTCTATCCAAAAACATATGCACAAATTTGAAGAAAATGGACGATACGGTGTGATAAAAATGATTTAAGCACGCGTAACCATTCGCCTCCGGATGTTGCGCGCTATACTTAGCTAAACTATTATTATTCATCTGATAGATAAGCTTATCGTTCTGTTTTAATTCTGTTATATCTTCAATTTGCGAAATTGTTTCTAATATTAAAATATCAAGTCCCATTGTGAAGCATATATTAAAAGCAATATCTTTATCTAAAGCATTGCCCCCCAAACCAATATAGGACGTTAGGTTGCTTATTAATTATTTAAAAAATAATGCACCTGATACAAAGTCTATATGATGTATCTAGGCTTGTTGCGACTATTCTTCTACTAGCTTCAGTCCATGATCTAACGCTATTGCATTGTGACTAGAGTCATTTTATATGTGACAGATTCCATTACATCCATTATTTGGCTCTAAGACTGATGCTGCGTTCTATCGACAATCAATCTGGAAGCTGTTGTCTTGTCCCTATTATAACATAGATTTAGTTTCTTGGTTACGCATATTGAGAAACATGTAATATTAGAGTTTTAGTGATTAATCTTTTTATTACAGGGCAGGGCATTTTTACCAGGGCACCTGCAAGGCCAGCCACCCCAGCTATGATTAGGGGTTAGATTAGTGTTTGATCAGCTGTATCCTTCTTAAACTTATTAGAGCACTATCCGATTAATGAAATTCTTACTATGGCTAGCTGGCTACATTAAATTACTTTTACACATTTTGCATCATATTTATATTGCACCTTACAAGCGACCAGGAGATAACAAATCTCATAAAGGACTTCGGACGTCTAACGGAACACATAATTTAAAAATTTTCCTTAATATCTATCTGCTGGTACATTTACATTGTGAGCCCAACAATAACGAAATTGCGGTGCATTTCGCACGGTGTAATGGTTGTTGGGTTTAACCACCAGACGGCGCGGGCGCGACGGAAATAAGGAAAGCAGGCGGGACTAGCAACTTTCGGCGGAAATGAAGGACCAACTCTCGTAATGAACTTCGGACGTCAAAGGGAAGACAATATTTTTTTTATTTAAAGGTAAAATTTGTATATTATTGTTTGTACCTAAGAAACCCGATCATGTCTAAAAAATTTAAAACAAAGTTTTTGATCATACAAATTTATTAAGCTTTACATAGTCATTGTTACATGGATAAATGAATGTCGGAGAATTTCTAAACTCTTCAAGGATACTCTTCACTGTCCACATCAAACTTTACACCAACCTGTCGCCGAATTTCGTCCTCCAGTTTCGCCAATGTAAGACTTTCTTTGTGCGGCATCCGTGGCGATGCTTTCAGTCCTTATACAGAAACCAAATGACATTAATTTAATGACAGTGATAAGGATACATTTAACAGGTAATATTTAAAATCTGTAGTACTTATAGAAGCGGCAGAAACAGGTACATATTATGAGCTGATTTTACATTGGTAAATCGGAGTGGCAATATGGCCCTTTTATCCGCCATATCTTTACACTATTCAGAGTAAAACATTAAATTGGGTGATAGACTCGTAAGATAACTTTTTCTTTTACCTATAGCTTACGTCATAGGTTATTTTTTGTTATCTATCCTTCCATACGGCCATCACCACCATGCAGCCGACAGATTAACATATTTCCGTTATTATACATGGGATATTTTGGATTTTTTTTTTATTTGAAAAGTTGCCAAACGAGCAGACGGTTCACCTGATGGTAAGTGAATACCGCCGCCCATGGACATCTGCTACACCCGAGGGTTACAGATGCGTTGACAACCTTTTGAAGATTGGGCTCCGGCTACGTCACTCACCAGACGAAACGCGAAAGTATTTGTTATACTTCCACTTTACGCCGGTCTTCTGTGAGGTCGTGGTACTTACCCGGACGGGCCTGCCCATTCGTGCAACAGCCGAGGCTGCTGCGTGGCCCTACCACCGTAAAGGAAGGAATACCTATATTATACTGTTAACTGACGCGCTAGAATATTTTTGTGAGTTTTGAACATTTTTGAAAATATATAGGCACTCCTCCTACCGATGACATATTTTTTTTTTTCTTCCTATCGACTAATCTTCACAATTTATAAATCTCAACACCGCTCGCGATCATCATTTAGCATCATGAACTCCCGCTCAATTTTAGTCATTATTTTTTTAATTAATTTATAAGTACCTTGTTTTATGCATCTTGCTACTTCAAGCGCTTGAAAAACCAAACCCGCACTGTTCTCGAAATTGTACGGGATTGGCGAGGTGTGAAGGGGAATCTTCTCAGTCGATCCATCTGCATGAATCATGCTTGTCGGGAAGTGGAAAGGATCTTCGATCTAGAAAAGTAAATACAAAAGTAATTACAAACCAATAAGTATTGTGGGACACTCTCGAACCGAGTATCCCACAATTGGAATGAATTAAACAACAAGTAAAATAAAAGATTATATGTATTTAGACAGTGTTTCAGATTAACTAGATGAAAAAAAAAAATAATAAAATTGTGACGGACTAAAACTAAAAAAAAAAAGCTTGTCCCTAGTTATTTCGAAAGTACCGTATGTGTGTAGTACCATGTTGTTTAAACATTTTAAATGAACCGTTTACCTACCTAACTAACATGGGCAAACTTTTTTAAGTTTATAATAAGGCATTACGTTGATTTTCAAATCTTGGATGCAGGATTTTTTATGCATACAAGTTACCAAACTTTATGGGTCTTCGCCGCTCTGATGTCAGGTACTTGCAGTACATACATGTGGCACCAGAAGCGTTTCGTGTCTTGTATCTTGTATTAACTGATGTTTTTGCTTTCAGTCCCGAGACTATTAAAGCTTCATCTGACGCAGAACCGGTGGGCTAGCCAGAACCCACGGGTTTGGGCCCTCCGCTGTGGGTAGGGCCGCGCATGTGCTCATGCGTGCGTTTAACTACGACATGTCATCTAAGGGCCATCGAAGTTGCGGTGCGGACTGAGACCCCGATGGCCGTCGACTGTGTTTTTAGCTAATCGGTGGCTGGGGGGCGGTGAGAACCGCCCTGGAACGCGGGTGTACCTTGTGTACGCGTTGTGTTGGTCTCGCCGTGCTCGGAGGCGAGGGCGAACTATTGTGTTTGTTGCTACACTAGCTGTGGGTGTAGTGTTATCCGGCGGGACCCCCGGCGGTGGGTCCGGCGTATCTAAGTCCCCTTCCTCGACCGGGTCGATGAGGACGTTTCGCGGGCGACGCTTGTTGACGTTCGCGTTTGTGTCGGGTTGGTAATTTGCTGCGCTTACCACCAGAGGGTTGGGATGATGTTCGGCTCTATCGAAGAACCCTTTGGTCAGGTCTTTAAAATATTCGCGAATCGTCGGGAGTCTGCAATCGCTGTGCAGATCGACGTTGCGTTGATACCACTGCGCACCGGTTGCACGGCGGATGAACTTATTTTGTACTATTTGCAGCTTGTGCAAGCGAGTAGGGTGCGTGTGGGCGATCATGCATGCGTAGGACATAATAGGTCGTACGCAGGTCTTATATAATAGTAATTTGTGCCTTAAGGGCATTTTACTTTTAGCGTTAGTTAAATTGTGTAGCCGGCCGGAGACGAACGCGGCTCTATTACGAACGTTATTAATGTGCGTAGTAAATGACATACGCGAGTCGAAAGTGACTCTTAAGTATTTGACCTTTTTCTCCCAGGGAAGCGGTTGGCCATAAAGGGATATTTGCCCCAACTTTCTGCATTGGCGAGGACCATTATAAAGATGTGACGGGTAAGTACTTCGTGTGAAGTGAATCGCCACACCCTTTTCGGGATTTATTTCTATTCTCCATTTGCGGAACCAATCGCCGAGGCGGTCGGCGGCGCTTTGGAGTCGAGTAGTTAGTATTCTAAGGTTGCGGTCTGAATAAAAGAGCGCGGTGTCATCCGCGAAAAGCGCGAGATTGACGTGGGGTCTTTGGGTATGTCGCTCGTGTAGAGCGTAAAGAGCAAAGGTGAGAGGCAGGAGCCTTGTGGTATGCCGGCCGTGAGGCGGCGAAAAGAGCGATTCAACAAAAAGGCCCGGATGGTGTGTACCAGCCTATCTGGCACTTTGAGTGTGTATAGCTTGAAAAGCAAGCCGTTGTGCCAGACCTTGTCGAATGCTTTTGCGACATCGAAGAAAAGAGCCCCTGTACTGATATGTTTCGGGTGGTTTAGGCCTTTTAGGATGTGCTCCGTTAGGCGTTATAACTGGTCGGGACAAGAGTGTCTAGCTCGAAAGCCGAATTGTTCCGTCGGCAGAAGGCCGTTGGAAAATACGTGCTCTTTGAGCCTGTTTAATAAGAGCCGCTCGTAGAGCTTCCCCAGGCAACTGAGGAGGCTGATGGGACGAGCTGGTTGGCTGGTTTATTCGGCTTGCGAATGCCGATAACCGTGGCTTGTTTCCAGTCGTCCGGGAAGGAGCAACTGGAGAGTAGAGTGTTGAAAATGGTCGCCAGTAAACAGATAAACGGCCCAGGGAGAGCTTTGAAAATTTTGTTACTGATATTACCTGGGCCCGGGGCGGATTTCGTTTTTAAATTTTTAATAATATCTTGGACCTCTTCGGGGGTCACTGAACTTAAAGGATCGCCTTCCGGTGGAAGCGCAGCCCTAGTCTCGATTACGCGGTCCACCTCCGTTAGGTGGACTGTATCGGTGTGTTCGCGCGATGGCGTACATTGTTGCTCTAGGTTGTCCGCAAGGCATTCGGCTTTTTCGGTGTCATCTAGGGCTACTGAAGCGCTATTAGGTCTAATTAACGGCGGTAGAGATTCGCGGGGGTCTGCTTTCAGACTGCGGGCCAACCGCCAGTAGGCGGTGTGCGATGGCTCGATGTCCTCTAGGAGAGTGTCCCACGTTGTATGTCGGTGTTCCGATATACGATCTGTGACTTCTAGCTGAAGGCGTCGAAGTAGGGTTCGGTTCGATTCCGATCGGTATCGGTCGAAGGCGCGTTTGGCTGCATTTTTCTGTCTAATTAGCAGTCTTTATCTCAGGCGGAAAGTTAAACCGTCGGTCGCCTGACAGTTTCACCGTCCGTTCCGAGTCTGCGACTGTGGAAGTGATAGTTTCTCGGAGACTTGCTATCGCTCGATGTGCGTCATCGAACGTAGCAATAGTCTCGGGTAGGTCGACTAAGTCCTGGGGGTCCAAGGCCTTGAGTTTGACCTCAAGACGATGCCAGTCCACTACGGATTTGGTCAGAGGGACCGCGCCGGCGTTCTGGCCCAGTTTACACAGGACGGGCCTGTGATCTGAATCTAGGTCATGGATTGTCTCTATCGAGTCGATGTCGAGCGAGACCTCCTTGAATAACATGATATCTAGGATACTCGGTGTCGCATGTTGGTAGTTGTCCACCGTAGGATACTTAGTGGGAGTCGTAGGAGCGATTATGATAAAGTTTAAATTATCGGATAAGCTAAAGAAATGCTTTCCGTTGTTATTTGGGATGCTGTGGATGTCCCATGAACCGTGTTTGCAGTTTAGATCTCCTGCAATTATCACGGAAGGGCCTAAGTTTAGTAGCGTATCTAGGTTGCTTTGTAATAAGGTTTTGTTCCCCGAGAGGTAGGCTGAGACTAGTACAAGCGGTCTGTGGCCGGTGAGCGCTAACCTACACGCGGATGCCTCTATTTGACTTAGCTCTGGAATGTCGAGCGGGAAACAGTGCAAGGACCGTTTATAGTAAATTAATGTGCCTCCCAGACGGTTTGCTAACCGGTCGTGGCGGACAATATTGTAATTTGCGATTCTGGGATCGCGTACACTAGGTTTCAAGAATGTCTCTTGCACTAGGAAAATATCTACGTTATAATCGCGAAGGAATTCTGCGATTTCGTCCCTTTGACCCTTTATGCCGTTTGCGTTGAAATACGAAACAACCAGAGCCCGAGGTTTTGTTCTACCTGCGGTTGTACTTTCCATTAAAGTGTTTTTATGGTTCTAATTAACGACGCGGCGGAGCGCGGTTTTATTGTGCGGACTATTATGTCTTTTTATGGTTGGCTCGTAAAAGCCCATAGGGCTTCTACAAGCGTTTTGTGTTGGCTGATTGCTCTAAGGCGCTCGTTGCCAGATGTGGCGGCCGCTATTTTAGCGGACAATACGGCGAGTTCCTGCCTATTGATTCGGTCTAATAGGCTGCAGATGTTGGCGATTTGCGCGAACGGGTCGTCCTTGTTTTCCGCGAAAACCGACGGAGTTGGCTGCACCTGTGGCCTCAGCGCCGTTTGATAGGCGGGCTGCGGTTGTGCGTCGGTCGTGAGGCGACCGGGGGCGTGACTACCTGCGCGGCCACCTGGGGTTTCGCCCGAGCGTTTGTGACGGGTACGGGCGCGGGAACGTATTTTACGGGCGCGGGTTTGGGTAGAGTGGATTTCGCGGGAGATTTTCTCGCGGGAGTTTTCGGGGCCTTAGCGTAGCCTCTATAACTAGCCGGTGGCGTGACAGTTTACGCAGTCCGGTGGATCTGCGCAATCTTTCGGCCGCGTGCACTCGGTCGTGCCGTGGTCACCGGTGCATTTGACGCACCTAGGGTGAGCGAAGCAATTGTTGGCCGTGTGGCCAAAATGTTGACAGTTGTGGCACTGAGCCACAACTCCTGACTTGCGCGGGGGCTCGATGACTAAGTCACTGAGCCCACAGACCCTCTTCAGGTTGAAGATGGCCTTACCTTCCGGGGTAGGGTCAAGTTCGACCATGACCATGTCCATAGGGACACGGGTGCGAGGGTGTCTGAGGCGACGCACGTCGTGTACAGGGTATCCCTGAGTGCGGATGTCGACCTTAGCCCTATCGACATCCGATTCTTTCGGGACGCCCTTGATTACAACCCGAAGTTTTCTTTCTTCGGGCAACGAGTAGGTGTGGAAACCTATCTTGTTTTCGCGCAAGTACTTAGTTACGCGGCGGAAGTCGTCCATAGTGTCAAGGTATACGCGGATACCCATATGCGTGTTTTTCGATCGGGGGTCGCGGACATTGTGGCGTTCAAACCACGAACAAATTTGGTGCCACTTAGCCTTCTCCTGAATGATGATGGGTGGAGGAGGCTTTATTTTTCGCTCGGAGGCGAATTCGGGCATCGGTTTAGCCGCCGCGGCCGCCTTTTTAGCTGGCGTCGCGGTGGGACGGATCGTTGAGGCGGCCTCACATTCGGGGTCGCTGTCGGTAGCGGGGCGTTTCTTGCCCTTTTTACGCGATTTAACGACGCTGAAGCCGTCGGCGTTCGCGTTTTCAGCGGGGGTCGTTTCGACCTCCATGTCCGATCCGCCGTCCGATTGTGAGTCGGGTACGACGGAGCGAAAAGAGGTCGGATTTGGTTGCACGGAAGGCGCTACGGGCGAGTTCGCGTTAGCGGATGCCGAAGCGACGGGGGCTCCTAAGGTCGCGGAGGGCGACGGGGTAACGGGCGCAGACGGCGCGGGCAATGGCGGCGACGCTAGTTCAGCTACTTGCCTATGCTCGGCTGCATAGGCAAGATAACGTTCCCACATAGCGGAGCATTCTCTGCGTACGAACTCCTCGAAAAGGGAGCCCATCGCGACGTAAGTGCCTTTGGGGCTTGTAGCCCCGCCGGCGTGTGTGAGCTAAATAAGCCTCCCCACCTTGCGGCAGGGCGGAGTGTGCCTAAAAATAACAAACAAATTGCCTGCGCTTTAGGTGCGCTAGGGTGGGTACCTAGCTGTCGCCTATTACAACAAACACACAGTTAATAAATGAAACAATGCCGCCTCTGAGGCGAGAAGTGTGTGTAGGATTCTACTTACAAACAGGAACCTGCCTACGAGCACAACACTACACTAACACTAAACTACTGCACTATTTGCACAAGATTTAAATTGCAACCGAAGTTGCGAGTGGCGTTTAATTCGGGTGGCATGTGCCCTCCGTCTTAGAGTGACGTCCGTTCCGTACGAGAGCACGAAGCGGAATGAAGCGTTTCGTAGTTTTAACACAGGCAACTCTTATATTATACATCTTCTGACTTTCTCAGTAAAAAAATTTTTTCAGTAAAAGTAGTATTATAAGTATTTATACTAGATACTGAGGTCTATAGTCCCTATTAGGTGCATAAAAAAAGTAATGTCCTGAGTCAACACAATAAAAAGATATGGTAAAATTTAGATTTTCGCGAAAACTTGTAAAATGACACTAAAGGTACCGAAATTTACTTTTTTTTCAACTTTTTTTTTATTTTTCAGAGTTTCCCTTTACTCGTGTTGTAAGACTGCCTTTGGCCAAAATTGGCAATTCTGGGTCAACCGGAAGTACCCTATAGGTTTTGGGTTGAAAACCTATATGGTAGTTCCCGTTTACCTATTAAAAATAAAAAGTTGAAAATTAAAGAGTGTCCCCATACATACATAGTTGACGTCAATTAAGACGCCAAGATAAGAGATTAAGAAGTCCTATGTTATATGGGCGCTCGTACAAATACAATTACATACTAGATAATTGTGTGTTGAGCCGTGATAGCTCAGTGTCCGGGCGCTCGCCTTTAATTCAATATACTCGAGCAACCTGAGTTCGATCCCCGGTGCCGGCACCAATGAAGTTTTAACTGTAAGTGCTGACTTATCACGTGCTCCGCGGTGAAGGAAAACATCGTGAGGAAACCTGCATATTTTCGAAATAATAACAAAAAATATATATATTCCGAAAATATGTGAAGTCCGCCAATCCGCAGTGGGGCCGCGTGGTGGACTATGCCCTGATACCCTCTGTATAGAGGAGGCCTTTGCCCAGCAGTGGGACATGTATAGGCTGTTACTTTACTTTTTTACTAGATAATTGTACGGAACCCTACGTGCGCGAGTCCGACTCGCACTTTTTTTTAGATGAGGCAAACTGATTAGGATTGATAGAAGGTTTTGTTTGAGTTTCAGTCGCATCTAATACCTTCTAAGAAGGATTAGTGTTTGGCTGAAATTATTAAAATTAAAAAAAGAAACAACGTACCGTCGCCCTTCCCTTGTTTCCATATACCGTTGCGTTGTTTATGAGCCTCACTTTGGAGTTTATATTAAGAACAGCCTTTTTGCCGCCCGCGTAATCGAGGACAACCGTGTCGACCAAGTCGACACCATCTTCGTTAAGCTCCCCTATCGCCGTGACCTTGGTTGGCTCCTCTTTGAATATGAATTGAGCAAACTGAAGAGTGTAAATGCCGATGTCAAGAACGGCGCTTCCCCCCAAGTCTTTCATACTGAAAAAAGTTAATGGGCAGGGTTATGATTATACTTGTGTTTTTATCTATATTGATAAGCAAACACCCTTTGTAAGATGGACGATAAAAAATGGTTCTGGTTTCTGACAATTTATATTGCAAAATTTTGAAGATACTATAAGGTATTATAAGGTATTCCAAATATAAGGTATTATCTATGATCACTATGATACGTGTCACCCGATTCAATAATAATTTCACTGTCGACACCAGCAGGAATTAAAACCGGTAGTAGTCAGAGAACTTTCTAGTGTATCACAAGTTTTTTTTACGCATTTAGTACTTCATGGATCGTTCCACTGTATGGTGTTTTATATCGTTAGTTGCTTAAATTCATTTCCAATTGTAAAGTACATTTGGCTGTTTTGGCTATGACATTTTTTCCTAAATAGAAAACTGAATAATGTGAAACTTTCACTGAGAGTCAGTTGGACACTATATGGATAGTGAACAGTTTTGAGAGAAAAGAAACAAAAAGCGGCATACTAGAACACTTATGTTTACCAATTTTTATGGTAACCTGTAAAACGGTACAGTTTATATACTGAGGCACAATTTGGTACAACAACTACGTGGTTATTTCCATGTTGATTAATATGACCGCATCGTCAACATGCACTACAACAAACATCCCTTTTTAATAGTTTCATCAAAATGCTCACCATACTCGTTGCACTGCAGAAATCGGCGAACCGAAGTTGACCTCGACGTAGTGAACATCCCCAAGTTTGCCCGAATTTATCTCTTTCTCCAAAGCCAAATATATGGGCGAGAATCTTGACCAGACTGCCTCCATTAAGAACAAATTAGTCTTCTTCGCGAGCCGTATAATACTTTCGGTCTGCTTATAATTAAGGCAGAGTGGTTTCTCACATAAGACGTGTTTGCCGTTTTCGAGACACATCTTGGCAAGCCCATAATGGTCAGGGTTCAATGCGCCGATGTACACGATATCTTTATTGTTAAACAACAAAAAAAAAAACACACATTGGTATAAAAATAGTTAAAACTAATAAGAGAAAGATCATGGCTTCTGTTACAAAATATCTGTAGTATTTTTTATGTGAGAAAGTGACAACCGATGTTAAGTGATAACCGCCGCCCTTGAACATTTACAACACCCGTAGGTTTGCAAATGCCTTGCCACCTGGTTATCTGACTCACCAGACGAAACGCAGAAGGGTAACACTTTACATCGGTCTTCTGTGAGGTCGTGGTACTTAGCCGGACGGACCTGCCCATTTGGGCAACAGTGAATAGGTACTGTTGCGTAGCCCTACCACAGTATATTATACTATATGTGATACCACAGTATAGTATATTAAAGTAAAATTGTATAATAAAACCCAATATTTCTATTTCATAAGAAGCATGCATAATACATATGTCTGACTATTAAGCAAAAACGCAGCCCAACATTAATAACTAATTCTGTTTTATATGTGATAGTATAGATACAAAATTGTTTTAAGATTTAAAAATCATTCTTACATAACCTAAACTATACAATCATGTTTGGATTATACAAAAGCAAAAATTATACAAATTTACCAATGGTCTTAACTATCAGTACGATAAGGCCATTGATGGATGGTTAAAACATTGATAGCCAGTTGAAATGTTTCTAAGTCATTTTATCACCTACAACCTAATCACATAAAATAAATATAATATAATAAAACATGGTTAATAACTTTACCGATTTCATTAGTGACAACCATAGCATGGTAGGATTCAAATACTTTGGGAATGTTGTGGAGTTTAGCGAATTCCGACGCTTTAGTGGCGCTGCGAGCTGCAACTGCTGCTATTACTTGGTCCCCCTTGTCGGGATAAGAGTTGAAGGCGTTCACGAAGTCATGGCTGATCTTTCCTGCCGTAATGATACCCCAGCGGAGAGCCATCTGCAGCAGACAGTTATTACAGCTTCCCTAACACGCATTGCGCCGAGCGTACTGTAACTCGTGGAATAAGTTACAATGTTGCGTCGAGAGTGCCAGTGCGGGATGGATACCGAAAGCTTAAACTGTTGTCAACGTAATCGGATTGGCATTGATTCTTTAAAAGTATCTTATTGACGGTTCCAAAATATATTTAGGTCGCGATGCATTTCGTCTCGCTTATATCATGGGGTGTGGGTTGCTCAACTAAGACATCTTTTTTTTTAAATTGCCATTGCCCTTAGTTGAGGATAACATTATCCTGTGTTGTAAGGACAAACACCCAGATGCGAAACAACTATCTGTGGGTCACACAAATAGTTGTCCCGTGTGGGAATCGAACCCACGACCTCCGACGCCGAAGCCGATACCTTGGCGACTGCGCCAGGAAGTCATCATGCCACGAAGTCATCGGTTTTGGATCACAAAAGGCGGTTTCAAAGGATAAACAGGTATTTTTTTATTAATGAATTTTGCGTCTTAGTATTATTTTACATGCTCGCGTTTGGAGTCCTTCATAGACCCACCGAGCTTGAGCTGGCCGGGTGCTGAGGGCGCCTAGCTTGAACATCATTTATGAGTGACTAAGCTCGAGGGCTCCCCATTATTATTAGTACCGGTTTGGGAGGCCGCCAAGCTCTTAGGTCGCTTTGGCGGACGCTCAATGGAGTAACTAATAAGCGCAAGGGCCCCTGAGAGGGGACCTTGGCTTGGACTGTTACTCAGTGACCGCTTAGCATTCCGTTTCGAGGGTACCCGAGAGGGCCGGACCCTGTGGCAAGGCCACGCAACATCCTTCTCTGTTCCACGAATGACCACGATGACCTCACAGAAGACCAGCGTGAAGTGGAAGTGTTATACTTCTGCGTTTCGTCTCGTGATTGAAGTACGCGGGGCCCACTTTATTAAAATGTGCCAAGGCATCTGTAATCGTAAATGTCAATGGGCGGTTATCAATTAAAATCAGATAACCAGCCTGCTTGCATGCCACATTCTTAAATAAAAAAACACCTAGGCTCGATCGGTAGCTATCATCTGACTTGAACAATTTCTACAGCTACTCTATTTTTATTTTTATTACTACTACTTCGGAAAATTGTAGCGCTGGGAGAAGTAGCGGAAGAATGTAGAATCTCCAGCAACGCTTCCATCACTAACGGGGGAAAACCTGCCAGATACATGGCGGAATCTAGTATATGGTTGCCGCACTCGCCGACGAGTGATTGTTTCACCCTATATGGCAAAAGTCGCGGTCTGATTCGAGCCATTTGCGGCAAAATGTACCTAGCAGTAAGCATCTGTCGAATGCGGCACATAATAACTAACGGATTGGGATGAGCGGTTGCGAACTCAATGTAGCGGCGCTTCGCCAACTTCAGGAATTCGGAGCAATGCGCGGTAATAGCGGCCTAGAAAATATATTTCCGGTACAGGGAATCGAACACAAGCCTCCTGGGTTAGAGCGAGGTATCCTAGCTATTAGACCATAACGGCTATTTGTACCTAAGTTTCATGACCATAGCAAATAATATCATTTGACCTTATTTTAAATTACCTAATATTTTTATCAATAATTATACTGAAGAATTATATTATAATTTTTTTTGTTATTTAGTTATATATGTGATGCAAGTTTATTAGAAATTAAAAAGTATTTTCATATATATATATATATATATATATATATATATATATATATTCATATGTATTTCATATACAGCGTGTCGTTACCACCGCGACAATAAATGAACACACGTGTAACGCTACTTGCCAATAATCATAAAAAAATATTAACGTTAAACAAAATCCATATACAAAAAATATTTTTCAAACAAACTAATTAAGTAAAAAGAAACAAAATTTGTAAAATCCTATACAACTCGCGCCACAGTGTCGCATTACAAGCCTCTCCTTCTAACAGTATGTTTTGTCTCTTGTAAATTCATTCAACCCATTCATATGCTTTGTGACCTTTACAAATGAACTTTACGTTACAGTTTTATACGTACGGGTGTTCTAAAATTCTTTGTTTTGGAAAAATTAATAACTCTGTAAATATTGATGTTTAAGGAATGTAAATGCTTAATAAAGTTTTAAAAAGTTATCCCCTATATGTGTGTTCATTTATTGCCGCGATGGTAAAGACACGCTGTATAAAGTAACAGATTAAATCATGTTTAACAATAATTAAACAAAACGTAGCTGTGGAGAATTTTGATAGATAGAAGAGATTTTTTAATATACAGTAGGTTAGTACTTTGTCAATTAAGTAGGTAGTAATTATTATACAGATTAAATAAATAATAAAATTAAATTAAATTTGCATTCATTTTTAACTCATTTATACTCTAGCTTTTACACACGGCTTCGGTCGCATTCAACCCTTTAAATAAATAACTTTTTTTAATAAAAACATCCCCTATGACCTTTTTTATACCGGAATACCGTACAAAGTTTTATGATCATCGGTTGAGTAGTTTTGGGGTGAAAGCGTAACAAACAACTTACATTCATATTGATAACATTATATTAATAGGGATGTTAATTTTCATAAAATTTGTTATGGATACCATGATTTTAAAGATAGTTAAAATAACATCTACAGATATAAATAGTGCGACCAGTTTACATGTTGCATTTGGATAGAAGAGAAAGGTTGATTTCATTTCACGCCAACCATAGATTGTGTGGGCGAAAAGGAAAACAGCATCACACGCATGCCATATCAATATTTTAAACGTGTCGTTGCGCCAGGTTGGGATAACATAACGCAACGCGTTTTGACATAACGTTTTACAAACCATCTACATATTTCATAGCGTATATACAAAGAACCTTTATCTCCTGTGCCAGTGCTCTTCGTTTGTTAAAAAGACATTAAATGCAATTGATAACGGTTATAACTTGGAAGTGTATGTAAATGTCAAGTTGTTATTGGTTACCATGGCAAACAACTTCACGGTATCACCATGGCAACCAAGTATAGGATAACTTCAGAAGTATAGGTTTTAAACATTGAATTAAGTAGGCCTTAAGTTCTTATAATTTTATTACAATATTTCGCTAATTAGATGTCTTTTCTTTCCGACGACCGTACCAAGAGAGAGCATCTGTTCCTTGTACCGCTGTTGGCAGTACCCGGAACGCATCGTTCACACGTCTTAATTCTTATTGTGTTATGAGTACTGTTTTTAAAATACATAATAAATTAGTCTAATATTTCTTACAATATTTGTGAAAATTAATTACAGCTTTAGTTGTCTTTATGAAAAATAAATTAAATATCGGATCTTAATTTACATTTCAATTTTGCCATATTTCCAAGATATAATGTTGCTATTTTACAAAAGTTTTATCAAACATAAATTTATAATTAATCGAAAATATTATAATAGCACACAAAGTAAGACTAATTTTCTAGTCAATATAAAATATAAACGCATAAATAGGCTAACAACTCGGCCTTCCTGTTATGAGCGAGTCCCTTCGCTCGAATCCACATATTTAATAATGCTAATAATACGGTGTCGAGTTAGATACTACGAGTTATCATTACATAAATATATTTTTTTTTACAATCTGTTAATTAAGTAATTTTTTTTAGAAATTTAAATTGTTTATAGTGCTAATCTTTGCACTTAAGATTGAACATTAAAATATGTAGAAAAATTAATAATGTAATTTTTTTTTTAATATTTCACTTTCGCTTCTCCCCATTATATTATTTATTTTGATTTAAATTTTTCTCGCGATCTTTATTATAGTGTTTGTTTCTAAAGCAATGGACAGACAGATGTTTTAATTTATCACAAGCGGTACATTTCGTTGGTGGTTTGTCGCATTTAAAGCTCGGATGTCCAGTTTCATCACAATTATAACATGTCATTTACAAACTTATTGCATTTTACTGAAGCGATTCCATCTGTACGATCATTTTGAAATTTTGAATTCGAATCATGATTTTTGCGACTATGCCCTACCTTTACAGTTATAAAATATTTTAATATTTGTTCCGGTTCCAAAAATTGTGCAGCTTGAGTGCCAATCTTAACAGCCCTATCATAATAGTAATTTTCTACAGATTCCCCGTATTAAACCTTTTTAGACAGCGTTTCAGTTCAGCGTAGTCTGAATTGAATGCAAAATCGACAAAAACTTATCTAATACAGCGTCTGTGGAATTTACGGACTTTGATTGCTCAGTACTACATGGCTGTAATTCACCAGACCAGACTCACTACCTCGCAGGTGTAGCACTCTTCTTCTCCGGACCTCTTGATCCTTTTTGTCAACTTCAGTGTTCAACCATATCCATGAAAGTAAACTAATCAACTTCAGTGTCCGCGATATCTTAAGTTCAGAATTGATTAATCTGTCTCTTCTGACCTGTCCCTCATACCTCTTTGGTCCTCCTTGGCACACTTTGGTCTTGACGCGTCTCCTGGCACCTGGGCATACTTCGATCTCGACCATGGTTCTCACACCTGAGCACACGTCGATCTTGACCCTGGCCCTCGTACCTGGACACGCTTCGGTCTCGACCCTAGTCCTCGTACCTGGACTGTTTCGGCCTCGACCCTGGCCCACACCTGGGCACTCATCGGTCTCGATCCTGGTCCTTGTACTTGGACACGCTTCGGTCTCGACCCTAGTCCTCGTACGTGGACCGTTTCGGTCTCGACCCTGGCCCACACCTGGGCACATCCTCTCATTCCATTTCCTCTCGTTTCATTCCTGGGCATAGCCATTTCCTCTCGTTCCATTGAAAGCGCGCAGTGTTGCCTGCCACCACGAGAAGTTGGCCTTACCAAGCAGCAGGAGGGGTGTTTACGCATATGAGCCCATGAGTAGGATACTCGACCCGCTCGCGCGGCCCAGACGCGTCATTAGCTCCTTCGGTAGCAGTCCCATGTGGTATCGGATAATTTTCATTCGGAAATATTCATATATAACTTATATTGTTTAAAACAATAAAAGTCATTTTCAGAAGTATCCAACAGCTTTTTTTTTTAAAACACATCACAGTTCTTTATACAACTACACCAATTATAAAAAAAAATCATCCGAAAACTAAGCCCCTTTAAGTTCTTTAGCTATATTTATGTATCTATTGTTTATCTTAATATTTTTACTTTCCAAATATTTAGCTTATATCCATTTTCAAAATAAAGTTCTTTGCAGAGCTCATAACTATAAATATCCAAACAAACAGTTGAATCGTTTGTTTCTTATAATTTTCATAATGTTTGTTATTTATATATTTTAAATAAATTTTTTAAACCATGTGGTTTTTTTTTTTGCAAATTTCAAAAAGAGCAATATCTCAACTGTCTTAACATATCTCCTAGGTAAGGACAGTTAAACGCATCATCTAGGGGAATCTTCATCTGAAAATAAGGTTCTCCTTGCTAGTCAAAGGGAATATGCGTCGCAATCGCATGCCATAGAATCGAGCACCGAACGTTCGCAGCTTTCTGCTGAACAAAATACTAGAGGTGGGTATCTAGTATTTTGTTGTCTAAATATCACTTTTTCCGAGAACCTTATCTGGGTAAGATTTCGATTTCCAACATCTGATTTCGAAACTATGTATTTTAATATGTAGATATTTTACTTTCGCGTATCCACCTTATATTATATTATATTAATGAATCTTATACAGCGTGTCGTTACCATCGCGACAATAAATGAACACACATCTAAGGCTACTTGCCAATAATCATAAAAAAAATTTAACATTAAACAAAATCCATAATTAAAAAAAAAATATTTTTCAAACAAACTAATTAAGTAAAAAAGAAACAAAATTTGTAACATCCTATACAACTCGCGCCACAGCGTCGTATTACAAGCCTGTCCTTCTAACAGTATGTTTTGTCTCTTTTAAATTCATTCAACTCATTCATATGCTTTGTGACCTTTACAAATGAAATTTACGTTACGCTTTTATAGGTAAGGATGTTCTATAATTCTTTGTTTTGGAAAATTTAATAACTCTGTAAATATTGATGTTTAAAGAATTTAAATGTTTAATACAACTTTAGAAAGTTATCTCCTATATGTATGTTTATTTATTGTCGCGATGGTACGACACGCCGTATATCTCTTATACACGCTTTCAGGTACTAACTATACGACGATATCGTAGGTTTTAACATTATTCGGTATTGTGCATATTTATCTATTCAACAGGTGTTATTTTCTGTATTTATTATGTATCTTAATTTATTGTTTGAAGTAGATATTCAGGTTTGGAAGGGAAATTCACAACGTATTCAGTTTTTTTTTCGTTTGATAACTAAGTTTAGAATTTAATTAAAGAATATATGATAAAAGGATATTATTGTTTATTTATTTAGTAAAGGTTTTTAACATCAGTGAGTCCATTAAAATATCCCTCTACGACCATAAAAAACAAATATTTTCTAAATTTTAGAACACGAAGGAAATTAAGCAAAACTTTCTCTCGCAATTATTCCGACACCCATGATTAGTATTTAACTGAAACAGAGTTCTTTTGCATGCCCTTAAGATTCAAAATTACTGAACTTGTTCATAAAATATGTTTAAAAATCTGATATTTTGCATTGCTTGCCGTACCGCTCTAACTAGTGTAATGTTTATATTTCACGAGCTTTGTCGCTCGCTACGATCGAGTATTGAGTATATACGGCGGCTTAAATAATAAAACACAAGAAATAGGCGAGCTTGCATCGTCGTATCGTCTAAAGTACACTCCGAGCGACTTAAGGCCCATTTACACGATGCCATTTTCTTGAACATACAAGAGCAATAATTGAATGCAATAAATTGCGCGCAATAATTGTTTAGACCATTTGTTGTTTAGACCATGCAACTCATTTATTGCTTCAATTTAATTGTATACAACAGGCAAGAAACTGGCACCATGTAAATGGGCCTTTACAGTGCAGGGAGGAATACGGCAAGCAATAACTACTTAAAATTCTTGAACGAATTCCGGCTTACAGCTATAGATTAGCTTTTAGGCACGAATTAATTCGATGCTCAACAAACTAAAACAAAACTAAAGAAACTAAAACTCAATAAACATAAACTACACAATCCTATATCAATGTAAAAGGGCATTTCGGTTAAATTAAAATTAAGCATACTAAAAGTTTAAATTGTTTCACAATTTTCTACAATGCTCTTTTAATTTTAAAAAAAATAATTTTCTCTTTTGATTTTTAAAAAGAAAATTTGCTTATATATTTTTTTATGAGCGTTGATTCTTCAAACCCATATTCAAACCTTTATATTACTCACTTCAATACTTACTCAAAGTACGACAAAAAAGAGGGAAAAAGAAACAAAACTCAAAACACTTTATAACGGCGTAAAATAAAAAATAAATTATACCATTGTACACTTTTTCCATTACGATCCCATTATGTCATAAATAAATATGAGTTTAATTATTACGCGCTGCATGTGATGAATGTTTAAGTTTTTAACTCTTTCTTTAATATTAACTACTACTTCTATAATGTTTTATCAACTTCCGATTTGATTATAATAACTTATGATTTGATAAACTTTATGAATCCAAAGTAAAGTCAGAAAGTGGAGATAAAAAAGTATAATATATAAAACTTTACAAATTACTTACGTTTTCTTTGTAGGTGTAGATTGAAAACAATACTAGTTTTCTTTGATCCCACTTCTGAAGCTATAGGATAACTTCAAAAGTATAGGTTTTAAACATTAAATTAAGTAGTCCTTAAGTTCTTATAATTTTATCACAATATTTTGCTAATTAGATGCCTTTTCTTTCCGACGACCGTGCCAAGAGAGAGCATATGATGTGTATGTTCCTTGGACCGCTGTCGGCAGTACCCGGAACGTATCAATCACACGTCTTAATTCTTATTGTGTTATGAGTACTGTTTTTAAAATACATAATAAATTAGTCTAATATTTCTTACAATATTTGTGACAATTAATTACAGCTTTAGTTAAGTCTTTATGAAAAATAAATTAAATATCGGATCTTAATTTATATTTCAATGTTGCCATATTTCCAAGATATAATGTTGCTATTTTACAAAAGTTTTATCGAACATAAATTTATAATTAATCGAAAATATTACAATAGTACACAAAGTAAAACTAGTCAATATAAACGCATAAATAGGCTAACACAAGCATGGTGAATTTGGATGCTTTGCAACAACTTCATCATGTCGATTATATGGGTCGGTGTGCAAGCGCATCGTAGAAATTTTATACTTATATATTTTTTTTTAAACACGCCAAAACAAGTTAGTATAACTTCAAAACAAACGACACATACACTAAAAAATTAAAATACTTTTTTATTATGTCAATGGAATATAGTATTTCTGCAACAAAAATGTTTTTTTTTAATTAACTTATCAATTTTATTTGTAAAGCCTATTTGTAGGAAAATCAGTAATGGATGTCTGATTTTATTACAGATTCAGTACTTTCATCTTTCATGACGAATCATTAAATTTAAATCTGCCTATATTTGCAGAATATCAAACAATGAATTTTGTACGTGAAGAATAACTTTAATTGAATAAAGGTTATGCTATACATAATGACCACAACTAAACCAATATAGAAATATTACCTTTAGAAATATTACCTCTACGATACATTAGCTGTGAGACAAAATTGGACAGAATGATATTAAGTGAAGGACTACTTTTACTTAGCTGGTTAAATAAAAAGGTTATGTTTGTTAAGCGTATTAAGTAATAATTTTATTTAATACTGAAATAAATCCAACAATTTGTATAATTATATACAAATTAAAAAACTTTTAATTTAAACTGATCGTCCCCCCAATATTCAATATTAAAATATTACCTACAAAACATTGTTTCGGCAACAAATACTAAAATTTCCAGTCTCCTTCATACAATTTCTTATTGATAAATAAAAAAAAAAATATAAACATAAAAAAAGATAAAAAGCATAGTATAGTATAAAACAATAAAGTACATTTAATAATATTTACCTTAAATGTTTGTCTGGCAAGGTACGATACCAATTCGCTCGGACACTGGTCTGCCAATGATATTAATAATCTAATCTCGAACTTCGTATAGATTGATCATGGCAAATATTTATGTTTATAAAGGAATGTGGTGATGCATTGAATATAGACATTAATTTATTTTAACATTGAACAAATATCGTTTTCAATGAAGTTGATATAATAGAAAAATCTTTAATAATAAGAATTTAAATAGGTACCTACATCCATAACGAAGAAAATAATGTTATACGGTAGCTAGAAAAATTATCAACTATTCCGTCTTAATTTTTTCTTTGGTATTTAGATGTACGATAAAGGTTCTGTTCACAATTATGTAACTCTTTTTTCCGAATATTTTTTTTAATTTATTTCATGATCATGAATACAGAGTCCTTCAGTCGGAATATTTAAAAATAAAAAAAAATAGAAAAAAATATTGAGACATTTATTTTATGCTGTACCTGTAGGTTGATCTGTAGACTTCATTGTAATACGTATTCAATTCTTTTAGGATCAATTTCTCTGCTTTAATTAAAACTTTTCAATGTAAAATCACTAATGTTTTGCGATAAACAAGACTGCCTGCATTAAAAATATTAGCAACTTAGAATTTTAGAATTGGCGCGTCCAAGTCACTGTTACAAGTTAATGTTTCTAAATTAAACAAATAAATTACCTTCGGGTAGTTAGGATTACCAATTTTTAATATTGCATTACAGTTCATATTGTCCCAAAATGTTATATGAAAAATGTGACGTCTGTTTTAACAGTTGGTGATATTAGATTATTTTCATTAACGCAAACATTTCCTTTAACTTAATTAATTTGGCATTTTTTTTATCTTAATCGAGAGAAAAGAAATTCTCTTTTCGAATAAATAAGGAAATAGTATTCAATGACTATAAATAATTCATATAAAATCTTTTATGACAACCAACTCCTACGTCTACAAAATAGCAGTGTTAATGCTTTGAAATTCAACTCAATAGAAACTGTAGGTATTGGATTAAAAAAAATACATTTTATACAATTTTGTGAAAATAAGCTAAAAGGAAAACCTTTTTATTACTTGTGGTAGAGCCTCGCAAAATTCCGTTCTTGCACGAATGGGCAGGTCTGTCCGGGGAAGTACGACAACCTCACAGAAGACCGGCATGAAGTGGCAGTGTTATATTTTTGCGTTTCTTCGCAACGCAATTGCGACTCACCCGATGTTGCAAATGTCCATGGGCTGCGGTGATCGGTTATCACCAGGTGACACCCGCATGCTCGTTTGCCTCCTATTCCCATAAAAAAAACTCATCTGAAACCCTACAGGTGTTGCATATGTCCATGGGCGGCGGTTATCACTTAACGGATAAGCGGTGGTAACTTACGAACGTATTAATTTTTATGTAAATCTTTTGACATTTCATAAGAACGCGCAACGCAATGTGAATAAATATATTTTTGATTTTGATTTAACATCAGGTGAACCGCCAGCTCGCTTACCACTTTCATTTTGCTCTTAAATTAAAATGAAAAATCTATTTTAATTATTAAAACTTAAGCCTTCTCTCGGAAACCTGAATTCTTCTCCTATGATAATCCATTTAATTCTTTGATACGATTATAAATTTTATTGTACGATTGCTATATGAGGTCAAATCTCGCATCTAATTTGGGTAAATTGATGTCAATCGGGATCAAACGAAATTTAGGGCGATTAATCCTAAGCTTATGAAAGTTGGGCGTTTACCGACCTAAAAAACTATTCAGGTCATAGAATTTGACGATAAAATTGTCCCCGCTCCGACAGGGATTTTGGTCGGCATATCGATCGAAGTTTCGCGTTTACTTGGAGTGAAAGTAGAGATGGCTTTCTCTTTCTCCCAAGCTTTTAGTCCTCAGTTAGTGTAGCGTCATCTTCACCAGCGAGTGCGGTATCGTTGAGCTTGGGCATCCATAGGGATGTCATAGCACTGAAATCCGAATCCCACATTTATTTGTGTGCGGCTCTTTACCTGGCTGCGGCGAAAACAAGGGTTATGTGTTTTGGGTTTTAAAGGTTATGTGAAGGGTACCTGTATTGATGCATGCATGTCCTATGTTTCTTTATAAATAACTAGCTGCTGCCTGCGACTATGTCATTATACATATATGGCATTGAGATACAAAGACAAATATACATAAAAATATGTAAGTATATGAATTATAGCTTATGTGTTATTCTAATGTATAAACTATATTATTGTCAAGTTTCATTAAAATCCATTCAGTAGTATTTGCGTGAAAGAGTAACAGACATGCATTCATACAAACTTTCGAGTTTATAATATTGTATATATATATGTATAAGTAAGGACGAACTGCTTAACCGATTTTGATGAATGACATTGCGCGAGGGTTACTAAGTTAAAAAAAAAAGTAAAGTAACAGCCTATACATGTCCCACTGCTGGGCAAAGGCCTCCTCTATAGAGAGGGTTTCAGGGCATAGTCCACCACGCGGCCCAACTGCGGGTTGGCGGACTTCACATATCTTCGAAATATATATTTTTTTGTTATTATTTCGAAAATATGCAGGTTTCCTCACGATGTTTTCCTTCACCGCGGAGCACGTGATAAGTCAGCACTTAAAGTTAAAAACTTCATTGGTGCCGGCACCGGGGATCGAACTCAGGTTGCTCGAGTATATTGAATTAAAGGCGAGCGCCCGGACACTGAGCTATCACGGCTCGTCATATAAATGGCGAAACTTTATTTTCAGTTTTTTTAAGTTAATGAATGGCAAGTTGCATTTTCAATTGTGTTTATCTTGAAAAGTGCTCTGACGAATTGTTAGGAATAATACCTGCGGAAAAAATTCTCCACCGTACCACGAAGAAAGTACTAAAAACCATAGACAGCATTGATTTGTTGGCTGTTACCCACCGCCGCAAGTCTTTCAGTAGTGGAATCAGGGGTAACGAGGGAATTTCCGCACCGGTACGACTTGAGGTGTAAGGCTAGAAGAAGATCGGCAAAGGCTTGAGTTTAGAAGACATAAGAAATGACATGAGACATGAAGACATTAAGATAATGGATGATAGAGGTATATTGAGGATAGGCCGAGGAGGCGAGGGCAGACCTGCATTACAAATAGTTTGTAATGCAGGTCTGCCCTCGACACGAGATTTCTGTATACAATACACCATGTATTTATTTACGTTTTAAATCATGTGACTAGAAGAGTGTTGTGTACGAATGTGGTTGGGGGGTGTGAGACTGGAGACAAACCGATAAAGATTTGGATGGAATATGTAAAGAATGTCTGTGAAAATGGTAAGTATTGAGATGACGGCTCACAGACGGAAGTGAAGTACATGTTGGGCCGACCCCACCTAGTGTGGGACAATCGCGGGAGAAAAAGACTTGAGGAACTTCAGTAGCCCTGCTTTAGTGTTGAACCTTGATCCACGTACGATCAGGTAAGCTGTTGATTTCTTTCAATAAACTACCAATTGCATGGCAGATGTGATATAAATTATTGTACGGAAAAAATGAAATTAACATATAGATCAGATCACATTTACTTCACACGTATAAAAGATACCAAGTATCCCACTTTGATTTTTTTATACATATAAACATATTAAAACATAAAAATATAATTTAATCATAAAATATTAAATGACGAAAAAAAATTGTGTTTTCGTACAATTGAATTGTCAAGAATAAAATAGGACAAAATTAAAACGAAAATATTCAAAATGAGGTAGGACAGATCAACGGTTAATTGAATACTATATAATGTCTTTAAGAAATGCATGGAACTGACCTGTAAGCCTTAGGCGATAGCCTCACACTTGATCTATGCTAAACTGTCTATTGTGGATTAAACTAACAATATAATGTCTGATGATTCTTACGAATTTCAAGTAGGTTTCTATGAATACATTTTATTTATTCTTAATGGTAATTTTAGAAAACTCAATTGTTTATCTAAAATAAATTAATTTGAAATCCAATCCAGCAGTGTCATTTCAAAAGCAATAGACATTGCTTTCGAGGAACAAATCAAATGTTATTTATTATTTTAAAACAAAATCTATCAAAAAAATTGCTACATTTTATTAATGCGGTATTAATATATTAAATTTGTATAGTTGTAAATAGTTATTTTGTCTATAAATTGTGTTTGCCATGAAATATCTAGTCGTATATAAAACGAATAAAAAAATATCTTAACAGTTTCTATTCACAGTAAATGGAAAGTGAAAATTAATTATGACTAACGCTATATTATTATCAGGAACAATAACTAGGATAAAATTACCGTATACTTCTTTAGAACTTATATCATCATTAGTAATTACATTACTATCAGAGTTATCCTTTAAAATATCAATAAAAATAATTATAATGATAAAAAAAAATAAGTCCTGAGAAATCTGATACTAAATTGGTTGTTAAAGCCTTATTTAGAACGCAGCTTTAAAAGCTTGATCCAGGTCGTTAATGAGATCTTCCGTGTCTTCGAGTCCCACGGAGAGGCGGATTAGGGAGTGTGTGATGCCGAGTTGAGTTCTCTGCTCTTCAGGTACAGAGGCGTGTGTCATGACCGATCTGTAAATGACGAAAGATGACATGTTTATGTGGTATTAATTTTTATAGTGCTATTGCTATTATATGACTAAAGTGCAATTTAAGCAATATCATAGTAAAAGTGTCATCTTTTGTTATCAAAATTTCATTGTAAAATCGGCTTCTTCTTCTATTATTAACTACCATTGTAAAAATTTATATGAAAAGGTGGTCGGTTGCTGTAAAGGAAACACGCTAGTTGACGCCAAACTGCTTAATAACGTAATCACTACATAGTATAAAACAAAGTCATCCCGCTGTTTGTCCCTGTATATGCTTAGATCTTTAAAGCTACGCAACGGATCTTCATGCGGTTTTTTTTAACTTGATAGAGTGATTCAAGAGGAAGGTTTATATGACTTATACATTACACCCGTGCGAAGCCAGCGCGGGGCGCTAGTAATAAATAAAGTATGAGATTTTCGTAGTTGTGAAATTTAGTCGTTTAGCTCGGTGGCTAAAGCGCCTAAATAATAATATAACCTAATTTTCTTGCCTGCGTCGAAATCTTTCGTCCATTTTTCTACAAACTTTTAAGAATGATGTCATTTTTCATAGTGACAATTAGTTTTGACTTTTTTTATAGTGCATATGATATTTTAATGTTACTTACAGTAAACTTTTTTTACTTTTAGTTTTATATAAAATCACAGTTAGTCTGAGCTTCGGGGCTTTTTGGATTATTTATGCTCGAAAATAGACGATGTGCAAAATATATTAATAACCTAGTTTCGGCGTTCGGATCAAAACGAGATCATTTCAATTTCCTTCTGACGGAACGTCAGCAGTTGGAAAAGTATGTTCAAGGGCACAACCATTAGATGAATAACAATTAAATAGACAACTGTGATGCTCAATTCACTTAACTGCCAATTTAGTTTTTATTAACAGACTTCTTTTGTACTTATTTCACGTTAGTAAGTTACGCAGGGGCCAGTAATCTTCTTAAGTTAAACTCGAAGCGTGTGTGGTGCAAACGCGTTTTTTAGTTTTTTAGAAGTCTTAGTTAAAAAGTTGATGGCTTTGGGAACTCCTGTTTGGCTTTGTGGAAGTGTAAGAGTTGTAGTTTCAAAATATTTATGAACAGCTAGTCTATAACAATCCGCTTTTTTCGCTTAATTAGGAAACTCGAAAATACGACGATCCAAACATTAATAAAGTTTTATTTTAGAGGAATAATTAATTAATTTCATTTCGATTGGTAAAGAAGAATTGTTTCGTTGCAATTGATAACCGGTCCATAGACGAATTTATCTCCATACGATATTTCTTTATCTCGTGTGCTGACATTAAACATGAGGTTAATACCTTCATTAACAGTAATTAAAAGACTGATAAGAATCGCGTGATAAGATTTCAATATTAACAAAGCATCTTTACGGGTTTTTACGCATTTAAAGATAGAAGATTGTAACAATGCTAATATTCGCATGCATTGTGGAACTTTAAAAGAACAAATGACTCACGGTAGTTCGGCTAAACTCTCGTATCCGCCCAAACTTTCGGCCAGGATGAACAGTTTGAGCGAGCTCAGGAATTTCCGAGACTCTTGCAGATCACCATTGTGCTTAAAACTAAATACACCCGAGTGGCCAGTCATTTGTTTCTGCGCAATCTTATATTGGGGGTGCGAGGGTAGACCTGGAAAAGGGATACAGTCTGATGACGAGAGATTTCTGTATCTACAATACAGCATCAACGGCAGCAACAACAGCATAGCGACACACTGAAAATCAGTTTTCGTGAAGTTTTTAAAGTTTGTGAATCTATCGCTGAGTGGAAACCTTTTTGGTGCATGGTATTATAATATTTAGCATTTAGAATTGTTTCTTTTTTTTTAACGAAGTTATTGTATTTATGTACCAAATAAATATTTTTTCTTCCTTTCCATTTATTAATGTATTAGTGCATAAATATACAATCTAATAAGATATTTAATTATCAGCGCTAATTCGGTAAACTAATTTGAACTTGACTGTACGTTACCTGGGTGAAGGACTTCTGTAACATTTGGATGGTTCTCGAGCCATTTGGCAATTACATAGGAGGATTTCTGATGTTGCTCCATACGCAACGCTAACGTCTTTAGACTTCTATTTACGAAGTAGCAGTCAACGGGCGATGGCACGACTCCCATTGCTAAAACAAAATGAACACATATTACGAATAACGGATATATTGCGGATTTATAGAGTTTAATTTTAATTCTCGACATTTCAAACTCTTTAGGGCCTTCCGTAACCATGAATTCTTGTTTATTTAAAAGAATAAGAGAGAACAAGACCCCAGAGTTTATTGCCGGTTCTTCTCCGGACAGGTCAAAATTAATTAACCGGTGGTAGGCTTTTTTTTTACATTCGATAGGAGATTTTTTAAACAAGCCTATATTGAAAATAAATTTTGACTTGAAAAAAAAATTGCGATGAATCCGTTAAATAGTTTAATTTATTAATGTGCACTATTCTTGTAAATATGTAACATGACTATCTTTATAATGTTGTTTATGTTATATTTCGGGTTTGATCCCGCACGAAAAAAAAATTTGACCATTTTGACCCACGAACTGTTGTTTCGAAATACAACCAACTTTGTTTTAGTGACATGGAGTCACCCTAAAAGATACGGGCATTGTTTACCATTGCAAGAGCAATTTTTTAAAAGCGAAGCATTTTTGCAGCAATTTTAAGATCGCGTCGATTTGGATTGCATTGGTGTGCGGCCTAAATGAGCATGGTGGACCGTAATCTAACGAATAGTATTTGCCCTTTCATTTTACACCATAATGTGAGGTTACTTTCATTAAATAAATGTTATATATTTCAGTTATCAGTGGCCTTTACTGAGCCTATTATAAATATATTATAGGAAATTGTACTTAACAATTTCTCTCAAAGAAGCTCTTTTAATGCTTTCACCGAACAATACTTTTATGTAATTATTTATTTTATTTTATAGTTAAGCATGAATTTATCATATAAATTTATTAAAATAGTCTTTACATATTATTATGTCCATTCAAAGCTTCCCTGGAAGAAATTGCTTCAAGTAATAAGATCGCCCATCGTTACAACCCTTGCGTTATTTTTATTTTTAATGTATTTTGTTTTACCATGGTGTGTGCTATAATATAAATAAAAAAGTGCATAAGAGTATTCAATCAGTCAACCGATACTTCGAAAGTCCAATCTTAAAATCCTATTTAATGAGAGCTTTGCAATTTTTCCAGACATAACAGTATATGTTTATGACACGTAAATCATAATTTAATTACGCGCGTAAACATAATTTATCAAGTGAATAGAACCAAGAATTTTTTTAGAACGAACCAAGATAAGATTGGGTTTGTGCGCGTTCATTCATGCTAAAATATACAATAGCCCGTTGTGGTCTAAAGTAAAATTTATAACAAGTACATCCTTATAGGAATAACTTGCCGACCCACAAAACGTCTACACAAATAATGATCGCGTCATTTCAATTGTGCGAAGTCATTGCATCTGAAAAGTAATGACTAAATGACAATGACAAAGGCATGACTGATTAACAATAAGTTATATCGCAGTCGAAGAATATTGCATAGCGGCACAGTTTTATGAAACGTTATGTGCTCTTTCTACAGCGCATGACTGAATTCCATTATTAGAGTTAATTATGAGAAATTCTTCATGGGGGCCGTCCATTAATCACGTGGAGTTCGAAAGGGGATGGGGGGGGGGGGAGGCGTGTAGTAAGATATCCAAAATCACGTGTATTTATTTTTTCGAGAAACTCGCGATTTCATTTAGATTCTTTGTAGGTACTAAAAATACACGTGATTTTGGGTGGGGGTGGGGGGTAGACCTAAACCTCACCACATATCACCAAGGGGGAGGCCCTCCTCCGGGGGTTAAAAATGCTAAAAAAACATCACGTGGACGGACTAAAACTTAGATAGAGACTTATTTGCATTGTATGCTGAAATCATTTGGATTAATGTGTTGAATCAAAAATTTAATGCTGTTCATAAGTATTCCATATCATTTATTTATACTTCCACGGCTCGTTCAAAAATGATATTTATAATAAAATGAAAATGGAAAATGAAAGAGCTAATACAATTACAAATAGATCACCTCACTCGACATACGGTTAAATATTTAAAAAAAAATTGGTAAATCTCATCTGCAAAGAATACAACGTGTACGTATAGTAGTCTACCAGCCTTGCAAGATTGTTTATCGTTAAAAATAGCTTAAATTTTACTACACCACATAGTGTAGGTCTTATCACAATATTTCAAACGTTAGAGACTAGCCAAGAAAAGGAAAAAGACGGAGAAAATATAAAAATTCATAAAGAGATTAAAGAAATCCTCCATTTCGAAATGACAGTGATATACATATAGAGTCTAGAAGAAAACAAAATACATTTAAGTCCATACAGCGAAGCCATTCTTATCAGCCAGTATCGTTCGCGAATCATATACGGTCTCGATTACTGCTAATGACTTTTCATTACTTGGAAACGATTAACTACCAAGACTTACAGGATGTCAGTAGACCAGATCAAATTTAAATCGAACTACAATTCTGCTGACATGTATTCTGAGATTCACTCGCCGAAACTGTTTACACTCAACTCTGCACTCCGTTATGATTTATCGCTGATATAGATTTTTAGAAACTATAATACAGGTGTTATTTTGATTTTTGACTATTCGAAAGGGTAAAATAATAATACTTCTTTCTTTGACGATAGTCTCAACAATGTAAAAAAGGGCAATGTGGCGAAGTTATTTACAAAAATGTCAATTACATAAGATGTCTTATCTGCGATCTTAGTTGCGATGGGTTTAAAAACAGTTAAGCTAGAAGTAGTTTTGTATGTAGGTATGCAAAAATATCAAACTCTACTAAAAATAGTTCTCTATAGCTACGCACGGGTCGTGTGTGACGCACTAGAAGTGCCTATGATTAGACACACCAAAACGAGAAAATACTTTTTGCTCAATTTTATTAAAATGTTATACAATTATCAATAGGTAAAGACAAATCCCCGCTGCTTATGACCTTCAGCCTTATCAATAAAAAAAATTGAGTTTTTGGAATTTTTCAATAACGATTACGAGCGGATCACGACGTCTAGGTCAACACTCTGTGTTTCAATATAAAATAATCAAAAACATTAAGCATTCATAATAACACAGAAAGGGCCCTCCCTATACGTTTAGTAACGATAAAGTTTATGAGATGAGATGGTGTTACCATTTTCTTTCAATTATTATTCCAGTAAATGCTTTATAAATAAAAATATTTTACGTGTTCCGTGACCATTATACCGTAGAGCTCGAAACGTCGGGAATATAAAACAAATGAAACGGAAAAGTAATTTTTCTTACACTACTCATATATATGTAATTATGGCTGATAATTAATAACTATCCCATATAATATATGATAATGATGTAAAATATACTAGCTTATTCTAAACGAAACCATTTATTGCCTCAAAGCCATGTGGTAATTGGACAGAAAAATCGGCGCTGACAAATTATTCCGCTCCTTTGTTGGAAGCATTACGTACTTTGAAGCGAACCTCTTTGTTCAAACGACTTATGTTAAAGTAACCATGCAAATTCATGATGCTTGTGTCTGAAATCCTTGAAAAATACATTACAACCACAGCGTCTTTATCAGATTCTTCTTAGGAGTATTCTAAACAACGCTCTGAGATACTTCGATTAGCGCATTACCACTTTTATATCTATTCATTTGTGCAATTCCACCCTCATTGTCAATTAATTGTCATCAAGCCATTCTAATTACTGTCCTAAAGTATTAGACATCCAGGCTTTACAAAATTGACAAATTTGCTACAAACTTGCGGCTGATGTATGTTTATTTGTATTCACGGGCAATACATGCATGATATAAAAAAAAACAAAAAAGGATGATTAAGACTATGGCGAAATTGTCAAGGTATTTGCTCCAACGCCGGGGGTCGTAAGTTCGATTCCCACACGGGACAAGTATTTGTATGATCTACAGATATTTGTATCGGATCTGGATGTTTGTCCACGTGAAATTTATGCTTGTACAACAAAGGATAAAGTTATCCTAGAGTAAGGGCAATGTTGATATAAAAAAATGATTATTTTTTTTTTAAATAAAAATTGTTGTTTCGTGAATAATCCATTTTAGATTTCCACGTGCGACAGGCAGACTGTATCTTATATATAATCGGAAGCTCGGCAACAGCTCCAGCGATTTTCATGAAATTTTGTATGTGCGTAGATTCTGGAGCGAAAAATCGATCTAGCTAGGTTTCATTTATAGAAAATGTCCTTTTATCCCTGTTTTCAGGGAATGAAAAATGTCATTCGAATACCGCAAAAAAAATGTTATAATAGCTCAGTCGGTAATCGGGCGGCCCCAAAACAGATCACTATCATTTACACACTTATTTTCTTTACTTTTTTTTCGGTACATCTTCTTTTCTTTACTTTATCTCCAAAATACATGATTTACAAAAAAACGTCCTCCGGGTACTTACAGTTGAATGAGATTTTTTGTCATACGCTCCGATCGATGGATTGGATTTCATACGGTACATGAGACAGGTTGACGACGTCCTTGTGCTGATATTAAATATGTAAACCAACACTGCCCAACTTAACACCACGTAGCTTGAACATAAGAAGGAAAAATCGCGATAGTGGAACATGATTGCCAGTCTAAATTCCATAGCATAGTAACATCATAATAGTTATCAGCAATAATAGCCACATTACAACGGATTAGACTATCTCACTATCTATTAAATATATCAATTATTTATAATTATATCGATACAATATCTTCACTACGCGCTTCAACCATGTTGAAGCGCGTAGTGAAGTCATCGTTTTTAGGCTAATTATCAACGAGGTAATAAATCATAGGTCGTTAATTTTGTATGGATCGAAGTTCTTAATATTACTCACTAAAAAAAAACATTTTATTTATTTATATAGCCTTTATATCCCAAAACTACAGTTAAAATAACTTATATATGTTTTGCTTATAATATGTTCCTAAGTTCGGTATGCCTCCTGGCAAAGGCCTCCTCTAACAATTTCGACTGTTTTCTATGTTAATTTGAGTTCGTCCTCCCATCTTTTTTTAAAAAAAAATAGAAATACAGAAAAAACACAATCTAAAACAACCTCATAAAAAACACTCATAAAAAATATATAAAATCTGTATCAAACATGGTATAATAATAGTTGGTTCTATTATAGCATATATCCTTGCCAGGTTGCAGAATCGTTCTATATCTGATGTTTTATGTGAGCTATTAGCTTCTGAGCAACGGATCGTGGGATCGATCCCCACAAGGATACAATTACTTTTGTGATCCACCGATTAGAATTCGAGAATTGTTTCATGAATGCTAAATAGCATTCAAATGTTGGAAATTTACCTAAGTTTAAAATGAAAACGATGAATCCGTAAAAGTAGCTTAGTTTAATTTTAATGGAAAGGAAAATATCGGCATATACATGTCCCACTACTATGAGAATTACCATTGGCATGCTTCACATATCTTCGAAATATTTTTTTTTATTATTGCGTAAATATGTAGGTTTCCTCACGACGTTTTTATTCACCGCTGAGCAAGTGATAACCTAGATTACTAAGTAATAACTTATTATAGTCTTGTTACTTGTAAGTGATAAGTATTTAATAATGTTGGCCTAAACATAAGAAATTATTAAATATTACTAATAGTCTATTCATTGTCATGATTATTGCGAAAATGTATTCAACAGGGTTTTTTTTTGAAAACCAAATGAGACCAAGCGACAAGTTTGACACACACGACACATTACCGATACGCGAACGATATATCAAGGAAAGGGCATATTTTCGAATACTTCATAACCAGTTCAAACCGGTTCTGAAACAAAAACGGCATCGCTACGTCACCTACCGATGAGCTCCGCCCGACGTAACCTAATTGCCTAATTTAAATTTCGCGATACAAAAAATAGATAGCGCCTAACGCCCGGTTTCAGAATGATCAATTCAAATAGTTTAACCATCCTTTTGGTAACTCAAATGACATTTGAAAAGCTATTTAGCTGATTAGTTAATTTCTACGAAGATCAGTCTTTCAGAAACCGGGCGTAAGATGAATATGTTTTAAAGCGCTCACCGTCTGTTCGCCTCTATTTCATACCAACATAACATAACCATTGCAATAGGGAAATTTTACAATAGCTTTAGAAGTTTTTGCTTAGAAGACAAACTTTATAACAAAGGAAATAGATAAAATACGACTACAGATACTAGGAAAATATTGACCATTAAATGCAGCTAATGAGGCGTCGCAAACATTATTAATCATGTATTAAAAGTCGAGGAAGGCAGTCTGTGGCCCGTTTTGTTTTAAGAATATATTTTAATCAGTATAATGTTCAACTGTGCAAATATTTGACATGCAACGAACGAAGACACCGTAATCATTCTCACGCTATCCCGTGGGGAATTTCGTGTTTAGATTAACTAACTAACTACATGTGATATTGGTTTGTTTCAATATTTAAGGAAAATATTGCTAGTAAGGGGAAAAATCATTGACGTCGCGATGACTTTGCGGATATGTGTAGATTATGGCGGTAAGACAATGATTCGCGTATTCCTTTTGAGTTACTTGGAAATTAAAGCTGCGCAATCATTCTAATATAATCATCTATGGGCCTTTTAAATTATACAGGCAATATATTGTAAGAGGAAAATTCTACATTATTTATGTAAATTATGGGAAACCAAATATAAATATTTCGCGGTTTAGAGTATATTTGTACTAAATTATAAATATATATAGTTTGTTTCTTTGTATTCAACGGGTTATCTCTGGACGTAATGAACCGATTACATTTTTTGTACTAACGCAAATCAGCATTATCACAATGTAAAATAGTAAAATATTTATAAAACACAAAATAGTTAAAAATTTAATTTTAAAGAAAGTCTTCAGTTTTAAAGAGTCGACAGGAAAAAATGTTATGCACGTCACTTCATGCACGTCATGTAACTAACCATTGACTGTCATCATACTATCGTTTTCACAATATATTTTTGTAATGAATAAATATGTCGTTGTGCAACTTTAATTATCGGTAGCTTATTTTGAAAAATATCAAAATCAGCCAAGAAAACGTTGGATGACTCGGCAGTTACCAAGGCATTGTCTTCGATGCCGGGGGTCGTGGATTCGACTCAAACACGAGGCAGCTATTTGTGAGACCCACTGATAATTGTTTCAAATTTAGATGTTTGTCCACGTGAAATTTATTTACATATGTAAAACGTCCGTATAAAAAAGGATAATGTTATCCTACAGTAAGAGGCAATGTACGAAGGCAAAACTACAATAGATCTTCTAAGGTAGTGCAGTGCCGGATTAACCACGTAGCAAGCTACGGGCCCCGCATATATGTATAAATATGAATACACCCATCTCTGCCTGAGCCTTAATTTTTTGAGTGAAACTTATGAAATGAGTAAGAGTATTGAATTGTTTTTTTACTAATTTATACTTAAGAACCCATGGCAGATCAAGGGCTGTTTCAAAGAATTTGCTACGGGCCCCTCGCTTGCTTAATCCGGCGCTGGCGTAGTTGTCGTCAGGACTCGCTACCGAACCCGTTCGACACAAAATGCAAACATAAATATTGGCAGCCCTATGCGTTACACGTCGCGTCGACGACTCACCGTTCAGCAGGAAGCGCAGCCAAACCCGTCAAACATAAAATGCAAATTTAAAAGAAATGTTGGCAGCCCTATGCGTTACACGTCGCGTCGACGACTAAACGTTCTGCAGGAAGCGCACCCTAACCCGTTCCACATAAAATGCAAATATAAAAGAAATGTTGGCAGCCCTATGCGTTACACGTCACGTCGACTCACCGTTCTGCAGGAAGCGCAGCCTCTGCTCCAGCGCGTCGTCCGCCACCACGGCCGCGCCCATTATCACGTCGGAGTGGCCGTTCATGTACTTAGTCAGCGAGTACACGACGATGTCCGCGCCGAAGTCGAGCGGCCGCTGCAGATACGGCGTGAGGAACGTGTTGTCCACCACGACTATTATGTCGCCTCGCTCCTTGGCGACCACCGACACGGCCGCGATGTCGATGATCTTCAGCATAGGGTTGGTCGGGGTCTCGATCCAGATCATCTGCAACGGCGGGCGGTTGTGACCTTGTCGTGGCTTCGAGCCGGCTTCTCAGTAATGGATGTAAAATATATCATGCGAGATATGATATCAATGAGACTTTGCGCTGATGCAATGTATATAATATCCAAAACTAACGATATGCTGCAGATATAACTGCCGAAAGATATTTTTTCTTCAGCACGGACACGCCCTCGGTTAACTTAAATACCCACCAAGGAGAGTTTGGTACAGAAAACTATGTAATGACTAGCTTTTACTTTTACAAAGAATCTTACGTCGTTTTTAATACCTCTAAGAATATGTGTACAAAGTTTCATGATAATCGGTTCAGTAGTTTTGGCGTGAAAGAGAAACATATAATACTATAATTTATATCTCTCTAAACGTAATTCTGTATGTAAATTACATCACAGAATTACCTTTTGGGACATCCCATAGTGGTACTGTGGGATCTCCGCTTATCTTTTGGAACATGATACAAATGTTAAAAAAATATATTTTTTTAAAATGGACAACTTTAATGATCGCATATCGATCATCGATTTTTTACTAGCGTTTGTACAGCCACAAAAGAATTCTAAGAAATTGCTCTTAATCTTTATTTTTTTATTTTAACCTTCGTATTTCGTATATTTAAATATAAAACGTGATGCATATGTGATGCGTTTACGTATCAAAGGTGATGATACCCCATTGTATGGAAATTTGAAACCTGTCATGAAATTTCATTTATTACACATATAGATTATTTTGCTTTAAAAAAAGTTGTCAAATTTATTTTTAAATTGAAAAATAAATCCTAGATTTTTAGCACTTTTTTTTCTTTAAATTATGTAAATTCAGATTATACAGAGAATGCTTATATGAAAATGAAAATAGTCTTATCAACCGATTTTGTTATGCTTTCCACATAATTATGAACATTTCAGTAACATAAAACAATTTTGCGATAAAGATTGTTATGAATTATTGGTTACTAAATTGCTGATATGGTTGTATAAAACAATGCTGCAATATTTCAACACAGAACACAAGACTTTGATGCAACTAATTTGAATGTGAGAAATATAAAGAATACAAACCTTTGTATTTTCTTTAATAGCTTTTCTTACACATTCAATATTTGTGAAATCGGTAAATGTTGTTTCTACTCCCAATCTTTCTGATACTTTTCTGGAACATAATATTTTTGATAACATCATTTAATAAATTTCTTTGTATGTTTTGTATACTTTTTTATATAATATATTTACCTAAACAACCTATTGGTACCACCATAGACATCATCACATGATACTATGTGATCACCACTGTTGAGCAACGAAACTATAGTTGTTGTTGCTCCTAAGCCTGATGCAAAGGCTAAGGCGTGCTTTCCACCATCCAAAGCTGCTAAGCATTCTTCCAATGTATTTCTTGTTGGGTTTCCAGACCTACCATATTCAAATCCCTGGAAGGTTCTAGTTTATTAGGCATACTCAGAGCTATAAAAAATCACAACACATTGTACAACGTAGGACATGATTACATTAAATCTTAACAAAAATTGAAGACAAAGAAGTTCGGGAAAGCAAAAGAAATATTCACTACTTAATTATACTACACCATATTAATAATTGAGACATGTCTAATGCAATTTCATAGGATGATGCAATGTTTACTGTAAATGGCATAATACCATCCACTTTCAAACCTTGTATTTATTACAAGTTTCTTAAAATATTCAGCAAAAAGGAAATATTTCTATCATATTTATAATTTATATTTTTGGAGACCAGTGTGATTATTTACCGTGTGTTCTGCAGGCGCAGGCTGCTTGAAGGTTGTTGATGTCACTATAGGTGGTACAACAGCTGCAGAATTCCATTTTTCAGGATCCTGGCCAGCGTGTATAGCTATAGTGGAAAAACCAGCTATTTTGTTCAAGAATCCTTGACTAGCCATTGGGTGATGAAACTGTAAGAAATTACTCGGCTCGTAAATGGCGAAATTAAGGTTAATCCAAATGACCCCGACCAAACAGTTTAACCTAAATTAAAAGAAGACGCATCAGTAATTAAGGACTCCATTCAGAAATAAACATTAAGACATTTACAGCAGTATATTTTAAATAAAAAATACAGTAATTTTTATTTTATTACAACATTAAAAATTCTACTATTTTGTTCATTAAAAAGTTTTATGGTATATCTGAAATACCAATTTGCCTGTTACTAAAAATTGTTAAGATCGTCTAGGATTTCCAAAAGAACATTTTACTCACTATAAACACTAAACAGTAACTATTAGCCTTTGTTTAAAACGTTTGTCCGAAAAGTGTGTTGCAAAGACTACTGATTCTCTAAATAAATGATATACCGGCCGGAATTTCTCGCGAGATCGGTGCACAATACTAGACCACACACATTAGACGTCGAATGGAAATAATGAATGAACTTGAGCAAAACGAAATTATGAAATGACAATAATGACATGAACCCGGGAATAAGACGTTGGAAACGTTTCGGTTGACGGTATTTGTATAGAATAAAAATTAACAAACATTCGACTTTCAAGCAAATCATTGCAAAAGTATAGACTAGTTAATTTTTTCTTAATTGCAAAGTTATTATAACTGCTTAAATTAATAAAGTGTAATTTAGTTTGATTTAATATTAAAATAAAATAAAACTCATAGTGGCCTGAGAAAACTACCAAAGAAAACAATAATAATTCATAAGAGTTAACAATCGCTTTATTTCATGCACAATTTTATTCTAAAACAAATACATTTTTTATTTATCAACGAATAAAATGTGTAAAATAATAATAAAATAATAAGGAGCAATTACTTAACAATTATTCTATGTGGCAGAATGTTTTCTACGGCTGCCTTAACGATAAAATTTAAACATAATATATCATCACTCGTCCAGCATCTTCCCGCTAAAATTTGACAGCGCAGCGAGACATGGAGATACCTAGTACATTTTAGTTTGTTTGTTTGTGGTATTTAATTTTTACGATAATTTTAGTTTTATGTATAGTGTAGATATTGATAATAAAAACTTTAAATACCGTAACCTAAATATTCCCTAATTGAGAGAAAATGAAAATTGAAAGTAAACCACTAAGATATGCTCATGCGGAGGGACATACGGATGTGTGTTTTAGTGAAGATGGACAGTACGTGATAAAATTATAAGAAAATAATATGAACGTAATACTATTATTTTCTTAATTATTTATATTTTTTTTGCAGATTTATTATTACTTGTGGACATGATGGTGATGTAAGAATATGGGTTGATATAGAAGATGATGATCCAAATTCGCACTGCGTTGGAGAAAGTTGCTCTGGCTGTGTGTTTTAAGGATAAAAGATTGTATGTGGCAAATGATAACCATGCTGTGCAGGCATATACATTCCCAGCATTTGATAAAGATGGTATTGTTACAAGGTTTACTGCTCCAGTTACCCAAATTATGTCTTCATCCAAAATTGAGGTGAATTGGACGTTGACTTTCTTGTCTTTTTTTTATAAACTATTACTATTAATAGTTATCATGAGAATGGGATAAGTAACTGTGGAAAGGTGTATATTTTTTACCCTAATTTGTCTTTTATAATAATTAGTATCCGGCATATATGTTTTGACGAATCATTCAAAACATTTACTACTGTCTTACAGACCTTAATTGAAATTTTTTTATTATTGTTAATATGATTCTCTCATTGTTTATTATTTAAGGCCCTGGGATGTTGCTCGGAAAATATGGAGGCAAAAATTTGCAACCTAGATGGTGGAGCACCATTATTTGTTATGACAGAACACAAAGGCCCTGTACTTAGTGTTGCAATATGCCCTCATATGAAATATGCTGCGACAGCTTGTGGAGATGGTGCTTTAAGAATATGGGATATTGACACACAGAAAGTTGTAAAAGAAGTTTCATGTGTGCCTAAAATAAACACATTCTTTGCAGCTAAAGTTTTATGTAAGTATTTAATTTTAAAGGAAGAATTAAAGCCTGTGCTGAATGTTTTCTGATAAAAAAACTAACAAAAAAACTAACTTTATATTTATTGATTGAGATTATAGATAACATGAACATAATAGAAATAACAACTTCCTAAGACTTTTGCAATTAAGTTCAAATCTCTTAATAGTCACAGAGTCTGTGACTACTTCACCCAGGTAACAATTCATATCTGTTTTAGGTAGGATAAGTTTTGAACCATCAGATGGAAAGTATTTGGCATATCCTAATAATAGAGAAGTTATATTATTGGATTCTGAAAATTGGGGGCAGAGAATGTCATTCACCCATACTTTGGTTAGTATTTTTGTATATTGTTTTTTTTTTTTTAATTATGACCTTATTTTTTAATTTTTACCTGTAAAAAGTAAAGTAAATTAACAGCCCATATACATGTCTACTGATGTGCAAAGGCCTTCTCTATACAGAGGGCATCAAGGCATAGTGCACCACATGACACCATCGTGGATCGACCAACTTCTCATATCTTCGAAATATTTTTTTTTTAAATATGTGGTTACATTACGATGTTTTTCTTTACTGTTGAGCATCTAATAAGTCAGCACTTAAAATTAACAATTTCATTAGTGCCGGCACAGGGCCTCAAACTCACGTTGCTCGAGTAAATTGAAATAAAGGATAGCTTCCGAACACTGGAGCTATCACAGCTTCTGTCCTTAAAAACATAAAAAATACTAATAAATTAATAATATCAAAACCTCAAACTATTTTTTTATATTTGAAAAAATAACATGTATTTAAAAACAATTATACACTTTAATTCTATTTGAAAAATAATTAAATATTTTTTTATTTTATATTGAAAAAAAGAATAATTTTGTTAAAATTTTACTTTCAAGATAAAATGTGCAATATCACACTGCTTATTTTCACCGTGTGGTAAATACTTGGCTGCAAGCACTGTGGCTGGTCAAATAGCCGTTTGGGAAGTTGAGAATGGCTCATGTATAGGTTTAATTGAGCATCCTACATCACATAATGTATCAGCTATGGCATGGAAACCAAATGGTCTGTATGAAAATTTAAATTTAACAAATTTAGGAAAAATGTATCCTCTATAATATAGAACAATAGAGAAAAAATAAAAATGGAACAATTAAGTGCTTAAATTGATTAACTTTGCAGTGTCATATTACCATTAATTTCATTGAAACCTAAGGATAATTGAACTTGATACATGTTTTTGGTGACTTTTATTACAGGTAATGGTGTCCTTGTGTACTGTGATGTAGCTGGCCAACTAGGAATGTTAGTTAACTGTTTTGGGAGGGAGAGCAGTAAACCTGAGGCAGGTGGTGTGTCTGAAGATATAGAAATGGTTGAGAAAGACGATGGTGAGAGATGTTATAATTTCTGACCCAAATCCTTTTTATAACTTTTTGGCCAAGACTAAGTCTTAAGTGATACATATTTTATTTGGTCTAGGTTTAGTAGCCTCATACTATATTCTCCTTAGCAATATATATTTAAAGAAGAATATACGAGGACATTCAAGTAATATGCAAGCAAATTTCGAGGGATGTGTTTGCAAGTAATATGTTAGCAATTTTCATTTACCTGGTAAATATTGTGCTCACCTGAGTGATATCCCACTCATAAAAAATTTTAATATCTGATCTAATTTCTTTTCTAAGATAATTATTCAAATGGCCTTAAGTTGAACTACCTTTTTCATTGACTGCCTTCCCTCCGTGACCCAATCTTGGAACGTAATCGATTCCAGACAACGATGACCTGGTCAACAACCTCATCACCAACTATGAGAGCGACGACGACGCTATCTCGTTGGAGAGGATGAAGAACGAGACGTTTGGCGTGCGGGCGCAGGGTGCGGAGGGGGAGGGGTCGCGGCCCGAATCGCGCCAGCTCGCCGCGCACCCCGCCTCGGTGCCCCCACAGCCGCCCTTCCAGCCGTCCTCCACGCCCGCACATTTGGAGCACAGGTAGTCAAATCATACCTATTACCGTACTGTAGCAGCGTAGATCAGTACGCTACGGTCGTAGCAGTTCTGTCACTATGTGAATAGACGATCTGTTGAAAATATGCTTTTGGGACAGGTCTATTTGATGATGGAATCCTGTTTAAGAACCCGATAAATTTATCCTAGGGAAGATGGTTGTTAATAACAAGCGGATTCTTAGCAACAATAGGCGTCAGTCTACCCTAGATTAAAGTGTCATGTGCTCTGTGCTCATGCTCAATTTAAAGGTGTACTATAATATTTTGTAGGTGTTCACTCATAGGGCATTATCAGTAAAGGCACCTGGGTAAATGTTCGTATAAATTTAATGGTTAAGTATTGCAAAATGATATCATTCAAAGCCAAGAGTTAGGTAATAGCTAATGTTCCAATAACCTGTATATTTATGTGATATTTATGATTGTAGCAGTTCAGTGTATTCACATACAATTGAAAATTACAAAATTTAAAAAAGTGTTTCAATAAATAAAAATATTCACATTTTAGGTATATGTGTTGGAATGATGTTGGCATAGTAAGATGTCATACTGGAGAAAATGGCGAGTCCAGCATAGATATTGAGTTTCACGACACAAACTTGCATCATGGAATCCATTTAAATAACTACCTTAACCACACAATGGCCAGTTTGTCTACATCTGTATTGGCTCTGGCCTGTGAAACTCCAAGGTAAGATCTATTTTTAAATCTTAAATAATGTATATATTGGTTGCATAATACCTCTTTATGTTACAAGATAATAACTTAAACAACAAATTTAACATACAATTAGTAATAGGACCTGAAGGCAAATTAAAGCTTAGGTGTACAGTTATGACATAATGAAATTGTGTACAAAGCCACATCTTTTGTATTATCATTGAGTTGATATGCCAAAATCCAATAAGTATTTAATTTTATCTAATATATAAAATTCTCGTGTCACGGTGTTTGTAATTGAACTCCGAAACGGCTCGACGGATTTTCGTTCACGGTAGAGAACCGGAAAACATCTATTTTTCATCCTCCTAAATGTTAAGGGTGGTCCACCTTAAACAGTTTTTTCTACCCCACAAATTCCCTAGAAATAATTTATATGGGAGAACAACATTTACCGGGACAGCTAGTAAAATATAATATGGTTGGATTTTCCAGCAAGTTAGTGTGCATATCACTTGTGGGCAGTAGCAAGGAGTGGAGCGTATCAATGCCGGATACTGAGGAGATTCTATGTGTGACTGCGACTTCCGGCCTCGTGGGCTGCGCTACCAACGCGCGCCTTCTAAGGCTCTTCACTCCCATGGGCACCCAGAGGCAGGTGAGTCCTTATGTTTTGTCTTACTTATATCTTCACTTAAGTGTTTATAACTTGTCTCGAATTTACTTTGAAGTTATCTATATAAATATCTTTGCAGGTAATATCTTTATCGGGTCCAGTTGTAGCTTTATCTGGATTCAATACTACAATTGTTGCAGCGTACCATGTAACTGATCCTGGCATTTCAGACCAACATCTTGCTATGGACATAATAGCAGTCAATGGTAAACATTTATATGTATTAATAACAAAGTGGTGACATCACATAGTTAATTGTCAAATTTATGTTTGTCTTATAGATTTATATGCCTGACTCAAGCTCAAATGCATAAATCCATACAGAGTGGTTTTCAAAGTGGTTTATAAAAGCGAAAGGTTTTCCTCATATATTCCAGTAAACTTACAGAAGCAGGTTGATATACTATATATTTTGTTGAAGGTAGGCAAGTTCGATGCAAAACAGTGCAACTGCCGCTCACCCCAAGCGCCAGATTGGCATGGATTGGCACAACTGATGCAGGTTCTCCATGCACTTACGACAATACAGGCGTCCTGAGGCTGTACGACGTCGCCAGCGGACTGTGGATGCCCATATGCGACACGAGCACACATTCTAAAGGGGTTTCCGATACGTGGTTTATAGTTTCGGTAAGCTACAATACATATTACAGACAATCTATATGGAATGCATAATTGATTTGCACAAAAATGATTTTTGGAAAATGTCATAAATCAGACTCCCGATTGTGTTGGGTGACTTCACAATTTCGTGACAACTCAACAAGCTCTGCTTTTTTTTTATTTAATAAGTAGTCAGGCAGTCCTGCGGTTAAATGGATACCGCCGCCCATGAACATCTACAGCACCTGAGGGGCCTGCACATGTGTTGAGAACCTTTAGAAAAGTGGGCCCTTGTTACCTCATTAAATAAACGGAACGCGAACTATCATAGCATCCACTTCACTGCTAGCCCTGTTAGTGACACAAGACAAATTATAATAATTTTTGTTTTTAATGTAAATTATTAGTGCCTCAAATTTAAATTAAAATTTTCCTGTATGTACTGAATAAATAGTGGTAAATCATATCAAAGATACATTTATCAACCAAAATTTCGTTATGTTGTAGTACTTATATGTTAGTAATATAATTTAGCATAGGCTCAGCTAAGAGTCTCTTGAGTAAAACAAAAATTTAATTAGGAACCAAATTTGCTTATGCAATGATTTGATGCTTTTACAAAAAATTTCAGATCAGCGAACCGACGCAGGCGGTACGGGCCATTTTGTGCAGAGGAACCTCTTTTCCTGTCACAGTGCCCAAACCAATTGTCACAGAACTACCTATTCAAGTGAGTGTTCTCAACGTAGATGTAATTATATGGATGGTTTAATATTATGAGCCGATCATTCGAATTTAAGTGGCGCTTTCGCTAGCTTTCCACTTGCTTCTGGAGTTTAATAAACTTGGTGGAAATTGGATTTGGGATGAGTTAATGAACACATTTTAATATACTGCAAAACACATTCATAATCGTCTTCTATTTCCTGGGTCAATTCTACCGTCGCACCTTGTACTAATAGTTTAGTTACCGATTTTCTAAATGTTGTGTTAATGTTAAGGATGCAAAGTCGGTACTAAATGGATAGTGTTAGCAACTCAGTGTACCCCATTGTGGCTAAAATAATTTTTTATTAGATAGACCAAATTTTTTTTTATTTATATAGTAAAGTAACTGCCTATATATGTCCCACTGCTGGGCAAAGGCTCCCTCTGTACACTTGTAGTATTAGGGCACAGTCCATTACGCGACCAAGTTGACAATTAGTAGGCTTCACATTTTTGAGAAATTTTTCTCTATTATTTCGAAAACATGCAGATTTCCTCGCGGTGTTTTCCTTCACCGCATTACACATGATAAGTCACCCCCTAATATTGAAATCAAACATTTCACTCGTGCCGGTATCGTGATTGAACTCCGGTTGTTCGAGTACGTTGGTTAAAAACGAGCACCTAGACTCTTTCACTAAGCATGAATGCGTGATGTATTTCAGATCCCTCTCTGCGAGCTGGACACTGAGAAGGGGCAGTACGAGGAGCAGCTGGTGCGCTGGGCGCATACCACCGCTGACGTGGACGTCAAGGCCGCACGGGAGACCGCCCTCAAACTGTTCGCGGTGAGCCACACACATGCACACCATGCAGTTTTCTGTGGTAGGGCGACGCAACAGCTTTTGCTTTGCATGAATGGGCAGGCCCGTCAGAGGTGGTGCCACGGCATAACAGAAGATCGGCGTGACATGGAAGCTGTTATACTTTCGCGTTTCGTCTGGTGGGTGAGGTAAACAGGGCCCACTTTTTTAATGGTTGTCAACGCATTTGTGAGCCTCTCATTTACATTACATTTCCATGAGCGAGGGTCTCCACTTAGCATCAGATGGACGGCCTGTTCGCTTGATAACTTCACTAAAAAAACTCGTAAACTGAAAACACATTCTGAACCGTACAATTGTGGGTGAAGGTACTAACGGTTTGCTTTCCACTTAAGGGATCTGAGAAAATATTTTAATGAGACAGCTAATGCGCAAGCTCACTAGTAATACGCAAAGTCAATCATACAGTAGTCTTTATCCATTAATCAGCAAACTTATATAATACATCAAACTATTCATTTGTTATATTACAAGTAAATGTTTAAATTATTGTAATGAAATTATTTACTTTATTTACAGTTAGCCTGTCGCAGTGAAATAGAGCAAAGAGCGCTAGAGCTGATGGAACTACTCAAGGACGACAGACTACTACCGCTAGCAGCCAAATACGCCTCGAGACTAGGGCGAATCCACCTAGCAGATAAATTGGGTGATCTTGCTGAGAAATGGGAGAAAGAAGCCGATAAACTGAATGTGGCCCACAACTCTCACTTCCTAGAGCTGGAGTCACAAGAGACCTACGACGTCACGAACACACAGCAAGAGGATCTGAACACAAGTCTTATCATTCCCCAGAAGGTGAAGAAGAAGGTCGAAAACGTCACGCCTATCAAACCGGCTGTAAGTGTTATCCGTTGTAATCACAAATAATTATGCAATTATCTTGTTATGTACTTTACTAAATATAAACAGTCGTCTTCTTTAATAAAAATTGTGCGTATTTTGTTTGATGGATAAAATACTGCAGAGTGTACCAATACTGTAAATGTGTGAAATTACTAAGTTGGTACCAAAGTCAATCTCAAAAATTATAAAATAGTCAATATTTTTGATATGAATTTTACTCGGTCATAACATAATTTCCATGAGATGTCAAATTCTAAAAGCAATGAATTGGTAAGAATTTGACATCTCATAGACACGTATTTAACATAAACTTTAACAGAAAAAAAATACTATTGGATAATGAAAATTAGCTACGCACGAAAAGATTATAGAGAATAAAAGTGTTGAAACATCGTTTTGCGTCTTTTATCTGCCGTATTAAATATTGTTACACTACATTTTTAGCCTATAAAGTCGTCACCGGGCGGTGGAAGGAATCCTTTTAGAAAACAACAGGATTCCGCCAAAAATGTTCAGAGCCCTCTAAGTTTGACTGAAAGGACCTTAGTGGAAGTACATGCGACCAGCAACTCAACTGAAAATAAGGACGTAAGTATTTAAAATTTCAATTGAGTTTTGATAAGAATGTTTATGGACATTATTATCAAAACTCAATTGATATTGACATACTAGAAGTGGGCGATACAAATCGTATCAGATATGAAAACTAGATATTAGTACAATATCCGAATATCGCTTACTGGCTCGTTCAATATCTATGTATTTTACAATATCTGATATTTCCGAAATCTGAGGTACCGTGCTCGCTCGCTATACCGACACGCGATATCATACGCGTTTGCCACAATATCTGATTTTTAAACAGATTTCGAGAGACAAAGCGCGTGAGATACAAATACTCACTAGTTAGAGCGGGACGGCAAGCAATGCACGATATCAGATTTTTAAACAGATATCGAGCGACAAAGCGCGTGAGATATAAATACTCACTAGTCAGAGCGGGACGGCAAGCAATGCACGATATCAGATTTTTAAACAGATTTTGAGCGACAAAGAGCGTGAGATACAAATATTACACTAGTTAGAGCAGTACGGCAAGCAAGGCACAATATCAGATTTTTAAACAGATATTATGAATAAGTTAAGTAATTTTGAATCTTAATACCATTTAAATAAGATCCGTTTTATTTAAATACTGATCATGGTATCAACGAGTACTACAACGATATTATTATATTTTTATTCTTTTGTTTAGCCTTGAGCCGTAACGGCCGACAAAGCGCGCAGTTAAGTAATTTTGAATCTTAACGGCATGGAAAAAAACTCTGTTGCACTTAAATACGAATTACGGTATTAACGATGTCTTTAAATTTTGTTTAGCCTTGAGTTGGATTGCATTGGTACCTAGCACGTAATAGTAAGGGATGAAAAATATACAATGGAAATTTTTTAGGAGGTATTTTTTTTTTGTGAATATTTTTATTAGTTAAATTTTATTCATATTTTTGGAAAAAAATAAAACTACATAAAAAGAAAAATATAGTTTAATAGTGCTGTGCTGCTTTGGTGGAAATCAGACCAAGGCTTATGTGCCTTGTGTGTATATTTTAAAATTCATCCGCCCTAAGTTATAATACTGAATGTATTATTTCTTACACAAATTCTAAAAATATTGTCACTCATGATTGCGTGTTCTAAAAATATGTTAAAGTCAATTATTAAGCGATATATAAGATGTTAAAATAAATCATTTTTATATTACTTCAATTTCTATTTTTAATGAAATTTTTAATTTAATGAGGTAATTTTGTTTGCTAATGTTTAAATTTTACCTTAATAGTATAAAAAATCGTGATGTTAAATTCAGTAAGTTTTTGGAATTTAGTAAATTTTAGTGGGTTTTCGAATTTATTTAGGAGTATTCTTTTTGAAGAGTTGGTATCACTGGTAATGGTAATAGTAATGGTAATTTCATATTTTTTTTTTTTTTTTTTTAGAATTCAAGGTGGATACGGGACCGTAAAATATTTAGATATTAAAATACATAGTTTCGAAATCTGATATTTGAAATCGAAATCTGATTCAGATACTGTACTCAGAAAAAGCGATACGACCCATCTCTATGACATACAGATTGTTATGTATTCTTACACACATGTTTTTACGTTAATAATTTATGTTAGAGAAGTTTTGTAACTAATATTATATTTTAGTACACATTCATAGTACTGAACTTATTTACATACAAACAAGGGGTGATCAAGAAATAGAAGTAATGATAATTACTTATTTCCAGTTCGGAAAAATTAAAAAAATTACTACCTCATATACCCACAGTTTAGGTTAGCATGAAAAAATCATATGAAAAGGCCAAAAAAAAATTCAGTGGAATACGCACCGTTGAAGAAAAAAACATCAAAACGGAGAAAAAAGGAATTATTAGACATTAAAAAACTTTCTACCAGACATACACGACGATTTGGTGGAAACATTACGGGACTTGGCTCGGCTCCTACATATTCCACCATTGCATAAATGGACAAAGAGTTTAATGTGAGAAAATATACAGGGTGGCTTTTCTAAAGATGCCCAAATTCACACAGGACGTTCAGACTCTGTAGTATAATTGTTTATTAAAATAAAAACAAAAAATTTTTTTTTTTCAAAAAATTGCCATTCCCTTTCCTAAAAACAGAACTTGTTGATAATGCGGTAGTCATTCATAAATTGCGTCGTATACTTTTGAAACGAACTTGTGTGCGTGTAAATTATGAATGATCGCGCGTAAAATAAATGAGTTGCCCATAAATCACGCACTTTTTGAGATAAATTCAAATGAATGTATTTAATTAATTACGAGTGGTTTTATATATTTATCATTTTTTATATACCATTATTTATGTATAGAATTTAATAAAAAAAAATGGATACGCTTAGAAAAGCCTCTCCATATACTGAACATGAATACTGCGGAGGACGTCCATCCACGCCCCGCACTGAAGACAAAGTGAAAAAAATTGAAGATGTCATGTTGTCAAAAAGTGACCATCGGCCAAGTAACTGACTAAGATCACACGGATCTTGTGTCAGTGTTGAAAGAATCTTTGTCAACGAATTACATATGAAGAAATACCCCGTTCAGCGTTGGGTACCGAGAATATTAATCGACGAGCAAAAGAAGAATGCCGTTCCGTTGTTCGGAGATAGGTGAGAAGTCGTAGAAGAGAAGAAGAAGATGAAGTGAGGCGTCAACAGCTGATAGCAGAGCGTGGTTGCCCTATTTTGTTATTAGAGGTTTAAAGTTCTACGTAATCGAAATATAGACTCGATACAATACAGCTGTACATTAAGGTGATAGTTAAATTTAAGATGTCGCCGAGACATATCGTCCAACATTCACGTGGTATGTATTTGCGACTTCGGGCGATAAAGTCGCTCAATCTTTTCCTTATTCACAATAACCAGTTAGTCCTGTTAATGCTACTTAGATTATTTATTCGGAAGACAATAGCAAAACGTAAAGAAAAAGGTGGGTGTGTTCGAGAATATTTGCTACAAAGGTAAAAAGTTTGATAAGCAATCTTCGAATGCGCGACGGGGCTTTCAAAAATTTGATTTGAATGTCTAGAACCGATTTCGAAATACTTTTAAATATTGGGCCAGCTACAGTTTTTTTTTTCTCCCTGAAACTGAAAAAGTTTGTATTTTCAACTCTGCTTAATTTCTGGGTATATTTAATGTAGTAGACTCCCATCTAATCACGATGTGAAGTATCCCACAACAATTAAGAATGTTAGTGGCGCGTGAGTAATCGAAGCTATATTTTTACCCTTCTACTCACATTTTAATTATGTTATTTTTAAATGGATTAAATTAAGGATAATACGGACTTTTGTGTTTCAAGTGGTAGTGATGTAATGGAAAATCAGACAGAACTTGAAAGTGACCAACAATTTAATTTGATTCTAACTTATGAAATGAATATGAATGAAAAGTGTGAGCAACGAGTTATAGAATTATTTTTCTAAAAAAAAGGTGGCAACCCTAGTTATATTCATTGTCGTTACTTTTGTGTCACCCCCCTGTATATATTACTATTGCTTTTTCTACAAAACAAAATGTGTGAAGGAAATCATCGTGAGGACACCTGGATATACGAAGCAATAATAAAAAATATTTCGCAGGGTCGTTTGATGTATTATTGCCTGATTAATTAATACCCTCCGTGCCGAGGCCTTTGCACAGCAGTTTGACACAATTATACCCATAGCCTTCGAAACGGTGGTTGTTTAAAATAAAAATAAAACGCAATGAAACTGATTTTATATTTATTTAAATGTGTAATAAATTTTTAAGTTCACTCAAAATATAAGTGTTATTTTAAACCCTATCTTTGCGACAGCCCCTCACGCCGCTCGAGGGCGAAACGTTCGTGGACTGGTTCTCGCGGAACAAGTGCTCGTTAGAGCAACAGCACTCAGACCTGACACCGGCGGAGCTGACGCGCCAGGGGATCAGGACCTTCAAGAGCGTCCAGCTCAAAACTGGTGGCAACGGGGAGGGGGCCCAGAAGCGGAAACTCGACGACTCCACCGAAGCGGACCCTCCCGCCTCCAACGCCCCCAAGCAATCGAAACTCAGCGCCTTTTCCTTCCATAAAAAATCGTAACTGCCTTTGGGACGTGCTGTTATTGAATTGTTGTAATTTTGAGATTGTTTTAAAGCCTTAATAGACTCCGTTTAATGAATGAATGAGTTAATACGAGAATGCATTCTTTTGGTACGGCCGTATATTTAAATAAAAACTTCAATGGCACGTAATAGACCTGTTACTAAATAATTCATTACAATATTTCTTTAAGTACAGTCTTGTTTTCTTGATTTTACGCGAATATTATACATATTAAATGAAACTACTTTACGGATTTTATCGCGTTTTTTATTTTAATTTAAATTCCCGACGTTTCGAACCCTTTCCAGCGTTCATGGTCACGGGACAGACTAAGTTGTTAGACGTCTTGATGTCATAGTTAACCCCGGCTACCGTCAATTATTTTGTTTATTTTTATTCCGATCCACGCAGAAGGAGCTTATGGTATGTTGAGGTCTGGCAGTGTTGGTGTGCTTGGATTTAATTTTATAAATTATGGGATCCCAAGCAGATGATAAACTCCAACCATCTTCTCTATTGAAATTAGGATGTTTCTTTATTTCAATAGCCTCGCGGATCATCCTTGGAAGGAATCGGTGTTCTTTTGCGAGGATTTTCGCTTGATCAAATCTACATTAGATTTGTGGTTGGGGCGGTCTAAAATATGATCACAAACTGCAGACTTCTTCAACCGTCGGTGCTTCACGTCAGCTATGTGTTCTTTAATTCTGGTTTTAATTGATCGTTTTGTTTGTCCTATGTAAGAGAGCCCACAATCGCAGTCAAGCTTGTACACTCCTGGATCTTGTAGAGGGATATTACACTTGATAGATGGTAAAAATTGACTTATCTTCTTCGGTGGCTTGAAATATGTTTTAATTGAAGCACGCTTCAAGATATAGCCAATCTTGTCAGTGACTCCTCTGACATATGGCAATACAGCAGGCACTCGCTCGACTGTGGCCGGTTTCACTCGGTCACTGTGACGCAGGCGCGGGATTTGGAGCTTGTTGTCACGCAGCACTTGCTTGACATTGTGTAGCTCAGCGGCCAGGTGTTCCGTGTCACAGATCCCTCGTGCTCTCTGTAACAAACATTTACCAACAGCAGCTAACTGTGAAGGGTGGTGGTGAGAATCACCATTTAAATATTTATTTGTATGGGTCTCCTTTCTATACACAGTATGGCTCAAGGTGTTGTCAAAATTTCGGATGACTAATACATCTAGAAAAGCTAAGGAGTTACATGTCTCTAATTCCATAGTGAATGTAATTTTAGTGTGTAAGGAATTGAGGTGGTTTAGAAATAAAGAAACATCCTAATTTCAATAGAGAAGATGGTTGGAGTTTATCATCTGCTTGGGATCCCATAATTTATAAAATTAAATCCAAGCACACCAACACTGCCAGACCTCAAGATACCATAAGCTCCTTCTGCGTGGATCGGAATAAAAATAAACAAAATAATTGACGGTAGCCGGGGTTAACTATGACATCAAGACGTCTAACAACTTAGTCTGTCCCGTGACCATGAACGCTGGAAAGGGTTCGAAACGTCGGGAATTTAAATTAAAATAAAAAAACGCGATAAAATCCGTAAAGTAGTTTCATTTAATAAGTACAGTCTTTTGGATGTAAAGTTTCTACTAAGTGTTAAGTAATATAAATTATGACGCAACTTAGCTTTTAACGGTTATTTATAGTTAATAGTCAGCTGTGTATATATTATTTTTTTTATTAAAAGACGTGAATATGTAGAAGTTGTTTTTTATTTAACAGACAAGATATTTTTATGCATTGGCAAGTTCTGCTTCGTCAGGTGGGGGGAATATTCCTTCCTTGAACATACGCTGCCATTCGCTGCCATTGGGGTATGTGTATTTTTGTAACGTTTCCGGTAGGAATTGCGTACTGTATCCGGGCAACTATAAAAATAAAATCATTAGGCATTAAAATTAATAATATAATCTGAATCATTACCTGCCTCTTTTTTAATAGTCGAGTGCAATGTTTTTATATTAATATTCGAAAATGGGAAAAAGCATAGCATCAATAACTCTAAACAATTAAAACTTGTAGAAAAAGTACAAAAAGATTGTCGCCGCTGTGGGTTTGGGAATCGAACCCATTCATAAAAAGTCTTCAAAATGAAAGTTAAGGCTCCGGTTTTCAACCTTAATCAAAACAAATAGATATCATGGTTGTAGAAGATATACAGGTGATTTTATCGACGACAGACATTAACAGAGCATACGCAGAATTTGATTCTAAATATGATTCTGGTACGTACTTTGTGAACTTTTTTTTTTTAATTATTTTTAATATTTTCAAGCATTATGGACAACCTATTAGATATTCCTGCCTAACCGTCTCCATAGAATAACCTATTTACGAGCACTAAAACTGTTCGCTGAACGCATAATTACTAAGCCGCTTATCAATAGGGGACCACTCTTAACGGGATAAACAAACCATGTTTGAATTGATATTTTTCTGGTTATTTCTTGTCAGAATAAAATATTAATATTTTTTTTTTGAATTATGGAATGCTCAATTAACATTATGACAAAGTATGTACTTCGTCTAAAAAATCACCCTGTATGTGTGGGACGCGTTAAAAAAATATGCTATTATTGTAGGAAAAATACTGTAAGTGTGCATTGTATGTTAGTATTATCAAGTTGTATATTTGCTTGCCTTGGGAGCGAGATATCTAGCGTTCTCCACTACGCACGGATCGTAGAAATGCTCGTGCTGCTGGTCCACATACTCGATGAGGCGCCCCTCCATGGTGCCGGAGAGGCTGGCGAAGTCCCAATATTGCAGATGCTGCACCATCTCACATAGGCCCACGCCGCCGGCGTGCGGGCAGACCTTCACTGAGTTCATACAAGGGAATTTTGAAAGCGAAGAAAGACATGTAAAGAATGTCTGCTTCGGAGCAGAAAATTCGTTAGATGGCGCCCGAATATTTTAAGTGGAATTCCATTAACCACAGATATTACATAAACAATGCACACCCCTTTTGCTACTTTCACAACCGTATATCATCTAGACATGTAAAGTGGACTTACGGAAACTTTTAGAATTTTTATAGACGTTCAGTATAAAATTGCCTTCAAGTTAATTCAATTATCACGTCAGTGACTTCTACCAAACGCTTAAAGACGATTTATGCTGTTACCATTGAGTTTCTCGGCCATCAAATAAACAGCAAGTATTTCATTGATGCCACCGATGCGCGCAGAGTCAATTTGGCAGTACTGCATACCGTCGCTTTGTAGGAACTGTTTGAACATCACGCGGTTAGCGCACATTTCTCCCGTTGCGACGCCAATATTGTAAGGCCTAAAATGTAAAACGAGTACAATAAACATTTTACTCGGCATTAAACTATCCGTTCTTCGAAACGTATTAACTATATTTCTTAGGTATGTATATTACATATTTTAGAAAGATTAGTAAATATAAGAAATGTGCTTATTGCTCAAAAAATTACATTAAAATATTTCATTTTATGTTTAACCTATTGTATAAAGGGACGCTCGGAGATGTTATGGTGTATATGTACAATGAAATGGTATGGATCTAAGGATAAAATACGTAACAGTTGATTAGGTATTGTTTACTTTTCTACGTCACTACATACTTTAAGGCCTTTGAAATAGCAGCGTGCCCCAGAACGTCATCGGGAGACGTCGGTTCCTCTATCCACATAGGATTCAAGGGAGCCAGGCTCTTCATCCATTCAATCGCCTCATTAACGCTCCAAGCTTGATTTGCATCAACCATCTGTCAGTGACAAATCGATTACTTATAGCATATTTATTAAAAGGTTATCTAATAATCCGATAATAGGTCGACTTATCTATCTTATTTAACCGTTTAGCTGATGACTAGACACTTCGTCAATACTTTGCTTTAATTTTTTTAATATTACAATGCTGTGGTGTGAAATATTAGTCACTAAAGTTTTTTTTGTTGAAACGTTGTTAACATATATATACCTTTTATAGAGAAAGAAATAAGTTAATTATTTGACATATTTACTACTTTTTTCTCCACCAAGCACACACTACAACTCACCAAAAACTTGTCGTCACCGATATATTTACGAACGGCACTGCATCGTCTATAATCGTCCTCCAAGTTAAGACCTACTTTGACTTTGAAGTGGTTGAATCCTAGTTCCAGATATTTATCGCATAATTGCTTTACTACTTCATCGCTGTAGCCCATCCAGCCTGAAACATCGTTGTACTTTTCTCACCGTAAAACATATTTTATAGATCACAAAGTATGAATATTTTCATAGCCCGAAATAATTGACATTATAAAACCGAACCCAGTGTTAATTTTTAAAACTAGTTTTTAACTAGATTGCATTAAAATTATAACTTGGTATTTCTCTATAGAAATCTATTTTTCGCGGACACCCTAATGAAACAATGTACCTTAAGTCAACAAGTAAATAAACTAATGAAGTCTCATATTTGCAATTATAGAATTAGAAATACCGCGTGCATATCCGTACTACCGGATACCATACCATACCGTATCTACCTATCTTTGGCAGTGGGGTAGGAACTAAAACTAAATCACTTTAACAGGACAGATTAGTTCAAATTTATATTATAATCGTATATGCTCATATAAACTATTTGACGTAATGATGTTTTATCTTTGTTATTATTTATTTAGATATACGTAAGTGTCTGTAGCCTTACCAACTTGGGTAGTATAAGCTGGATAACCGTTATCCTCCAAATATTTTACTCTGTTTTGTTCGCCGGCTTTTTTAATTTTCAATAATTCAACAGCCTCATCTTTAGTAATAACATCGGTTATGTAACGAAAGTCAATCGTGGACACCAACTCCTGTTAAGAAAACATTTGTGATAAGAACTGACCAATTTGTTATGATAACCTGAACGATGTTTTTATAAATTGTTATGTTGACTCTGGCTGATAAAATAATTATACACAACAAAGCTTACATACTTATACACATCGTTTCGTCCTTAACTCTCGATCGGCTTGGCGAGACGAGCGCCTTATTTAAAAAATGTACGTTTCTAGAGACAATTGTTTCGCCAGCGCTAGGACAGTCCATCTACCGGAAAAAACCTTTGCATCTAAGAATTATTTATTAACAGATTATTATAACTTTTATAGTCACCTCAGGATCCATATCCACAAGTAGTCTCCATAACGGCTTGTTTTCGAGCCTCGCCCAAAGGTCCCAAAGCGAATTTAATATGGCAGCTACCGCCAAATGTATTGCGCCTTTCTCGGGGCCTATCTGAAGGGTAGATAGTAAATTCAGAAGTATATTAATCACTTAAACATTCGTCATTATAATTAATGTTGGATTTTACAAATTTTTCGATGGTATAGCAAAATATAATTTCGTTAATTACCAAAACTTACAATCTCGCACGTTTTGCAAATCTGTAGTAATGGGGTAGGTAGATAAGGGTAAGGTATATTGTAAAGCTTTATTATAACTAGTTATCACTTAATTATGCTTACTATATACCTACTTAAAAGAGATTATTAGCATAATGTGTATTCGGAATGAAAGAAATTTCACACGCGTATTTTTAATATTCCAATTTTCGTATAGTTATTTTTAGTGTCTCAAAAACATTCGCATACTATATGATATACGAACCCATCTCATTTGCGAGTCATTTGTGATAGCACGCCAAAATCCAGCAAAGTCGGCGAATATGTCCGCCGCGTTTTTACCCAAAATGAATTTCTTCAGAGCTCTGATGGTGAATACCACGACTTCGGTGCCACGGCCGCAGGTGAATGTCAGCCCATAGCCCTGCTTGCCGTTCTCTGTGGTGATGGTGACGTAAGCACAGGAGTAGTTTGGATCAGTATGCTGGAATTTTGTAGTACTTGCATTAAAATAGTGATAAAAAGTTATAATTTGCATTAAATTACAAAAAACATGATGAGATGACGCTCGAAGTATGTATACTTTTGAATGTTTATGATTATTTTATATGTTTAAATGAATTGCTAAGTACTGAGGGAATGAATTTTTTATTATAAGAATTCGTTATAATTTAAGTATACAATTGATGTACGACCAATTACCAGCACTGCTTTTAGGGCCCTTTTATTTTTTTAAAAGTTGTCAACGGTTTTGTAGATATTTAAGGCGCCGGTATTCACTTATCTTAGGTGTCCCGCTTGCTAGCTAGACCTTTTTTTATAAAAGGTGTTTTGGTATCTGCCTGCTAATCTGCAACTACCCGCTGTTTTCACCAAATCGCTATAAAGCATCCTTGATTACTATCACAAACTGATTCAACCACCATAAAATAGACTTTTACATAAATTCGTCTTGTGCAGTGCATTTCTTTCGAAAAATTTTAATTAATTTCTAATTATAAAAATTTATTAATATAGGGTTCGAAACCTCGGAAATTAAAAAAAAATCACGATAAATCCGTAGAAAAATACTTAGGTGCCTTTAATAAATATCTAAAAGAACCTACGTAAGAAATTATCCTGATAATGTATTTTCTTGCATTTCGTCACAGAGGTTACTCGCTCGATGTATGTGTTTTGAGTTAAAAATCATATAATATTTACATCAACTGAATATCTAGATATAATGTCTAAATATTGTATTTAATAATTACCAAAGCGTCTGATCCATGTCCACCTAGCGATGTTGGGAATCGTACGTCTTTTACGTCTATCTGCACAATTTTCAAGCCGGTTCTTTCGGGTACGGGCATCTCGTCGCAATGTCACTAACAATTGAGACGGTTTTAACAATCGCCACGTATCCGACACGCGCCGATAACCTTGTTTAGCTTAAATAATGTCTACACAAAATATATCTTCAATACCTACTCGTATAAACATAATGAAATGCAAGAAACTCCCATCTTCTATATCGTTTTAACTTCGGTAAATCATATTTAGACTATTAATTTTGAAATCAAAAACGTTTACCAAAAAGTGTGAATTGTTTTATCTAGGATTTTATTTAAATTTTCACTAGTGTATATCGGCTATTCTAATTCCTTTATATACTATATTGTATACTTAACCTGAAGTCCGGATTTTATACAAATCACTATATATCTATATTTTTTTCTTTTCTCGCTAGTCCAGTTACCATTTTAGAACAGCCTTTACCTATAAAAGCGTAACGTAAAGTTCATTTGTAAAGGTCACAAAGCATATGAATGGGTTGAATGACTTTAAAAGAGACAAAACATACTGTTAGAAGGAGAGGCTTGTAATGCGACGCTGTGGCGCGAGTTGTATAGGAGGTTACAAATTTTGTTTCTTTTTTACTTAATTAGTTTGTTTGAAAATATTTTTTTTAATTATGGATTTTCTTTTACGTTAATATTTTTTTATGATTATTGGCTCGTAGCGTTAGACGTGTGTTCATTTATTGTCGCGATGGTAACGACACGCTGTATACACGATATACGCATCATTGCAAGGTTTTATAGCTAAGGAACTCTTAAAATCGTTATTTTTTTTTCATTGACTCAACCATTATCAATTTCATTGATTTTTAACCGAGTTCAAAATAGGAGGAGGTTCTCAATTCGGTTGATTGTAGTTCTATACTTCAGATACTTCTTTTAGCGCATTTGGAAAAAAATATGAGAATAACATTTTTTGGCGCGCAAACCAACACTGACATGATGAAATTGGTCGCATAGCGAGCAACTTCACGGTATTACCATAGCAACCAATATAAAACTTTTTGATATTTGCATATAATAATTTCAAGTTTTGTAAATCATTATCAATTGTATTTAATGGTTTTGTCACAAACAAAGAGTAGGTACTGGCACAGGGGATAAAATTTTTAGTAATTTTTCTTTTGTTACGCTAAAGAAATACCTATAACTTCGTTCGCGAGTCCTTAAGTACACACGATTTTTTTATTATATTCATCCCAGAACTTCGTCATTTATGAACCGATTTTACAAATGAAATATAATAAAATTTGCATTGTGTTCTTTTATATTAATCATCGTTGGTACGGGAGCTAGGGCTCCGGAGAAACCTACATCAGGAAACTCTAAAAATAAAATAGAAAATGTATAGTTAGTGACATTCCTGAAATCAATTTTGTTTTTTGCTTATAAAAATTATATTTCTATACTAGGATAAGAAATAAATATGGAATTATCATTATGACTACGCTAATTTACCTGTACCTACGATTGTAACCTGGTTACCGTTGGCTATAGAAACCCCCGGGTTTTTTTTTTGTTCCCTCAAAATCTAAGTGTTTGCGACTGTTATTTTCTTGCTAAGCATTATTTAGGTATGTTTCTGTATCGTTTTAAAATATTTACATACAAAAATCGCACGTGCTCCTATTGTAAACACTAAGTTGTTTAGTGGATTCAACCGATGGTCTTTTCGATTAGCCGTTTCCGTCAGCGAATTTCGCTCGATATATCGCTGTATAAAGAAGCACAAAAGACCAACAGCTTTCTTTAATATCAGGGTATCCGCCTGGTCGTGGCGGAGGAGTTTCTTAGCCGTGGCTTGGTCACCCGGAGTGAAACCAAGAGGAACCGACTGTGGGCAGGGATGCCGAAAAAATATAATAATAATAAATCGATATTTTTAGCCGATCTATTTTGATATGATATATCGCTATAAAATATTCAATAACGAAATCGTATCAAAAACGATATTTTTTTTCAACATCGAATCTGGGACAGAGTCCGTACATTTAAATATTTAATACTAGGCATACATTTTTTTGGACAAGGTCGATATATCGATATTTTCTCTTCGATATATCGAGGCCGATATTGATATTTTTATACATATCGATATATTTCTTCATTTTCGGCATCCCTAACAGTGGGCCGGACTCTGATGTTAAGGCCAGTCAAGTAGTCATTCCCATACATTACTTTACTCTTTGAGTACAGTCCCAGTACCTATACTGGTATATATGTATGTCTTATCTATGGGCCAGTCCTAGGTACGCATCCAGAGTGAGCACATTGAGAACACTCTGGATGCGTGCTAGGAGGGTGCAGGGGCTAGGTTGCCTGTGGTAAAAGAAGGGCCGCTCACCGTCCTCTGCAACTAAATTAGAATCGCGGGGGAAAGGAGTGTATTTATTGCGATACATCTTTCTCCCTACCCACCGTGGCCGAAATGAGATGAGAAGTGGAGTTAAACACCAGGTCCGCTGTTCTGAAGGAGTCGACAAGGGTTTCGTCGCGTCTTTTGGCTTGTTGCTTTAAAAAATCCTCAAAAGTTTAAGATCTTAGCTCCGACTCATATCTCGAACAACTTCGTACCTTTAATTTCTGAGAACTTAAAACACTTGAATTTCTGAATCTTGTCTTCTTATTTCTAAAAGATTTAAACTTTTACTTTTTTTCTCATTCTGTCACTTCAACAAAATATTATTTATCCGTAAATATTATAAAAATTTATTTAATTAATTAAGACAAAATATAGCCTTCTTGCTGTCTCTTTTAAAAGTCCTACAAATGTGGGTCAATAAAAAATAATACGCTATTTCTCGCAAAATTTATTTCTTAATTTAAACGTATTACAAAATTTATTCCAGTTCTCTTAAGTTTAATATTGTACGAATAATCCATTGTAAAAAGCTATTTAACTCATTAAGACCCAAACTACGGTCATAAAATATATATACAGCGTGTCGTTACAACCGCGACAATAAATGAACACACCTATAGAGGATAACTTTTTAAAATTGTATTAAGCATTTACATTCTTTAAACACCAATATTTACAGTTATTAAATTTTACAAAACAAACATTTTTAGAACATCCATACGTTTAAAACTGTAACATAAAGTTCATTTGTAAAGGTCACAAAGTATATGAATTGGTTGAATGAATTTAAAAGAGATAAAACATACTGCTAGAAGGAGAGACTTGTAATGCGACGTTGTGGCAACGAATGTAAAAGCCTCTGAATGTATGAATCAGTTAGTTGTATAGGATGTTACAAATTTTGTTTCTTTTTTATTTAATTACTTTGTTTGAAAAATATTTTTTTTAATTATGGGTTTTTTTTAGTTTTATATTTTTTTTATAATTATTGGCAAGTAGCGTTAGACGTGTGCTCATTTATTCTCGCGGTTGTAATGACACACTGTATATTATATACATTGGATTCCAATTAGAACGAGCTCAACTATACTATAAACGATGACTATATTGTATACTCAACCTGAAGTCCGGATTTTATACAAATCACTATATATTTATATTTTTTCCTTTTCTAGCTAGTCCAGTTACAGCGACGTGTTACAATGTGCGCAGTTATTATTATTTCTAATAAATGTAAAGTCCAGATCAGGTCAGTCCATTATTTATTTTTTATTTCATTACAACAAACGTTTCTTTAATTTTTAAAATCGTCACTAATAAAAGTATCTTTTCGCATTTACGACTTTATATCTACAGTCCATTTTACGTCGCTCTATATGGATTCCATTGTGATTTAAATGACTTAATTTAAATTATAATATTGATAAAGAGAACGTTTAAAATTGTCCTGTGACTAGAGTTTCAGCAAAAGCGCGAATACTCTTACATAAGTAGATATCACAATACCTTATATTGTGTGATATCACAATACCTATTTTATATTTATCATCAAAATTCAAAGCCATTCCAAATGCTTACAAATATTTTGAGCACCAAGGGTTAACTTATTGTTGTAACAACCATCTACATGAAATGGTACATGGGCTTAATGATCTCTAACAATATAATTCATTGAATGAACAATATTTTTTTCAATGATATGTATAATTCATCTTTTCTTCAATCTTTTCTTTAATTCAACAATTTTCTGATAATTTTTATAGATGCATAAAAATCTTAGATTCGTAAAATGTTTAATATGTAAATTATACTTTATGCAATGCGTGATTATGTCTTTTCTGTAATCATAGTAAATAAATAGTATTACACAAAATTGATTAAATAAATTTCTAACAATGGTAATACCATCTATTTACCAGTTTATTATTAAAATTATTTAACATTAAAAATAAGTTGACTTCTTGATTTTACGCGAATATTATACATATTAAATGAAACTAGTTTACGGATTTTATCGCGTTTCGAACCTTTTCCAGCGTTCATGGTCTCTAACTTGTGTGCGAAACGTCGGGAATTTCAAAATCCAAATAAAAACCGCGATAAAATCCGTAAACTAGTTTCATTTAACATTAAAAATATAACTTTTTAAATGTTTACAATTTTTTTGAATTCATATTTTACAAATATAAAATTACTAAATAAGGTAATTTCCCCTTAAAGAGTTATATTTAGATTCTCACATAGTAAATAATTAAATTATAGTGAAAACATTTACAAATTATTACATAAAAATATCACATTCCAAAAGAGCCATTACTTGAACATATTTAATATGTTTAGTTAGAAAAATTTTTTGTGCCTCTAAACAAAAAGTATAATTAAAGGCGGAACTAAATACAATATTATTACAGTGCTTCAGAGAGGAACGTCAGGAACACAAGCCAAATACCCATTACAACACTGGTATTTATTGTCATTCTTTACATAATAAATACTTTTGTCAACATTTGGATTGATGTCTAATCTATCTTCATATTTCTATATTGTAATGAATATATCCAAGTATTTTGAGTGTAAAGCATCTATATGCTTCTTTTACTTTTTTTATCAACTATTTCAATTTAAATTTCTATTTTTTATCATGTTTGTACATTATGGCTAGTTCCTTGACAAGTTGCCTTTCCCCTTCTTCCCACAAGTGCTTTGTAAGTTTACCCAAAGTTCCATCTTCATCATTACGCACCCAATCCAATAGGAGTTTGTAACGCACCTAGAAAAAGCTATATTTTATGTTATGTTTTTGTTCAGTATGTAACAAAATATTAATCACAAATCTTAAAAATAGAAAGTTATCTATCTATTATGCAGCTGTTTTATGTAAACAGTAAGTTTCTGAAAAAAAATTACATTAATAAAACACTAAAAGCAATGAAATTAAACATGCATCTATTATTTATTGATGTTGGCCTTTTATAAATGTTTAAATAACCAACACTTTTACAGTGTTATCAATTCAAAAGAGATTTGATATTCATCAAGTACATCTTATCGTTTAAACAATTCTTTTTCGCAATTCTTATATATATATATATATATATATATATATATATAAGAAAAAAAAATATATATATATACAGACTTTTCCTTTTTTTCTATACCAGATCATTACTTTCTTTTTCACCAAAAAAAACCGAGCGAGGTCCTCCAGATACTACTATAAATATAAAAACACCCAGACACTGGAAAACACTATGTTCATCACACAATATTTTTTAAATAGTTGGGATTGGACCCATAGCCAAAGCGCAAGAGGTACAAGGAGACACTAGGGTCATTGAAGGTAAAAATCATACAGTAATTTAGTATATGAAGTTAGTTATGGTTAAAATGACATGAAGGACATGTGAACTATGTTAGTCTTGACCTTGTTGATATAAATACCTACTTACCTCTGATATACCTCTTCCAGCTTCATCTATTTCGAAAGTTTCAATTCTATTTTTACTATAACCCAAGGATATGAAGATAGGGTGCCAGTCCTTTCCTAGATTCTTCGAAATGTAGTCAATATATTCATGATTAGGCTAAAAAGCAGTATCAAGCTTAATTTTTTGATAAATGTCTAGAATAGACACATTTTTTACTGGAAAATATTTAACCATAAAAAAATGTAACCAAAATTACATGGTAAAAATCACTGGTCAGACCTACTTTCAACATAAAAAAATTTAAATTCAAATTCAAAAGTGGATATTTATACACATATGTAGTACAAAGGTTGTTTTTTTTATTATTACTGTATTCTTATTACCAACTTTATTATCAATCCTTGATACTGACCAAAGTTAAAATTAAAGAGAAAGGTAAGTTGAGGTATAGACTCACTTTAATTTCAGCTTCCATAATCAATACAATAATGTTACTCTTTTCAATATTTTCTACATTGCTTTGTTGCTTTTGTTGAACATTGGTTGGGCCCATATAATACACTATTTCATTTCCCCAGTGTACATCTCGGGAATTCACTATATTAATAACATTTCCAGTAGCTGCAATTTTAAAATTCATAATATACTGTTTAGATACATTATTTTATGCACTTAAATATTATTTATTTAATCTTTATTGCACTTAAAATTATAGTACAAAGGCGTGCTTAATGCTATACTGCATTCTCTACCAGCTAACCCTAGGTATATAATAATGGGTAATAAATTCTAGTTATACTTTTACATATACCTACATACATGTTTAACCATAAATTCATATGTACACATACATAATAAAAATACTTAAACATTTATATGCCAAATGTATAATATATACATATATATAAATTTATAAATATATACATACCAGATGTTCGATCAAAGTAAACACTATACTGTAGAAGTGGGCGATACAAATTGTATACAGATACGAAAACTATATATTGATACAATATCTGAAAATCGCTTACTGGCCCGTTCAAAATCTATGTATTTTACAATATCTGATATTTCCGAAATCTGATGTACCGAATACTCGCTCACTCGCTATACCAACACGAACCGCGATATCATACGCGTTTGCCACAATATCAGATTTTTAAACAGATTTTATGAATAAGTTAAGTAATTTTGAATCTTAACAGCATGCAAATAAGATCAGTTTCATTTAAATACTAAGCATGGTATCAACGATTACGATTTCATTTAATTCTTTTATTTAGCATTAGCCTTGAGCCGTAGCGAGCGACAAAACGCGTGAGATACAAATATTAAACTAGTTAGAGGGGTATGGCAAACAATGAATATCAGATTTTCAGAGATTTTATGAATAAGTTAAGCAATTTTGAATTTTAAAAGCATGGAAAAAAACTATGTTTCATTTAAATATGAATCATGGTATTAACAATGTCTTTAAATTTTGTTTAGCCTTGACCTGGAGTGCATTGATACTTAAGCACGTAATAGTAAGGGATGGCAACTTAGGAATTTTCTTCCTAAATTAAGGAAGAAAAAATTTTTAGGAGTTAAATTTTATTCGCATTTTTAAAAAAAAGAAATAAAACTACACAAAACGAAAAAGAAAAATACAATTTAATAATTCCGTGCTGCATTGGTGGACGTCAGGCCAAGGCTTGTGTGTATGTTTTAAATTCTTCCGCCCTAAACTATACTATTGAATGTTATTAATTAATAAAAATATTGTCACTCACTTTTATTTTTTTTATTTTTATTAATTTCATACGCGAAATCTTCGAAATCTGATATTTGAAAACGAAATCTGATTCAGATACGGTCAGAAAAAGCGATACGACCCATCTCTACTATACTGTAACTAAGACTAAATTTCATCAGCAAGGATATGCTCAGAGTTTTCTTTTAAAAACGTTTTTTGATGGAGATTGTCTACGTATAAATTATATAATTGAAAAAGTTATCTTCATTTTACCTTGGACATTAACATTACTACTGCTACCATGTTCCTGTTCTTTGTCTTCTCTTTTCTTTGGCAAACCAAAACTGTTCTTCTTTTTGTTAGGTTTAAAAAAATTGGTACCTGATGTAGACTTTTTCTTATCTTTTTTTGTCATATCTGGGCCATTTTCTTCATCATTACCTTGGTTTACGTTATCATTAACTGTATCCTGATTTTCGGTATCATTAAAATCTTCGGTTTGATTCCGAGGGGGTCTCGGGACGGCATCAGATTTTAGATTGCGAAAAATTTCAAAAAATTTTGCGCTTATTGGCGCCATCTAAAAAGAAATGCAAAAATTCTTGCCAAAACAAACTGCGAACTCCAAAACCCCCGGTGACGTATATATAAATTATGGACATTCCGATTAGGCATGCGCAAAAAATATCGATATATAAACATATCGATATTTTACCATACAATTATCGATATACAGCGTGTCGTTACCATCGTGACAATAAATGAACACACATATAGGGGATAAGTTTTTAAAGTTGTTTTAAACATTTAAATTCTTTAAACATCAATATTTACAGAGTTATTAAATTTTCCAAAACAAAGAATTTTAGAACAGCCCTTACCTATAAAAGCGTAACGTAAAGTTCATTTGTAAAGGTCACAAAGCATATGAATGGGTTGAATGAATTTAAAAGAGACAACAATACATACTGTTAGAAAGAGAGGCTTGTAATGCGACGTTGTAGCGCGAGTTGTATAGGATGTTACAAATTTTGTTTCTTTTTTACTTAATTCGTTTGTTTGAAAAATATTTTTTTTTTAATTATGGATTTTGTTTAACGTTAATATTTTTTTATAATTATTGGCAAGTAGCGTTACACGTGTGTTCATTTATTGTCGCGATGGTAACGACACGCTGTATATCGTCGATATTTTTATCGTAATATATTCAATATTTATTTTAGACTATCGAATTCGTGTCAGTTTTGATATTTTTGATCAATTTTGATATTTAATTTTAAAAAATCTTTTCACCCATTTTCTTCGTGTTTATAATTTTTTTACGAATCATGGATCGTTTGTAAATATGTATCAAGAATCATGCTAAAACAGACGATAATTATCGATAGTTTCTCAAAATGTCGATACGATAAATATCGATATATCTTTTTAATTGCTCATCCCTAATTCCGATATCAAAAAAATATTGATATATCGATATTTTTGATACATACATCGATATTTTTAGCCGGTATATTTGGATCAGATATATCGATACATAATATTCAATATCGAAAGTCGTATCAAAAACTATATTTTTTCAAATTTGAACCCATCAAAGAGTCCGTGGTGCGAGGTGTAAATTTTTAATACTTGACATACCTTTTCTTTTGGACAGCGGGGTTTCTAGGATTTATATCCAATATATGGATATTTTTTCTTTGATATATCAAATCCGACATTGCTATTTTCATAAATATAGATAAATATATAATATATATCTTTTTTAATATGAACTGTAAACTGGAAAATATTTACTGCGTACGGTGGAGTTGGGAATTTCATACGAGATTAACGACGTTGGTCTGTTGTTTTGTTTGTCACAAATGACAGTTCTTCTAACAAATAATACAACATTCAACTCGAGGATTCTGCTTGTCAAAGTGTTGATGGTAACACGTAATTGAGTGATCTTATATCTGAATCCTACTTTTTTGTGTTGAAATCCTGAATTTATCTGTTTTGTGAGAGTTTGGTGGAGGTTTTTGTGTGAATTGGCAAGTCTATTATCTAACATTTAGACCCGCCTTTTCTTCTTTATGAAGAACATGGATGAAGACAAGCCTCCGGATGGAGGTGGCGGTCTGATATTTCGTTGGATAGCTCGTCCTCATCCACATCTACAGTTTCTAATTCCAACTCTTCAATAACCAATGTATTTAATAAATCGTTTCAAACCCGTGGTCCTCGCCCTCTCGGAGACAGGGTTAAAACCGGGGTCTGTTTTCAGGCTGTCGGGGTATTCATGTTTTCGCGATGACAGGGATGACGGAAAAGCAGGTTGTGCCCTTCTTGTGTCAAGATCCATCTGCTTCTCCCAGATCCTTATCCCTCCTCATAGCTGTAATTTGCACATAGTGGCGATTAAAGCTAAAAATATTACATTCATATCATGCTACATCCCTCATCCCAATAGTTCCGTGATTTCTGAACTAAACTTCATTCTCTGTTCTATTTCTGGTCCCCTCATAGTTTCTGGCGACTTTAACTGTCACCACCCTATGTGGGGCTCAAACCATTCAGATTCTTCCTCTTCTTTCTTCCTTGACCTGGTAGATGATAACAATTTGTGCATTCTAAATGATGGATCTGCCAATCGAACGACTCCTCCTGGTCAAAATGTGAATGCTCATGATTTAACTCTTTCATCCCCCTCTCTAATAAACTCTATCTCTTGGATAGTACTTCATAACTCATATGGTAGTGATCATTTTCCTATATTTATAAGACTCCTACAATTTTCTCCTCCCACTCCTAAGATTCCTTTGCAACGTTTTAGACTCTCAGACGCTGACTGGGATAAGTCAGCGTACTACTTTTATACGTAAGGCTGGTCTAAAATTCATTGTTTTGGAAAATTTGATAACTCTGTAAATATTGATGTTCAAATAATGTAAATGTTATATACAATTTTAAAAAGTTATCCCCTATATGTGTGTTCGTTTATTGTCGCGATTGTAAAGACACGATGTATATTCGATTTATTTGTATTTATGATCTCATTTATTTCCATAATGTTATAATTTGGGCAGCTTATAAGAACAAAATAAATTTTATATGCGGATGAGAAACACGGGTCATAGATTAAAAGCCCCGATAAGAACATCGTAGGCAGTAAAGCCATCGTTACTCCAGTTTGGGTTTCCTTTTTTCTTTGAAATTCCAATGCAAAAGGCACTAGCTTTTAATCATCGCGTACATCTAATTACAACTATAATTGGCAAATACACAACAATTCGTCTCCATTTCACTCATAAAAATAATCTTTTAATAAAAAAAACTATAATAGACAAAAAAGATATAAACCTTCGAAGGTGTATTTTTATTTCTTACCCTTGAATAGAATTACATTGAAACATTAACTATAAATATATCGTAAAAACCACTCTCAATAATGAAGCATTACTTCATTATTTAATAAAACATACACAAATTCTTGATTCAAAAATCAATTTTCTTTTCCTTTAACGAATATAATTATTTATTTCTACCCCCAGTACTAATTCGGTCCGAAAATATGGCAATGACTCTACCATAAGCAAAGCACACATTGTAGGCAGTCTCTAAATGGGGTGCTGCCAAAGTTGTGGCATTCAATGCCGCCTCTGCATGACTCTCACGTAATGCGCATGGCAAAGGAGTGCAACAAATTGCAAGCATCAGTTTTCCCGTCTGATTATAATGTCTTCAAGGCAATGGTGAAAAGGGTGTTACGAAGCTAGTGAGAGTACCATTTAAGATCTTTGCTTACTATCAGATGTACTGTATTGTATTAACTGATGTTAACGCTTTGAGTCCCGAGCATATTAAAGCTTCATCGAATGCAGAACGAATCGAATGACATCTCATAGTTGAGGCCCTCCACAGTGGGTAGTGCCGCGAATGTGCTCATGCGTGCATTAGCTAAGGAGTGTCGCCTGGCTATCGTGGTTCGGTGCGGATTGTAACCCCGATAGCAGTTGACTGTGCTTGGTTAGCCGGTGACTGGGAGCGGTGAGAACCGCCCTGGTACGCGAGTGTATCTATTGTACGCGTTGTGTTGGTTTCGCGTTGGTTGGCGAGGACAAACTATGGTGTTTGCTGTTGCACTAACTGTGTGTGTAGTGTTATCTGGCGGGACCCCCGACGGCGGGTCCGATGTACTTAGGTCCCCTTCTTTGACCGAATCGATGAGGACGTTGCGAGAACGACGCTTATTAACACTCGCGTTAGTGTCGGGTTGGTAATTTGCTGCGCTTGCTACTAGAGGGTTGGGATGATCTTCGGCCCTATCGAAGAACCGTTTGGTTACGTCTTTGAAATGTTCGCTAATCGTGGGGAGTCTGCAGTCACTATGCAGGCCGACGTTGCGTTGCGTACTACTGGGCACGATTTGCAACTTGTGCAAGCGAGTAGGTCGTACGCAGGCCTTATATAATAATAACTTGTGCCTTAAGGGCATTTTACTGGACGCATTGGTTAGGTGATTGAGCCGCCCAGAGACGTCCTGTGTTTCTAACGATATTAATGTGAGTTGTGAAAGTCATGCATGAGCCGGAAGTAACTCCTAGATACTTGACCTTTTTCTCCCAGGGGAGCGGTTGGCCATAAAGAGAGATTTGCCCTAGCTATCTGTTCTGGCGAGGGCCTTTGTAAAGGTGTGACTGGTAAGTAATACGTGTGAAGTGAATCGCCACACTTTTCGTCGGGGTTTACTTCTATTCTCCATTTGCAAAACCAATCACCGAGGCGATCGACAGCGCTTTAGAGAAGAGTAGTAAGTTGGTAGAGATTTCTATCTGTGTAAAAGAGCGCCGTGTCATCCGCGAAAAGCGCGAGATTGACGTGGCGGTCTTTCGGTATGTCGCTCGTGTAGAGCGTAAAAAGCAAGGGCAAGAGGCAGGAGCCTTGAAGAATGCCAGCCGTGAGGCGGCGGCCTGTAGAGAGGGTGCCCTCAACTCGATACCGAGAGGAGCGATTCCACTGGAAGGCCCGAATGGTGTGCGAGAGACCATTTGGCACGTTGAGTGCGAACAGATTGTAAAGCAAACCGTTGTGCCAGTCGAATGCTTTTACGACATCAAAGATCCCGTGCTCTGTCAGATGTGATGCTGATAACAGTCTACACTGCACGGTTTTTGGGTAACAAAATAATGGGAATAAAATACAGTAAAGATTTAAATAATAGCAGAATTGTATAATAACAAAAAATACGTAACGTGAAATGAATATACGTCGTACAGAGATTCCAGTGCATTATCTGCCAGAATGATATACAATAAATCACAATTTTTTTATAAATGTTATTTATTTTATTACGATAAATATTTTATTTTATTTTGTATTATATTAACAAAAAACATGCGTATAAATAATGGATCCTCTTTATTCCTTTTTCGAAGATATCTAAAGCGAGTGTCATTTATGACATATGTGTAAGACCACATATTCAAGATATTTTTTTATACATTTACTTTTTTATTTTTAATGATGGACGACTACGTACCAATATCGCTATCGAATCTGTTCAGATTAGGTCTCTTTCAAACTCTTTATGCAAAAAGTGATTCAAATCCGGGTTCTACGCAGTGCTCTCCAAGAAAAGCGACTGCCTGTACAGGCAAAGGAGGAGCTGGGGATGTCCCTAGTATGTCGAAATGCACGTGCAATACTCCAAAGTGCCCAAAAAGTACTGTCGGCGATCGTGGTAAAACCGGAGCTTGCGTGACTGGCTCACGCTCCGAAGATAGAGAGAGGAGTGACGAGAAGGGTCCCGACAATTTGCCTGGCGGCGCAGCAAACCCTGGTCTTCTCCGGCACATACACAACGCTGCCCGGTACAGACTACCGCAGTGCTTTGAAGGCGCCTGCGTCTCGGTGAAACAGAGCTCGGCCAGCAATTGGGTCTTCGGGCACACCCTATCGTTCAGTTCTGTTTCCCCCGGCGGCTACAAAGTGCTGCTATCCTATGTTGGCAAGGAGAGGCCTACCTCGTTGCCGTACTTCGTGATGGAAGGAGCGCCCGGCGGTCAGATGAGTTGCGAGTTCCGTGTGGGGCCGACGCAGGCCACGCGGGCGACCGTCGTTGCCCAGATCGCAAACGGCGCACTCAACAGCTGCGAAAGCATCATCGACGCCTACTTCAACAGCTTCACGGCTTCCGTCATAGCTGTGAATCGGGAGTTTATTGCGATTCATTGTCTACAGGTAGCCTGCATTAAGTTTATAGATTTATAATTGAAAGCTATGAAATAAATCCTCCAAGGTTATTTCCATTATGTATTGATATAATAACGGGCCAATCTTTCTCCTCTAAATCGAAAAATAGAGAAGTTCTAAATTTTTATTTTTAAGTTGCTTGGTTAGTAATTAGAGTTTAAATAAAATCTCCCACGGCTATAACTGTAATGAGTAAAACGAACGTTACTGATATCATCTACGTTTCAACTGGTTAAAGTTTAGTCCCGAAATTGTATACAAATTGTAAACAACCATATACAAATGGTAGACAGGGGTTTTTACACTAAAAGCCTTGAAAAAATTATATAACTAAGGTTCATTATTTCTCAACTATGGTCCCTTATAAGCAAATGCTTTTAATCACCAATACCACGAATCGATAAATCCTTATGCAAAAACATTTGAATATTATTCACAATTCAACGTTTTCGGTCTTGGGCGATATTGCCGTGTACTTATTATAGTATATGCGATTATCACTGACGTGGCCTAATTAAACCGCTTGGACACGCTCCGCAGTCCATAACGGAGCGGTTCTGCCTTGGGGCGGAGGTGGTCGCGCGTGGGCGGGCACCCGAGCTCATCGCTGCATCCGCTGCCGCGCGGTGGACTGGCGAGGAGCACTCTGTCAGCGCCACCCTCGGCAGCCGGGGCCTGGACTTGTGCTACGCTCGCGCCCTGCGCCCCCACCTCACTGCCGCCGCCATGCTAGAGGTAAACGCCTGAAGCTTTAGATTGGCACTCTCTGAAACTAAGATTCCTAAAACTGTTTTCGCTTTATTTTATTTGGAGACTTTTCCACAAATATGCATATGTCAGTCCCATTGAACCTATATATAACTAATATGTTAACAGAATGACTTATATTTCTAAGATTACACAATCATTGTCAAGAAAGCGCAATTGTACAAATATATATAAATAAAAAGCTGCTTTAGAGCTACGTTTAATTTTTCTATTTTCTTTGCATATCAATCGAAAGCCTGGATCAAAACAGATAATGAGATTATACGATATAAATTATTTTATACCCGCCACCATAAATTATTTTACGTTTCCCCCATACGAGAAGCAACAGCAAACAACTAAACATATTAGGGCATATTTTATTATGTACTTATATTTTATGAATATGGATGCTTTGATGGTTTATAAGCAGTGAAGGTTGTATTTTGTATGCTATCAGAATGACTGTACAAGACCGTTAGGTGGTGTTAAATATATAACAGTATCAATAACCAATAGTATAAGTCATACGTCCGGGGAAAGCTTCTGCATATGAGAAACAAAATTTGGAAATATCGTATCACATTTATATTGGTTTATAAGTTTTTTATGTATAATTTAATTTTTAATTAAATCATCAAGCTTTCCAAATAGTTCTTAATTAGTTTCCACTTTATAAAGGTTCTTGCCACGGGAACTATAGGTAGGTACTCAATAGTTTTCTCTCTTTAGTTTTTACTTAATTTTAAAATTATTAAGTTATAAAATGGTCAGCATAATATCATTATAACTCCTATGTAAACAGATATATTCCTTGTACATTATTTTCTAAAGTGTATCAAATAAGTGTTACAGTTTTATGCACAGTTTTTGCACTTCTTAACCCGCCAAGCCGTTAGTGTCGCTGCGATCGCCATTTACCCTCTACGAAAAAGATGATGAGAGTAGCGCAACTTAAAATTGCACCATAATAAGGCAAAAATGTAAATGTAGCGGTGGTAGGGCCACGCAGCAGCCTCGGCTGTTGCCCGAATGGGCAGGCTCGACCGGGTAAGTACCACGACCCCACAGAAGATCAGCGAAAAGTGGAAGTATGACAAATACTTTCGCGTTTCGTCTGGTGAGTGAGGTAGCCGGAGCCCAATTTTCAAAAGCTTGTCAACGCATCTGTAACCCTCGGGCGTGGCAGATGTCCATGGGCGGCGGTATTCACTTAACATCAGGTGAATCGTCTGCTCGTTTGACAAATTTTCGCATAAAAAACAAACAATGCCAACGTGGAACCATATGTTACAGGATTTAAAAATTTAGGTTATGTTTGTGCATCCCTCGATTTTGAGATTTGCAGATAGAGTCACTCCCGCTATTGAAAGTCTGCTGAGACTTGTGTAAAACCGATATCGACGGAAATATTTCAATAGTTATAAATTCTCGGTTTGGGTATCCAAACCAATAATGAATTATAAAACTAAACTTACAATGTCAAACCCTTACTGTTGCGAGGCCGTTAAACAAAGGCGTAGCTCTGCACATAAACAATGCTACGCCATGTTAAAAAAGTTAAGTTCATAAGCACTGGTAAATTCGTAAAACAGAGTATAGACAGAAACCGGTTTTGATGTAATCCTAGTATGTTAATTATATAAACAGACTTGGATATTAATCAGAACACAGAGTTTAAATCTTGACGGTGTCGAACTTAGTTCTTGTTGAAGCAGTTTGTGCACAAGGTAGTTTGTTACAATGAGAGTACACAATGTGTAGCTTGATTTTGTTCAAGTTGTACTAAGTTTTCCGCAGCAAAACTGCACTTTTGGTAGTGTTTTATAATTAGGTTACGTCGTTATATTTTAACAGCAGGGGTTTTCTTAATTAGACTTATAAACATTTCAATATTTTACATTTCATAAGTCTGTGTTTGGCAATGTCTAAGTATAAAAAATGACGACAGCAAATAAAAAAAAGCTTGTCGTCATGGAAAAAATCCAACTGCCACCCCGCGTCCATTCCATTTATCAAAGTTAAATGAAATGATCAATGTGGTGATGTGGCTTTTCATTAAAAAAATAACCTTAAAAATTAAAGTTATAAATTAAAAAAGTAACCAACTATACCTGCTAGACAAAAATAAAAATCTCTTCCTTCGTAATCTCGGAAAAAGTGGTTACAATTAATGTTTCTAGGTCTTCAAGAATCAAGTGATATTTTAGTGCAATTTATGCAATATTTGTAATCAAACAATGTACAAATTAAATGATTCGCATCATTCATACACTTAAGTAGTCATAGTCGATGGATGCAGGTGGCTCAGGATCGTGCTTTGTGTCAGTCTGTGGGGGAGGAGTTCAGCAGTGGACTCAAACAAGGTGAAATGATGATGATGATGATGATACACTTAAGCAATTGAGATATTGTTACATGTAATTATATCATTTTCAAATTGTTACAATCCGTTAAATATATATTGTATACATATTATTATGTCATCTCGTAGAGATTCACTGCGGGTTCTATATTCCTTGCGTTCCTTGTTCCACACTTCCAAATTATTGTCTGTTGGTAAATCACTAATATGATTTACAGTTCAGACAATAATCAACCATTACACACATATTGTTAAAAACACTAATCGAATTTTGTTGTGAAACAAAACGACACGTATTTTGGTATGTAATGTCGATGGATTGTGCCCCAGGTCGGTTTCGCGATCCGCAAGGCGGTGGCAACGTTGGCCTACGAGTGGCGCGCCGACGACTGGACCGTGCGCGCCTCCGTGGACTCCGACGGCCTCGTCGGCGCAACCCTGCAGAGGGCACTCGGGGGGAAGAGGGCCAAGCTCGCCTGTGCCATATCGGCGCTCCTCAACCACCCAAACGACAAGTTTCGCCTCGGCTTCGGTGTCACCGCTGCTATTTTGTGATTACAGAAAACTCTGAAATTCTCTGATATTTTTATGAGCCTAAGGTTGGCAGTCGACTGTGGGATGTAATGTGAATATTATGTCTCGAAACATACGACATCGCATGATTGGACTTTACCTTATACTTTTCGTGTCGATAGCAAAATCTATTCAATCTTTGGTTTGCCATCGTTGTGTAGTAATTAGTTTGATTGTTTCTGCCTCTACTCATGAGGACGGCGCGAGCAAAGCTCTACCACGAGCTAAAAGACGTAGTAGGTAACGATACCTGCCTACGGTCTCATAAATATTTTTGATCAGTTCAGTCGTATCGTAATGTAGTGAAACAAACTAAGTATAATAATTAAAAAAAAACTAATATCGATCGATCGTCCGAATTCAGTGGGCGATGTAACCGAGTGTATATTATAACCGAGTGGAAAAAGCTTCTGTTATAAACTATCGTGTACGATGTTAATGTATGTTACGGCATATAATATCTTATAATTATACTACTTACGTATATCCCGGATTGTGATAATTTTACGGATTCTTAATAGGATGGATATTAAAGGAGTCAACTTGTTATTGCGAATTATGACGAGGGGTGGTTTTTTACAATTTTGTAATTTTTGATTATTTAGTTGTCGATTAGAGAGCTTTATTATATTCGGTGCTATCAAATGTTTTAAATTTTGATACGCGAATGTTTTGCCCTATTTTTTGTTGCGATTTTAATATTGCTATTTTAAAATTAAGAAAGCATTTTTTGAAATAATAAAGAAATTATGATAATCGCGTTTTTCTTATATTATTACATAACGAGTCATTAGTTTTTTTTTTTTTTTTTTTATGGAAATAATATAAACTTAAGAACTTCATTCAACATTACCATGTTTTAAAAAAGTTCGATAAGACGTAGTTCTAGTGTGAGGTATACAGCGTGTCGTTACCATCGCGACAATAAATGAACACACGTCTAACGCTACTTGCCAATAATCATAAAAAAATATTAACGTTAAACAAAATCCATAATAAAAAAAAATATTTTTCAAACAAACTAATAAAGTAAAAAAGAAACAAAATTTGTAACATCCTATACAACTCGCGTCACAGCGTCGTATTACAAGCCTCTCCTTCTAACAGTATGTTTTGTCTCTTTTAAATTCATTCAACCCATTCATATGCTTTGTGACCTTTACAAATGAACTTTACGGTACGCTTTTATAGGTAAGGGTGTTCTAAAATTCTTTGTTTTGGAAAATTTAATAACTCTGTAAATATTGATGTTTAAAGAATTTTAATGTTTAATACAACTTTAAAAAGTTATCCTCTATATGCGTGTTCATTTATTGTCGCGATGGTAATGACACGCTGTATACGTGTTGATTTCCCCATTGAGATCAACTTTAAACATATCAATGGAACATGATATACCTCAAGCGAAATTTTTAAAAATGCACAAATTACAACAAAACTATTATAGGCATTTACAAATGAGATCGCTTTAAATGCGTCATAATTGTTCCATATTTAAACACAGTATCATTATTTCAAACGTAGAGTATGAGTACAATATGAAACGATCGGCAAGATCTAAGCTTACATAAGTAACGACTTCATAAATGATCATTCATCACAGTTATGCTAAATACTTAGATGCGGAGCAACGAATCATGATTAAGCTGAACCGCTGGAGGAGCCCTGAACCCTTTGTTTAAAAACTCATTCTTTCAGTATACAAACACTAACACAAGGTTACACACAGTACTCAAGTACTAACACAACACAAGATTAGGCTAATCATATAGTAAGAAACCGTTTACACGTATACACCAAAGCACAAACACCTCATAAAGACACGAACAAAATTAACCTAGGATAATCGATTAATTCAATTATCTTTCCATACGTATACGAACCGTGCAAGATTCATCAAGTGCATCATTAGTAGATGTAATAACTAAGCCGTCGCGGACGCGAATTGACACTCAAATCCCACATAAACGCTAACAAACATCTGAGGAGACTGTTAAAAATTCATTTCTAATATAACGATAATGTAGGCGTATATTATCCGCCGTCGGCGATGTCTGCGCCGCGCTCGGCGGGAAAACGCAGGGCGGGCGCGTGCGCGCCGTCTGGGCGGGGTTTCGGCCGCCCTCACTTTGAGTATGCGGGATTTTGAACTTTGGCTGCTTGCGATTAGAAGAGCTTTTCGGTTGGATGGTGTTGGGGTCGCGGGGTGTAGGCGTGCGGACCGCCTTCGACGCGGCACGCGGCTTAGAGCGCGGCGGCGCGTGCTCGGGGCAGTAATGGTGATGGAGCGGCTGGCGGACTTCGTCAGCAAGTCGCTGGAGGGCGGCGAGGCGCCGACGCCGCCGCCGGAGCCCGGGGAGGCTGCAGACGAGGAGGTGGACATCACGGCGCTGGAGGAGAGACCGCCGCCGGCGAAGAGGCCCCGCAACTGGCTCATCTCGCCCGTGCCCGCGAGGAACTGCAAAAAGGAGGCGGACGAAGACGACGAGCCCCGCCACGGCAAGTGTTTGTCTTCACATATATTTTACAATCGAATAGAAACGCGATGAAAGCTCCTTCCATTTAGACCTGGTCTCAATTTACCTTAGTTTAGCAATCCTTTTCTTCTTTGTATACCTAAGTGCTTAGTATTTGAATAAATGCTTTTCTTTGTTAAATTCGTATATGAATGACACGGAAGCTGACTCGTGCCCACTTCGTTGGGCGGTAAATATTTTTACGGTGAAATTGAGTGTGGTTCACTGCTGGCCCTGTGAGAATAGTCGCCACGATTATATTCTCCCGCAACTCTTTTAATAGCATGATAAAAGTAAAGTATCAGCCTATACACGTCCCACGGCTGGGTAAAGGCCTCCTCAGTACAGAGGGAATCGTGGCATAGTCCACCACGGGGTACCACTGCGGATTGGCGGACTTCACATATCTTCGAAATATTATTTTATTATTATGTCTGTGCCTGTCCCGTGACCATGAACGCTGTAAACGTCAGGAATTAAAGTTAAAAGTAAATACGATAAATCCGTAAAAATTAGTTTCATTTATTATTATTATTATTTCGAAAATATGCAGATTTCCTCACGATGTTTTCCTTCACCGCTGAGCACGTGATAGTTCAGTACTTGAAATTAACACTCATTGGTGCCGGCACCGGGGATCGAACTCGGGTTGCTCCGAATATGTTGAATTAAAGGCGAGCGCCCGGACACTGGCTATCAGGACTTAGCATGATAAGATTATAATCTAATTAAGGTACATGTTTATTTTCATTTTTTTATTTATATAATTGTTTGCACTTTTATATAATTTTTTTTTATTTAACTACTATGGAAATTTTAAGCTGTTACACTTTTGCATTTGACTCGACATTTTATTTGTTAATATTTTTAACCCTGTTACTTGTACTTGTACCTGTACTTGTGTTACTTGATCATATTGTTTGACGTGTCTGTCTGTGTATCTGTGATTGCCTGTAGCATCGTAGCTGCTAAACAAATGGAATTATGATACGTATAGTTGGTTTCAAAGCTGACGTGATCGGTCTTAGCTATAATGTATGAAGATCATCTGTTTAGGCGTTTTAATAATCAACAGCTCATTTCCAACTTGACAAAAAAGTTCTTACTACCTTATAGGGATCAATCGGATCGAATTTAAAATTTGTACTATTACTTCGGTGGTATTTCTAAGTCATTCTAACTTTCAGCTGATGCTGTGGCATCAAATAGTCTGCCCAACGCTCGATTCCTCAGATACTTACTGCAGAAATTGTGTTTGGGCTCATATGAATAGTCTTAATTAAGGTGATGGATTATATTTGAGGCCACATGTAACTGTAGACATGCGTTTTTCCTTTTTAGGGATGTTTTTTTGTGCCGTAGGTTTGTTTTGTTTGTATTAATAATGTACAGAATACTAGAAAATGGTTCACTCTATTCTTACAATATCATTCAGTCGGGAAGAATATATAGAAGATTATTTTTTGGTATCGGGGGCTGAATTCATTCTGGCAAGTTTTCCTTCTACTATAACTACCATTTGTTACAAGAATACGATACCACACTCACTATCCACACTCTAGTTGGTAATCAGGGCCGCCAACCTGATTACCCATGAACCCGAAATGCATTATAATCACCAAACTGGATGACTTACGACGATTACAAAGTTTGGTATGGTTCACGTTTCGGCTCCGTAGGTCATTACTGGTAGGACGCACTGGTTAAACACTTTGGACTTGAGGCATTGCGGTATTGTCGACTCAAAAACGTGTCGTAGCATACTGAATGCCGCCCAGCTTAAGCGTATTCTTCGATTGGCCTCTTTCTCTAAGATGTGCCGGCCTAGTTGTATAGTTTGGCCAAGGTAGGTGTATTCCTGCACAACCTCAAGCATAGCGCCATTCACGACCACTGATCTGATCACATGACTATTGGACATAATTTTCGTCTTGTCAAGGTTCATACCGAGACCCACTTGTCTCGAAGAATCGCTCAGGCTGTTGAGCATGGCTTCCAGATCTTGCAGAGATTCTGCCATGATCACAATGTCGTCAGCGAATCGCAAGTGTGTTATTAATTGGCCATTAATATTAATGCCCGTCCGTTCCAATCCAGCGTCTTAAAGACGTCCTCCAATGCATTGGTAAACAGTTTCGGGGAACTGAATTGGCCTTGTGCTTTGACCTTGTACTTGGACGGATGTTGTTGCGGTCTCAAATAGACGTCTCAACACTTGGATATATCGACACCCAATTAGGCATCTCTGCATAGATTCTAGAACAGCCCAGGTTTCGATTGTATCGAAGGCTTTTTCGTAGTCCACACACGCTAGGCATAGAGGCTGGTTGTATTTCTCGGTCTTCTGAATTATTTGCCTAAGTGTATGTATGTGGTCCATTTTACTGAATCCTTAACGAAACTCGGCCTGCTCCACGGGGTGGAAGTCATCGAATTTTTGGGCGAGACGATTCGTTATAGCCCTCGAGATCAACTTATATATATAGCTCAGGAGTGATATCGGTCTATAGTTTTTCAACAAAGTCTTATCATCCTTCTTGAAAAACAAAACCACACCTCTGCTTCATGCCTCCGGTGTAATGCCATTATGGAGGACGGAATTAATGAGCTTAGCCAGCTCCGCCAATACTGGTGAGCTTTGTTGTTCGCAAGCTGTCTGAGGGCAATACTAATCTCGCCCATGTCGATGTCGGGTAGCTCGTCTAACAGGTGGCGTGTTAGTCTAGCTCGAGGATCATCCGCATTGTGCAAGGATATAGGTCCCTATAAAACTTTTCGACTTCAGCGAGAATCTCTGAAGGTGAGGTGACGGTGGTTCCGTGAGCTGTTGTGAGTTTTGACAGGTGACAGCAGGAGGTTTGAAACTTAGGAAAGACTTTTGAGCCCCCGTTGCGCGATACAAGATTTTTAATCTCTACCTAATAAATATCACCTCTCGTGTCTTCTTCATCTCCTCCAGAGTCTCGGTTGAGAGCTTCGACTTTCGTCCAGTGCTCTTTGGTCGAAAATCTATTTCTTCCACTTCACGGATGGTCCGCGTTAGACTATTGGTGGCGTCGTCAATATCCTGCGTGTTTTCCAGCAAGGCGAATTGATTTTGTAGCTCTAGCTGAAAATTTTTACATTCAGCTTCAACCTGGGGCAGTGATGGTCTCAGAGTCGCCTTCACCAGTCGCGCACGTTCTATCTTGATATTTATATTCAGGGTGCCTCTTACAAGGCGGTGATCGCTACCGGTATGAGACATCCCTGAATATATGGCGCTTATTGGACATAATGAAGTCGAGCTCATTTTTAGTCACCTTATCGGGGCTAAGCCAGGTCCACTTCCTTTGAGGCTTTTTCTGGTTGTAGGAGTTCATCAGAAATAGCCCCTGATCCTCGAGGAAGCTTTTGCCTCCTGTGATTTCTGCTCCCATAGCCGAATGCTCCTACTCTCGATTCGCCATTCTCGAGTACTCCCACTTTGGCATTAAAGTCACCCATAACAACAGTATAGAAGGTTTTGGTACGGGACATAGCTTTTGCTACGTCCTCGTACATGGCTTCGACGTCTTTGTCAGGATATGAAGTCGCGAAATGGTCGGGGCGTAAAACTGTATCACTTTTAGGGAGTATCTTTCGCTCACCTTTAATACGAGGTACGCTACCCTAGCCGACACACTGCCAACCTCTACAACGTTGCTTCTGAGCGACTTGTGTATTAGAAATCCGACGCCACCTTGGGATAGTTGATGTCCTTCTCGCAAGTAGAGCAAGGGACCAGCATCTAGTGCCATCATATCCTCTCCCTGTCTTCGGATTTCCGATAGACCCACTATGTGCTAGTTAATATGACTTAGCTCTACTTCCAGTTCGGCCAGGTGTTCGTTCAACCGCAGAGAGCGTCCGTTAAACGTAGAGAGGTAGAATCGCTTATGGTACCCTGCCTTAGCCCGGGGATTCTTAGCACCCCCTGTCGCACCTTTACCATGACCAGTACGTGGCCTGGAACAGTGCAACCACCGGGAACTGGGGGCCTTAAATCTGAGTTGGTTTTCATTGAGGGGAAATCTGCATTAGTCACCACGCTTGGCAGGCGGGTTGGTGACTGCAGTTGCTGGAATCCTTCTCTGACGGCGCGCTGCCCGCAGTCAGGATTGATATTTATAGATTCCAGCAATATTATACGGTTATACCGCCATGATTCGGTCGCCAGAGCTTCGTCCGTAGCTTAAGAGGGTGTAAGCTACCTCCCTTACATTCCATGTAGTATACTTTCATGTATATTATAGTGGAGAAAAGTCGTGAAATTCAATATGTATGTACATAGAATCCATGCGAAGCCGGATCGCTATCAGTGAATAAAGAAAACTTTGTATTTTGACTTTGAGTTTGAAACTTAAGAATAAATAATTTCTATATCAGATATTGCCAGTGCAGTGTACTGCCACTAGGTTCATCAGTAAATAATGTAGAAGTCTCCAATACTTATCGTCCGTAGCGCATATTCTATTTGCTAATGCATACTTTTCTGAATCTTTTTATAATTAAAGCAGGAACAGTTGTTGAAAACATCTGAAATAAGATGTTTAGGGTTATATATACTTAGTTTATCTGGTAAAAAATAAAGGTTATAAGCCACACTCAGAGAGGTCAATTAACTAGAATTAGGACTAGGATTAGACTAATATATGATAATGTGGCACTATTATTTAAAATGGTATGATTGAATTTGACAAAGTAGAATTTCGAATTCAAACTTTTTTTCTCTTAATATAATGTCAGTTGTATGGTAAATGCTGTCTTACTGCCATAAAAAAACAAATATAACATGTTTCTATTCATATAAACATGGAGAGATGTAAGATATCAACACAAAAATAAGAGTTACTCTTTATATCCTTATAATACATATTTTAGATATATAGAGTATTAAGAGGCTGTCATATGACCTGACCATTTAGTCCAATTTAAAACGAAATTTTTTAATATTTTTGTTTCCAAATA